CTCCGAGGGAGGAGAAGGGAAGGAGGGAGGGCGTACCTCATAATGTGGGTGTGGGGGAGTGCAGTGGGTCGTGGTGAAGGTGGAGGTGTCGGGAGAGGGAGAGCGGGAGTGGTTCAGCCGAGGGGGAGGGGGGGGGGGTGACGCGCCTTTTGAGGGGGGGAGGGGAGGAGGGAGGGGAGGAGGGGGGGGGGGGGAGAGCAAGAAGTAGACTTGTCGCACGTTGCCCTGCTGTGAGGACCAATGCTGCGCGGGTCTCCATGGTGGCTACCGGGGCAGGGTGTGGAGAGCCGGACAAGGAGGCTGTCGGGCAGAGCGGCTGGTTGGGCGGCGGCGTGGTCGGCGGCTGACGCGGGCGAGAGCGTGGACGGGGTGATGGGCTCGGGCGGGACTGGAGGCGAGGCAGCGGGTGAGGGTCTAGCGGCGGCGGCGGCATGGATGCGCCAGTCGCCGGTGTCTGGGGCGGTGGTGGGGCTGGCGGGTGCGATGGCGCCGGCAGGCTCGGCCGAGCTGCCGCCGATCGGGGCGCTGTCGGACGATCTGGGGTGGGACGATCTGGACAAGGCCAAGCTGTTTGGCTACTCGGTGGTGGTCTTTGCCGCGCTGCGGGCTGCCGTCTATCCGCTGTTCCTCCTCAAGACCCGCCTCCAGGCGCAGCAGCAGCAGCGGGCGTACTCTGGCGTCGTCTCGGGTGTGCGGGCTATTGTGGCCTCCGAGGGCGTGGCCGGTCTGTACAAGGGCCTGCTGACCATGGTGGCCGGCGTTGTACCTGCGCAGACGCTGTATGTGGCAACGTACGAGGGCCTGCGTGCGCCGGCGACGCTGGCGCCACTTCTGACCTTGGTCGGCCTCGACGTCCATGCTGACGCCGAGGCCGTCCAGGCCCTCCGCAACGGCATCGGCGGGCTCGGCGCCGGCCTGGCGTCGCTGGCGGCGGTTGTCCCGATCGACGTTGTCTCACAGCGGCTGCAGATGCAGTCAAAGACGCTTGCCGGTGCGGTTGTTGGCGGCTCGCGCTCGTACTCGTCCGGCCTTGCCGTCGTCATGGACGTGTTGCGCAACGAGGGCCTGCGCGGCCTCTATCGCGGCACGGTGGCAACCATGCTCTCGACCGTTCCCTCGTCGGGCATCTGGTGGTCGTCGTACACCCTCATCAAGCCGCGCGCTGCGCGCGCCTTTGGCCTGGAATACGACGACATCCGGCTGCACGTTGTTGCCGGCACGCTCGCCGGCGTGGTGGCGACCACTTCCACCAACCCACTCGACGTCATCCGCACCCGCCTGCAAATCGACGTCTCAAACTACGCGTCGGCGGCTGGGAGCGGGCGCGAGGGAACCCGCCCGCAGCCTTCCATCGCCTCCATCGCCCGCACCCTCTACCAGCAAGAGTCGCTGGCCTCATTGTGGACCAAGGGTCTCGGCCCGCGCCTGTGGACCTCGTCAATCATGGGTATCCTCATGGTGGCGGCGTACGAGCGGATCAAGATCCTCGCCCGCAAGCTCCCCGTGCCCGACGAATAGCACACTCGTCCGCGAGCTGGAACACGTTACTGCGGCTTGAGCTTCTTCTTCAGCTCCTCGGCCCGCGCCATGTACTCGGAGATGCGAATCCGGAGTGCAGACGCGCGCTGGCTCTCGGCCTGCATCCGCCCGAGCGCCTGCATCAGGTACGTGAGGCCGTTGGTGTAGAGGTCGACGGCGTCGGCGTTGCGGCCAGCCTTGTCGGCGCGGACGGCCTCCTTGACAATGAGGATGCCCTTAGCGTAGACCGAGGTGTTTGAGCTCGGCAGACTGCTGCCCGCAAGCGAGGCCTCGGCAAAGCCGGACCGGCTGAGAATCGTCATGGCCCGCGCGTCGAACCAATTGCCGCGGCTGCGAATCATGGCGCCCGGCGGCTGCTGCGAGACTGGCTTGGGCCACTCGCCGCGGACAACAAGGACCGAGTATCCGTTGGCCTGCTGCTCCGCAATAAATTGCGCCACAAACGCGTCCGTGATCATATGCGGGCCACGGAGGAGCGAGTCGAGGTTGAACCAGGCGTCGTCGATCTTGCGGAGCGCAAACCAATGGCCCGGCCGGTGGCAGACAAACCCGGTTTCGCCAACCGGATTGGCTGCAGCCTCGGCGGCATCAAGTTCGCCAAGGTACAGCGCCTTCATCCGCGCACGCCGTAGCGCCTCCACAATGACCTGGACCGAGTAGTTGCCTTTGGAGTCGACGTTCTGCGACGGCGTCCGTCGCGCCGCAAAGCCCATGATTTCTAGCTCCTTGGCATCAAGCCACAGTGCGATCTTGGCAAAGTCCTCCTCCTCAAACAGCGCCACCTGCAGCAAGTTGTTCACGCAGTGGATCCCGCACTGCGCCATCTGCTGCCGCTCCCAGTAGATGACCGCGTTCGGAGGCGCCTTGAGCTTGCTCGCCGCCGCGCCGCCACACTCTCCGCCATCGGCCCCGACCCTGCCACCGCCATCACTCCTTCCAGGCGGCGGAGCCACACCGCCAGGTGTCGACGATGGGCGCTCGCTCCGTCCGCCCTGCTGCCCGATGGCCCTGGTCCGCTAGAAGTCTCCGGCTTGCCCGGCGCCTCTGCAAGAGGCGGCTCCGACTCGGTACCTACCCCGGGATGCGCACCTGATGGAGTTGGCGCGGGTGGACCGCCGTCTGGGGGAGGAGGGATGCTGGGGTACATATGCCGAAGAGAGCCGTCTGTCTGTCTCTCTCTCTCTCTCTCTCTGTGTGTGTGTGTGTGTTGCCTGGTCGGTGGCAATGGCTGGGCTGGGGAGAAGGTGTTCCATGCGGAAGCTGCAACTCGGTTGCGGGCACCGGCACCGACGACCTGTACACGCGCCGATGAGTAGGTGTTTATGAGGGGTGTGTACGAGAGAGAGAGTGCGAGAGAAAGAGAGCGAGAGAGAAAGAAAGAGGATGTGTGGGGAGGTGGATTACCTGTACGCCGAGTTGTTGTTGGGATGGTTGGCGTTGGGATGGCGAGCGTTGCGATGGTTGGCGTTGTGGTTGTTGTTGTGGTTATAGGCGCCTCCGTAGGCGCCAGGCCCCACGCCGCTGCCCGAGTGGGCGGAGATTTCGCGCGAGTGCTGGCAGATGGTGCAGACGGTGCAGCAGCATGATTGACAGTAGTCCTCGCCCTCCATGGTGGTGGTGTGGTTGCCGATGCCGTATCCGGCCTTGATATGCTGGCGGTTCTGGCAGACGCAGTACCAAGTGACCGGCAGGCCGACGCCGTAGAACATGTTAAGGCCGCACATAAAGATGCCGGCGAGGATGTCGATGAACGAGATCTCGCGGTCCTCAAAGCGGGCCGCATTGACCCGGATCATGCATGTCGAGCAGAAGAGGACCATGCAGCAAGACTCCATGTCCTCTGCACACGAGCAAAGATCCGAGCTCCAGGGCACCGTCGCGCCCGATGCTGCGTACCGTCCAGCAGCTCCACCTGCAGGGTACGACGCGTACGAGGCCTGGACAGGCTGTGCGGTCGGCGGAGCGCCATATGCCCCCCCAGCTGGCGGCGGAGCGGCATACGCCCCTCCAGCTGGCGGCGGAGATGCATACGCCGGCGGCGGAGGTGCCGATGAAGCACCTGGTGCACTGCTGCTAGGATAGCCGCCACCATAAGCCGCCTGGTGCTGCTGCGGAGGAGGCGGGCCACCATAGGGGTTCCCACCGTAGGCATTCCCACCATGAGCCGAGGACGACGATTGACCACCCTTTGACGGCGGTGCGACATAAGCCGGAGGCGGGGCATTAGACATGCTTGTTGGTGTTTGGTGTGCGTATGTGGATGTGGGAGTGTGTGTGTGTGTGTGGGTTGCGGTGCGGTGACTCTTGAGTGAGGGTTGGAAAAGAGTACGGTCCGGGACTGGCGTGGGTCACGTCAGAGAGGGGGGGGGGGAGGAGGGGGGGGGTATGTGTGAGAGGGTGTATGGGTATATGGGTGTGCTGGGTGTAGTGGTGGTGTGTGGAAGAGTGTGGGAGGTGGGAGAGAGGGTTGCAGTGGTGGAGTGTGGCGACAATGGTGGTGGTAGTGGTGGTAGCTGTGGTGTTCGTGGGTGTCATGGTCTGGTGGGTGTCGGCGAAGGAACGGTTGCCGTTCGTTCTCTGAGCCATGTTGGCATGTGCGGATATTAATCGATGGTCCGTCGCATGGGCGATGTGAATACGGGCCCAGCCAGCACCTGCATCGTCCGCGTCCGCCGCAGCCACTGCATGCCTTTGCCACCGAAGCAAATCGGTCGTTCCGCTATTAAAGGATTACGTCGAGACGGCGTAGATCGAGGTGAGGAGGGTATCAGCATCCCAGTCGACGACATATGGATGATGTGGCGAGATGGTGGGGAGGGTGACGTGGCGATCCTCAGTAGACGGCGGCGCAACGATGGCGTGTTCTTCGATCTCGGCGAGGCTAAGAAGGGATGAGAGCCGAGTGCAAGATGCGTGCACGGTTGCGACAAGCCACGGTGCGACCACAAAAGCATCCAGCGCACGCTCCGGCCACTTGAGGATGTGGTGCGGATGCAGCTGCGGCGCGGCGAGGAGAACAACACCGAAGGTGTCAAAGACCGCCAGCATCGACCCTGCGTCGATCGGCCGTAGACCGAGAAACCGGCTCGCCTTGGTCACTTCACCCGGCACGAAAATCGACGACTGCACCGCCGTCAGCGCCCGCCCAAGGCTCGCACTGCCCGGCGACGGGATCAGGACGTTGTCACCGGGCTTGGGCAGCTGGCTCAGCGACAGAAGGCCCGAGTGGCCCGATGACGACGATGCCAGCGATGACTCCTCAGAGATTGACGAGCCGTAGAGTGACGCCATCGACTCGGTCCATGACGGTGCCGGCATCAACGTCTCGTACGGCCGGCTCCCGTTCGGAAAAGAGACCACAGCGTTGCCGTCATCGCTGCTCACCGCCTTGCAGAAAACGCGCGGCGGCTTGGGAAACAGCGAGTTGTGCTCTAGCTGGACGAGGACAGAGGTCACATCCTTGCTCACCATAAAGCCGACCAGCATCAGCGAGGCCTCGATGGCTTCCGGCGCAAACGGGAGCGCCGCTGACGAGATCATTTCAAATGCGCGGGCCTCGGCGCTCCACGCCAGCATCTGCAGCGCCGGACCGCTAGTTACCACCCCGACGCACTGCGCCTCTGGCAGCGAGAGGACAGCAGAGAGAACAGCGTCGGCAGCTGCGGCGATGACGACCGGGTCAGGCAGCTCGCCGCCGCTGAAAGCAGCAACCAGAGCCCCTATCGCGATCCGCTCCAACCGCCCTTGCCGCCGGATGACGAGCTGGCCCACGGCGTTAAACGCCTCGATTTGGCTGGCGTCGCCGATGCGGGCCACCAGCCGAGGCAGCGAGCGGTGGCCGTCCGAGCTGGCGTAGATGCCAACGTCGGTGGCAAAGACGGTCATCGGTCGTTCGCCCTCGATCTCAACTCTGGTCACCGACGTCACCTGCGCGCCAGTGACAACCTCGGGCAGCGAGAGGCCGACCGCAGAGCTCGGGAGCTTGGCGCTGCGCGAGGACGTGTTCTTGGGCCTATTGCGCTTGCCTGGCTGCGGCGCGGATGCCGACGGTGATGCCGACTTGGCCTTCTTGTTGACCGGCTGCTGGGCGCTGCGGCCAAATGGGGCCGGCACCGTCCCGTTGCGCTCGGCAAAGATCTCGATGCGGTGCGGGCGCTTGGCCCGGGCAGCCCTCGCCCTCTTGGTTGGCACGCCACAGCCCGGCATCGCAAACGAAGTCGAGAACGACGGCGCCCGCGACGGTGCATCAGAGTCGTCGTCATCGCGCACAAACTCCCCGAGAGGAACAAGGTACGCACTCACCGAGCCCACCAGCTTGGAGAGCGCGTCGCCGCGCCGCTTGGTGGCGATCTGATACAGCGCCGACGCACGCCAGGCCGCCGACGCCTTGGCCGCGTTCACGATCTTGGCGCGGAGCGCAGCAGCAAAAGCCTCGCCGCGCGGGTACACAGAGTCGAGAATGGGACCAAACGCAGGCATGTCGTGCGTGCGCGCCACCGCCACCGCGTACGCGGCCCCGTGGATCGCGTGGTCATTGACCGGCGAGACAACGATGACCACGTCGGTCTGCACAGAGGCCAGGACAGATGTATCGAGGCATGCGTACGGATCATCGGAAAAGACAAGCTGGATGGCGTTGCCGTCGACAAAGTCGCGGACAGATGGCACCGGCAGCATTGTCGCAACGTGGAACATAATTTCCGACCCCGCCACGTCGCCGACGTAGAGCGAGTGCTCGCCAGTCGCGTCCGACCTCGTGTCAAGGCCACCGGAATACCCGCGGAAGTTCCGCAGCGCCACCACGTCGCCCACAAGGTCCAAAAACTGGTGGTACTCGGCCGATGGAGGGCTGTCGACCCGCAGCGCACCATCGATGGTGCGGACACCGGGCCGCGCGTACAGTAGAGACGCAACAACCTTGGGCGCCACATCGTCGGCTTCCATCCGCAGCAGCGTCCCGTTGAGCCGCGATAGCATCGAAGTCACCACCAGCGATCGCGAGGTCTCGTGCTGCGCCCGCGGCACAACCAGCCGCTTGAAGCATCCCGACCACTTGGCGAGGTCTGGATCGATGGCCACCAGCAGCTCGTGAAGCGGCTTCTGCAGCAGAGACTCGACGAGGTTCCGGGAAACACCTTGCCGCCGCCACAGAATGACGCGATACTGCAAGCCGACCGGGTTGACCGCGATCGCCGCCACAGAGACGACAACAACCTCGGCCTTGGGTAGCACCGCCACAAAGTGGACGTGATCGACGGATGGGAAGAGGCGCGCAAACCAGGCGGCGTACTGTGGCGGGCTTTCGACCAAACGATCGACCTGCCGCCCAGTCCCGCTCTTGCTCTGCCGGCCCCACTTGATCACCCGCCGCGGAATGTCCATCTCCATCTCCGACCCAGCTGTCGCCACGTTTGGCGTCGAACCCTGGATGCCAAAGTCCGTTACACGCCGATGCCGCCGATGCCGTCGCCGCCGGGATAGGCCGCCGTACGGGCCCAACAACTCCCTCGGCGGGCCCCAATTGACCCCGTCAGCCGACGAGTCTGCCGAGTCCGAGCCTGCCTCCGAAATCGGCCATGAAAGCGCCCATGCGGGCACGTCATCACACGTTGTGCTTGTTGTGTATGTTGAGCTGTCGTAGCTCCTTGTCTCCGACTCGGCCCATGAGCTCGCGGACTCTGATGCCGACATGGCCTCGTCAGACCTGTGCTTGTTGGCTCGTGTTCCGAACAAACGGAGCACGAGACTGCCTCTTGGATTGTACGTCCTCAGCTGCACGCGCACACACTCTGCAGAAACACTCACTCCAACACGGTTGAAGAAGAGCGATGAGAGGTGACGCGATGCGTGTGCAAGACGATTGTAGTGAGAGTGGTGTGTGCCTGGGTGAGTGCGGGAATGAGACTGATTGCGGCTGTGACATCGGAAAAGATTCATAGCTCCATTTTTTCCCCTCCCTTGACTTTCCTGCACACCCCTGCCCCTCTCCCGCACACCCCTTCCCCTCTTCCGCACGCCCCGCCCATCTCCGGCACACCTTTCCCATGCACAAGAGTCCAACCCCAGCATAGTGTACCTCTCATCGCCTCCACGCACAACTGCACGCATCCCAAGGCAGGTACATGACGTCTACTGGCATGCGAGGCCATGACCGGTGATTGGCATGTAAACGCACAATCTGGTCAACCCCGGCCATTATTCGTCTTGGCACGCGTTCTCCCGTCGCCTGCCCACCACCGGCCGCCGACCGCAGCACAGCAGCCACCGCCGCTCGCCGCGACTCACAAGCTCACTCGGAGGAGGGGGACACAGCACTTGTGGTGTGTGGGAAGAGAGCAACGGCATGACCATATACCGGGCGTATCTGCTGCGTAAGGCCGACGAGGCACTTGGGGTCACAGGAAGAGCCGCTGGTGGTGCGGCTGCTGGTCTTGGCGGTGGTGGTGGTGGTGGTGGTGGTGGTGGTGGTGGTGGCGTCGCCCGTGGTCCGAGACGCCATCGGGCTGGGCTGGACGAAGCGCTGGACGGGCAACAGGACGGGGTAGTGGTAGTGCGGAGCAGTTCCGAGACTCGCCGACGTCTGCAGCGGCGGCGACCAACGCATCGCCACTGCCGAACCTCTCGTCGGTGCTCTCGCTCTCGGCGCTCTCGCCGTCGCCGTCGCCACCTACATCGGGCGCGGTGGGCCGGACCCACTCATCACCGGCACTGGCAAGCTCGCCACTACGGACGGTGGCTTTTGGCAGGTCGCGGAGCCGGGCGCTGAAGATGGGCGGGCGGGGGAGCCCGCTGGCGGCGGGCGCGGCGACAGGTGCGCCTGGCAGCGCGGATGAGGTGCTCGGCCGCGTCCTGCTGGCTATCCGGTTTGACGCCGCCGGTGTTGCGCATCGGGTGCCGCGCTCAAGCGACACATCGACCGGGCCCGATGATGCGTCACTTACAGACATGCTGAGCATCCCACACTCGCGACTGACAACGGCGGTGACCCGGCGCGGAGTGTGGGTGCAGGCTGCAGCGGGTGCAGGGAGTGCCACACTGCCGCATGCCCTCGGCGCACACATTGTGCATGGGACCAAGGTCTCGCTTATAGTGCTCGCTGACGGTGACGCGCATGGAGTTACCGAAGACGGCGCTGCAGTGCTAGAAGTGCTCGACGCGGAGCTGGCGTCACTGGCGCGGCCGACCCAATTCCGCGAGCTCGATCCGCCATCGCCGGTCTTTCTCGACTTTGCGCGGATGTTGCTACTGCTGGCGTTTACACGGGATCCCGTTCTCGCCCACGCCCGCGTCTCTTTGGTAGCCGGTGGCGGCGGGGCAGGGTACGGCGGCGGCGGCGGGTGCGACGACGCAATTTCGTGGGCATCGCACTCGAGCTCATCGAGCGGCGGCGGCGAGGGCGCGTCCAGCTCTGTGGCCGGGGCGTTCTCGCTGGCATCTCTGGTGGACACGCTCAGTAAGCTCGGGGTGACGCCTGGGGTGTTTTGGACTGCAGAGGAGGCTGCGACGGTGCGGACAACGTCGGCGTCTTGGATGCTGTTTCAGACCGAGGTCTTTCACGAGGCCGACGACGAGCGGTCGTCGCCGGCGCTGAGCAAGTTTGTGGACGTCCTGCTCCGTGAGGCCGAGGCGGCTGCGGCCGGCGAACCGTCGCTCTGGCTGCTGACGCTGGCTGAGATGGCGATTTACTTTGGCAAAGACGAGACGGTGGACGAAGTGGTCAAGTTTGTACGGCTTGCGGCCAACACCGGGCTGGTTCGCGTGGAGACTGCGGTGGCGGTGTCGGACGTGTTTGTGCCGACGCCGCGCGGACTCGCGCTCTGTACACCCGAGTGGTGGGAGGCGTTCGGCCAGCGAAGCGATCTGCCGCTCGGCTATGCGACGGCCGGCCAGGTCCTCCTTGACCTGCTGCTCACACGATACGAGTGCATCCAGAGCGTTGCGGCGCGACTCCGGCGGCGACTGCCTCGGCTCGGGCTGGACGTGGCGGGGGTGATGGCGCTGGTGGAGATGCTGGTGGCGGAGCGGGTGGTGAAGCGGGTGTACATGGTGCCATTCATCGATTTTATGCGGTTCTTCCGCGACTGTACGCTCTCGGGGGTGCATCCAGACATGATGCAGCGGCTGCTGCAGCTCGAGCCGTACTTTGAGCACGCGTCGGCGCGGCGGTACACCCTCGAGGAGCTGCTGGCGCTGGTCAACCTGCGGGCGGGCGCAAACCCGCCGCTTACTTTCGAGACGCTAGTCGGCGACTTGGACTCGCTCGACATCTCGCTCTCGTGGTTTGTGCTCGACGACGCCGGTGTTCTCGTCCCGGCCTCCACTGTCGCTCTCAATGGCTCCTCGGTCGACTGCTCTTGGGCGGCATGCTGCAGGCGATGATTTCTCCCCCGCCCTACCTAGCTCGACTCAAAGTCAAACGGCAACGACGACGAGTCAGTAGCCGACTCTTCACCGTCGCCATCGCCGTCGCCGTCGGCTGATCCGGATCCGTATGACCCGGAGCCTGACGACGACGATGACGATGACGACGACGTTGCTCTCTTTTTCTTCTTGCGCCTTGAGCGGTCTTTGCTTTTGGGCGTGACCCGCTTGGGCTTGGGCTTGGGCTTGGATTGTTTGGACTTGGATTGTTTGGACTTGGCCTTCTTGGACTTGGCCTTCTTGGTCTTTGCCTTCTTGGACCTGGTAACCTTGGGCTTGGCAACCTTAGGCTTGGTGACCTCGGCCTTGACCTTACCCTTACTCTTACCCTCACGCTTTCCCTCACGCTTTCCCTCACGCTTGCCCTCACGCTTGCCCTTGCCCTTCCTCTTCTCCTTGCCCGTGCCCTTGCTCTCGCGATCGGGCTCGGTCTCGTCGTCAGCTGTTGCCTCGTACCGCTGCCGACGGCGGCGGCCGCGCCCAAAAACGCACCGACTTGCCGTCCGTCCTGATATCCGCCAAGAGCCTTGTCGTACATGGCGAGAGGCTGCCAGCCCGACTCGGCTACCACCAGGGTGGCAACTGATCTAGAGCCAACGCCGGGCGTGGGACGGACAGTTGACGATGCATCGCCTGACGGATTGGTCGAGTCGGTCAACGACTGCTCCGAACTTGACGAGCTCTTTGTGCGGAATTGCTTGACGGCCGACTTTGGATACTTTGTAAACTCGACCATGGCCTTCTTGCGGGCGATACGAGTAACGAACCGCGTCCGCTTGACGTACGTGCCGTAGACGAGCAAGCCCACTCCGACAGCACACACACACACCGCCAGCACAATTCGAAGCGCCAACGGCGAGTCACCATCACCCGTCATAACCATCGCCACACCCGCGGTCGTGTTTGCCGCCATCTGTCCGTCTCTCTGTTGGTCTGTCGGTCTGTCGGTCTGTCGGTCTGTCGGTCTGTCGGTCTGTCGGACAACACACACACACACACACACACACACACACACACACACACACACACACACACACAGGTGTCGAGTGGGTGGTGGGAGGTAGGTGGTGGGAGTGAGTGCAGTGGGTGCAGTGGGTCAAGTGTGAGGGCACTGGCGTGGGTGTACCGTGTGGGCGTGGGCTTGGCCAGGTGGCCTGGTTCACAGCTAGTCAGCGGCAGTGGTTGGCGGGCGGCGGGCGGAAGAAGGGCGGGCTGAGGGCTTGGCCGGGGGGGGGGGGGGAAGGGGGGGGAGGTAGTGACATGGACAGGGGTCGCCAAAGATGTTGCGGAGATGCCACGGTGTGCCGTTGTCCACACCATGGACAGCTACCTTCGCTATCGGTTACTCCTCAAGCGTTGCCTGACCATGATCATGATCATCACCATCATCACCTTACCATCATCGTCATCACCATCATCTTCAATGGCCTTCTTGCCTGCTGTAGAGGTGACAGCATTTGACAGGCCGAGGCAAGCAAGACACGAGCACATCAACATCTTCTCCGCATCCCGCTTTGTACCCCCCCCCCCCCCCCCCCCCCCTCCTTCTCTCTCTCATCGCCCACTCCAAACTCGATCGAGATCGGATTGCCGCAGTCCCCCTTCCCTCCGTCCCTCCCCCACCAGCCCGGCTGACCGGCTCCCTGTCGTCAGCTGGAGAGGTAGAGACGACAGAACAGTGGCAAAGTCACACGACTCGAGGGGGGCAAGGGCGTGGGCGAGGAGAAGGAAAGGACCAATGGCGGTGTGGCAGCTGCAGAGCGTAGTGGACGATACCACTCTCGGTGAACTGTCGCACTACGAGGCTGCATCCTCCTACGCCATGGCTGCCACTGCGCCGCTGCTTGGCGGAGACCGACGTGGGGCGAGTCGACTGAATGTGAATGGTGACGACGGAGAGAGCGGCGGACGATGGACCGGACATGGCGGCGGTGGTGGACATGGCGGCGGTGGTGGACATGGCGGCGGTGGTGGACATGGCGGCGGTGGTGGACATGCCGGTGGTGGTAGTGGGCATGGTCATGTCATGACTGCGGCTGAAGTTGCTCGCATGAACAGCTACGAGTCGCTCGACTACGAGGTGTGGTACTCGGAGGCGCAAGAGGCGTTTGAGGAAGAGAACCAAGGCGCAAAAGGCTACGCTTGGTTCATGGCGGTTATGCCTTGGCTTGCTATGTTTGCCATCGGTCTCGCCACGGGCATCGTCTCCTTTGGCATCTTTCAGGCTGTCAAGAACCTCGCCGCCACCCGCTTTGCGCTCACCTTTTGGATGCTCGATCACGTGTCGCTCGGCGCCGCCTTTGCGGCCTACGCCGCATGGGCCGGTGTCTCGGTTGGCATTGCCTCGCTGCTGGTCATGGGCATCGAGCCTGTGGCCGGCGGCTCGGGCATTCCCGAGATCAAGGGCTATCTCAACGGGACAAACGTGCACAAGCTGATGCGCCTCAAAACCGCGGTGGTCAAGGTCCTTGGCGTCATCTTTGCCGTCTCGGGCGGCCTGACGTGCGGCAAAGAGGGCCCGCTTGTTCACACGGGCTTTGCCCTCGCCGGTAACATTGTGCACTTGCCAAAGATGGCGACGGCTTGCGCGACTCGGGCGAGCCGCAAGTACTGGCAGGCCTTCCGGTCCGACGTCCACAAGCGCGACTTTGTGACTGCAGGCGCGGCCGCGGGCGTTGCGGCCGCCTTTGGCGCCCCGGTCGGAGGCGTCCTCTTTGCGCTGGAGGAGGCGTCGTCGTACTGGCAGCTCCAGCTGATGTGGCGCTCGTTCTTCTGCGCCCTCATCGCCACGTTCACCCTCATCTTCTTCCGCTCCGGCTCCGAGGGCTCGTGGCTTGACCTCTCCTCTCCGGGCCTCATCACCTTTGGCGAGTTCAAGCCCAACGCGTACCGCCTGTGGGAGCTCATTCCGTTTCTGGGCCTCGCCGTTGTCGGCGGCATGCTTGGCGCGTTTTCAACAAGTGCAACAACGCGCTCTGCCGCTGGCGCCGCGACCACATCGAGAAGGCCGCCACAATCAGGGTCCTTGAAGCCGTCGCCATCGCCGTCCTCACTGCCGCGCTCTCGTTTTGGCTCCCGGTTGCACTCCAGTCGTGTAAGGAGCTGCCGGCTAGGCTCTCCGTCGACGACGCCGAGCACTACCACCGGTTCCTTTGCAAGCCCGGCGAGTACTCGGCCATGGCCAACGCCATGTTCAACACTCAGGAAGACATCATCAAGGGCTTCTTCCACATCGAGGATCCGTACCCGATCCCGGTCCTTCTCATCGTCCTCGCTCTCTACTTTGGCCTTGCTACCATCACCTACGGCCTCGCCGTCCCAGCCGGCCTCTTTGTCCCCGCTATCATGTGCGGCTGCGCCTACGGCCGCATGGCTGGCGAGGCCATGGACTCGCTCTTCCCCTCGGCCGACATCGACTCGGGCGTGTACGCCCTCATCGGCGCAGCCACAGCCCTCGGCGGCATCACCCGCATGACCATTTCGCTCACCGTCATCCTCCTCGAGACGACCAACGACATTCAGATGCTGCTCCCGCTCATGGTCGGCGTCATCGTCTCAAAGTGGGTCGGCGACTGGTTCAACATCTCACTCTACGACCTCCACGTCGAGCTCAAGTGCATCCCGTTTGTGGAGAACAACCCGCCGGCTGGCCTCGAGCGCCTCACCGCCCGCGACATCATGGTCACGCCGCTCGTCACCCTGCCTCACCTCGTCACCGTCGGTGCCGTCTACGACGTCCTTGTCTCCACCTCACACAATGGGTTCCCGGTCGTGGCCCACCGCGCATCCGCTCCAGCCCCGCAGCAGCTCCTAGCACCGCCATCGTCGCCGTCGTCGTCGGACCCGCGCCTGGTCGGCATCATTCTCCGCTCCCATCTGCTCTCCCTACTCCGCCACCGAACCTTCTACCACGAGCTTGACGGGCCCGACGGGAGCCCGGTCCTCGACCTTGCACAGGACGCGTCGATCCCGCACGTTCTCGACTTTGCGCCGTCGCTCTCGTCGACCTCGGATGCGCTCGCCACCGACCTTGCCGGCGTGGCGCTGCGACCGGGCGACCGGGACGCGTTTATCGACTTGCGGCCTTTCCTCAACAAGGCACCGTTCCGAGTCCTCCTCGAGACGCCAGTCCCGCGCGTCTACCGCACCTTCCGCTCGATGGGCCTCCGCCACTTGTGCGTGGTCGACGAGAACAACACCCCGCACGGCATCATCACCCGCAAGGACATCCGAACCGACTTTACTGTCGACCTCAACTAAGGCGGAGCCTTTCAGCGGGCAGGATCAGCCTCAGCCGTGGCGAGAGCCTCGGCCTTGGCGGCAGCCTCGCGCGTGGCATTCGTCTTGGCCTCCACCGCGGCGGCTTCTGCAGCCGCCAGCGCGGCGGCCTCGCCAGCCTTAAAGTGGGCCTGGCACGTGGCCGAGCAGAGAATGTAGTGGATGTTGGGCGACTTGCCGTAGCCGAGCGCCTCGAGCACGGCGTCGCGGCCCCAGTGGCCGTACTTGAGCGAGGCGAGCGGGAGGTCGTCGAGGCAGTACGCCCACGGGCACTCCTTGCACACAAAGAGCAAGCCGCCGCCGTCGGCCGCCGAGCGGGTGCACACCCCGCACCGGTGCTGTGGGCAGCGCCAGTAGCCGGCCCGCATGCCGGAGCGCAGCTTCTCGGGATCGGTCTCGGTCTCACCTGCACAGAGCGGGTGGAAGACGCGCGGGCACGCGTCGCAGCACACCAGCGAGCCGCCGTCGCGGCACCCGTGGCACAGGCTCTGCCACGCAAAGTAATCGCCGGCCTTGCGCCGCGCCGGCATCGGCGTGGTAATAGTAAAGTCATCGGTCGGGTCCGGCTCGTCGGCGCAAGCGACCGGGAGCGAGAGCTGCGGCGGGAGCCCGACGGCGGCGCGCGCAGCCTCGAGCATCTCCTGTGGCACGTTGGTCTCCACCAGCGCAGCCGGCTCAACGGCATCCTCGGCGGCCGGCAAGGCAGTGGCCGACTGAACGACCGAGTCGTCGTCGAGCGCCACCGCAAGCTCCTCGTCCTTGGCCACCGTGTCGCGGTGGAGGAGGAGCTTGGCGTCGGCGACGGCGAGCACGTGCTCGTCGATCGTCCCGCGGGTCGAGAGCCGGTAGATGGTCACCGGCTGGTCTTGCCCAATGCGGTGGGCGCGGTCCTGGGCCTGGACGTCAACGTGAGGGTTCCACGCCGAGTCGAGGAGGACAACCGTCGAAGCCGAGGTGAGCGAGAGGCCGAGGCCGGCGGCGCGGGTTGAGAGCAGGTACACATGCGCCCGGCACTTGGGATCATTGAACCGCGAGACGTCAAACGAGCGCTTGGCAAGCGGCGTCGTCCCGTCGAGACGCAGCCAGTGAAAGCCGCGGCCAAACTCTTGCTCGAGCATGGACTCGACAACGTCGAGGACGGTGGTAAACTGCGAGAAGACCAGGATCTTGGCGTTGGCGTCGCGCGCGGCGCGAACCATGTGCAGTACAACCGCAAGCTTGCCCGAGCGTGCCACGAGCCGCTTCACGCTTGGAAGCTCGGCGTCCGACGGCGCCGACGCCAGCTGGCGCAGCCGCTGGACAGTGGCCAGCCACTGCGAGTGCGCGTCCGACGACCGACCCTCCTTGCGGGCAATCGCCGCCCTCCGCGCCTGGTCCACGGCGAGCGCGTACGCCGCGTGTTGGTGGGTGGTAAGCGGGATCGAGAGGCGGACCTCGGTCTTGGGCGGGATCGAGGCAGCCACTACGGCCTTGGTCCGCCGCAGCAGGATAGCGTCGAGCATGGCAGCCGCAGCCTCGAGCGTGTCCTTGCGGTAGCCAGTCGCCGAGGCCGACGACCTGGTCGGCAGCGCTTTGAACGGCTTGGGCGACGAAAAGATGGGAAAGGCGTAGTTGATCATGGCCCACAGCTCGTGGAGCGAGTTCTGCACCGGCGTTCCGGTCAGCAGGAGCCGCGAGACAGACTTGAGCCGCCGCACGTTCTTGGAGATGTTCGACCGCGGGTTCTTGATCCGGTGCGCCTCGTCAAACACAATGTAGTGCCACACAAACTTGGTCCGCAACTTGCCGAGCGATGACGAGAGCGTCTCTGCCGTCGTGATGGCCACGTCAAAATCCATCGGCAGCATGACGTACTCCATGACCTTGTCACGCTCCGACGCCGTACCATGGAAAATAGCCACACGGAGCGACGGCGCCCACCGCCGGAGCTCGGCCTTCCACGACGGGAGGAGCGAGACGGGCACAACAATGAGGTGCGGGCCGGCGCGCCCGTTCGAGTTCTCGGTGATGTGCAGGAGAAAGGCGATGGCCTGCAGCGTCTTGCCGAGGCCCATCTCGTCGGCGAGGATCGATGAGACGCCGGCGTTGTGATGCTGCAGCATGAAGTTGATGCCGCGTCGCTGGTGCGGGTGGAGCTTTCCGCCGGCCATCCCGCGCGGCTGCTCGCCCTCGGCAATGAGCGGGACGACGGGCGCGTGCTCGGGCTCGGACGAGCTCGACGAGCTAGATGACGAGCCCGAGTACGAGGTCGAGCCTGACGAGGTGGACGAGCTCGACGAGCTCGACGACGAACCTTGCCGGTTCTTCTTCCGCGCCTTGCGCTCGGCACGGAGCCGCTTGCGCTCGGCCTTGGAGCGGAAGAGCTTCGGCCCAGAAAGTAGCGGAAGCCCTCGGGATGCGCCCGCGCAAACCGTTTCTCCATCCGCGACGCATCGCTGACCCACCGCATGAGCCGACGATTGCGCCGGTTCCGCGAGACGGCCCGCTCCTTCCTCACGGCCCGCGCCTGCGAGCCAAACTTATCAACCACAGCCTGGGCCGCTTCGCCGCTCTCTGTCCGCCCATGCCCCTCGTTCTCGTCTTCCTCCTCTAACTCGGCCTCTGCATCGGCTTCGGCCCGTGCTTCCTCCGCCGCCTCGTCATCGACGACCACCACGGACGAAGGCGACGGATCCGACGAGACGGCGACAAGGTCGTCCTCGGACGGAGCATGGCCTGCCGACGGGGGAAGACCACTTGAAGCGGTAGCACTTGGACTTGGAGCAGCAGAGCCATCCAAAGTACGTGACCGCTTGGCCGGTGGAGGCGAGGTAGCCACCTTGCTCACGCCATGGGCCTCCGCGGGAGGCGGAAGCGCCGACGAACGCGGCGCCAGACTCGACGCCTTTGCCTTGCCACTCGCCCCAGCTGTCTGCTCGTCTTGTGGGCCACCTCCTACCTCCTCTTCCCGCTTCCGCTTCTTGTTCTGTTCCTCGCCTGGGCCTGCAGCGCTGAAGAATGACTTGAGTGTGGCCATGATTGCGATCGGACTGGTGGGATGGGTGGGGGTGGTGGGGGTGGTGGGGGGGGGGGAGGGGGAAGAGGAAGAGTCGAGTGATGAGGATTCTATCAGTGGCGGCCAAAGCTGATGTCACCCACTTCCCACTCCCTCTCTCCCTCGGCTGCACCGAGCGCTTGTCTTGGCCCAGAGAAGTGGCCTGTGATCCGAGGTGATGATCTGACCCAAGTCGCAGGACTCGACCGATTCTGGTGGACTAGTTAATATCTGGCTTTAACCCTTAGCGGGACGGGCGTTCGGACGCGTTGTCGCGCGTCTCAAAGTGGCCAACTCGATGATGCTGGACTTCCAGGTTACCGGCCGACGCTGCGCGACGCCTGCTTGGTCTGCGGCATGAGATGGGAGGCGCGCCCGCCCACAAGTGATGACGGCCGACACGCACACGCCCGCCTGAAGGATGCCCGACCTGGGAGCATGGGCGAGGTGCGCGAGGTGCCGTACGGTGCCGATCCGGAGGAGTGGCAGGCGCGGACGGTGCGGTGGTTGTCGTTGACGACCCCGACAACCGGGAAGTTGAGCATAACAGAGTTGAACACATCGGCCGGACGGGAGAGCGTGAGGAAGTTGTGGATCTTTTTGCGACGGACGAGCTTGCCGGCCAGCATGGCCGCGCAAGTGGTAGCGCGCCATCTTGTAGGGTTCTGGACGCTGCGCTCATCAACGCGTAAGCGCTGAACGCTGACGCCCCACCATGATTCGCGTGGCTTTTCGCTACGACATCATCGACGCCCTCGCCGCCGGCGCCGACACTGTCAGCTTCGCGCCGTCGCGCAAGCGGAAGCGTCCCTGTGCAGCAGCTGCTCGTCATCACCACTTTCCCCAGCGAGCCGCTATGCGAAGGGACTGCCTCGCCTGCCGGAAGCTTCATGGTAAGCGATCGATCGCGGCCGCGGACCTTTCGCGCCGCGTGCGGTATCCATCTCTGCGTCGCCAACTGTTTATGTTGTGGCCCACATGTGGCCACAGCAGCCGTTAACACACTGTACTACTCTTACACCGCGATTGATGGACGTTGCGACGTCTGTGGAGCGTCGCGGAGCGCGGCTTGCACGATAAAGGAGTAAGACTTAGTCCGATGACGTCGAAGCCGACGCGGATGAAAGGCCCGACTCGCCAGAGTCATCAACCATTGACGAGTACGAGTATGTCGAGGTAGTTGAGGAGCTCGACGAGCTCGCCAAGGCCCGCATGCGACGCCGGACGAGCACGAAAACATAACAGCCACAACGCCAACCGCAACGAGAGCAGAAACAACTCTACCGACGATGCCGCCAGCAGAAGGCGACGCCGACGACGACGGGGTGGCGGAGCCAGGCGCCGGGTTGGTTTGCGACGCGTGTCCGACAACGCACGAGCTCGCCCCGCATGACACCGCGTAGTCACTTGTCACTGCCCGGACCGCGTCGGGGAACGAGATCTCGATGGAAGAGAACGAGCCCGCGCCGCGTGAGGCAAAGGTGACAACGGTCTGCGTCGCGTTGCCCGAGAGGCTAAAGCCGGTCGGGAGGATGAGCCGGAGGCTGCCGTCAAGCACTACGGATCCCGACCAGACAAGCGGTGCTCCTTCGCCCGACGCCGCCAGGGAGACCCGCAGCGTCGAGCTGCTATCGAGGTTGAAGCACGGGCCAGAGATCGAACCGGCCGGCGCGACAGCCACCGTTGCGCTCGCGGTCGTCAGGCAGCCTGTGGTCAGCTGCAGTGCTCCGGTGACGCTCAGCGTTGTCTCGCTCCCGACCTCGATCGGGATCTCAACCGACTCGGTTCCAACCGAAGTGTCGGTCGTGACCGAGACCTTGCCGCCGGACACCACGCCAAAGGTTGGCGTCGGCGACGGCGTGCCAAACACGCCCTTCAGCGTGAGCGTGTAGTGTCCGATCGACCCGTATGTCGTCCATCCAGTCGTCGCGTCGCCGTTCGCCGAGCCGCGGACACACGCCACGTGGGCCCGCCCAGCCCGCAGCTCATTCGCAGCATACTTGCGCACCACATCACCAGCGCCTTCCGGTGCAAGCGTCTCGATCTCGCCAAGCAGGTCTTCGGTCACGGTCAGCGCTACGTCGAGGTTAGGGCCGGGGCTGAACGGGGCCACTGTGATGTTGACACCGCCGTCCGGCACAAACTTGAAGCAGTCGACGTCGGTTGCCGAAGTGATAATGCCAGTGGCCACAACCGGGTTCGCCGACGCCGCAGCTGTTGAAGCCACGTCGGTGGCCGACGCCAGATCGCCGCCGTGGTCGTCAGCACGAAGCGGGAGATGCCCGGCAATGATCGCCAGATCGTCCTGCGACTGCGTCGCACCGCTGTACTCACCCTTGGACCACTGCGAGAGCAAACGCCCATAGCCGGTGCCCATGATCGGGCCCCAGTCACCATGCCCACCGTAGTAGGTCGAGCTGCTCTTGCCATCGTGCGAGAGCCCGAGCTGGTGCCCAAGCTCGTGTGACGCAGCATCCGCCATGTTGTCGGCAGCGTCCCCAAGTTGCCTGCGAACACCCACACCGGCTCGTACCTATCTGTGCTCTGCGAGAAGACGTCGACGTACGCCACGCCGCCGCCGGAAGACGATCGCCACTCGGTCGACGGAGTAAAGACAATGTGCGCCTTCTGGCTTTGCGAGTAGCTGTCGCACCCAGTCGCCGACGTGGTGATGGTCACGCTCCACGGGGCAAAGTCCTCGCCCATCCGATCCGCCACTTCGTTGATTCTCTCCATCTCCCGTGTCGTGTACGTCGTGTCCGGCGCGTCGATGCTCCATGGCGCGTAGTTGATCGGATGCGTCGAGTTCCACGCTGACCCGGTGATTGTCCCGCCGCCAAAGTCCAGAAACACGCACCGTTCGCCACCAGGCCGGACCGTGTACGGCGTCGGCGCACCCTCTGCCACCACAGGCCCGCTATCGGCGGCTGCCGGCACCTCGGCCGGAGCCGGCGCGCTGGGAATGTCGCACAGCACCGTGCTGAAGTCGCCAACCACAAGGCGATCGTCGGCTTCGCCATTGCGATGTGCCACCATCCGCACGCCCGCGCTGATCTTCTCGTCCACGCTGTTCCTCGCCACATGGACCACGACTAGGCCGTGTGCGTCTTCGGAAGCGATGAGCCTGTCGTGATGCGGGCAAGAAGCCATGCCAAGCGGACAGGCCTCGACAAAGCGGTGGTCATCGTCCGCCAGATGAACAACCTCATACTTCATCTCCAGTCCCGGCACACCAAACACGCTCCCAACAGCCATCTCGTCCCACATCGTCCACGAAAATCCGCCCCCAACTTCCGAGTTCGATCGAGACGATGCCGCCGACGCCGACAAGCTGGCATCAGCCGCAACCACCTCGTCCGTCACAGCCGTCCACAGCATGTCCGAGCCACTCGCAGAACTCGCCACAGAGGCCACACACAGCACCACAAACACAGCACAGAGCGACGTAGCCATGTACATGACTTGTCGACTTGGTTGAGTCGTGAGTCATATGAGAAAACGCATTGGTTTGCCCGTCGATGTGCTCGATAGGGTGAAGGCGGTTGCGGCTGAGAGCCAATTTGCGAAAGGCCCGCAGATATCCGAGTTGGCCGTGCTGGCCGTGATGGCGGCGGCCATGCCGATGTTACGCACCGTGATGACGGCGGCTATCACTGTCATGCCATGCCGATGTTACGCACCGTGATGACGGCGGCTATCACTGTCATGCCATGCCGATGTTGCGCACCGTGATGACGGCGGCTATCACTGTCATGCCATGCCGATGTTACGCACCGTGATGACGGCGGCTATCACTGTCATGCCATGCCGATGTTACGCACCGTGATGACGGCGGCTGTCACTGTCATGCCATGCCGATGTTGCGCACCGTGATGACGGCGGCTATCACTGTCATGCCATGCCGATGTTGCGCACCGTGATGACGGCGGCTATCACTGTCATGCCATGCCGATGTTACGCACCGTGATGACGGCGGCTATCACTGTCATGCCATGCCGATGTTGCGCACCGTGATGACGGCGGCTATCACTGTCATGCCATGCCGATGTTGCGCACCGTGATGACGGCGGCTATCACTGTCATGCCATGCCGATGTTGCGCACCGTGATGACGGCGGCTATCACTGTCATGCCATGCCGATGTTGCGCACCACGATGACGGCGGCTATCACTGTCATGCCATGCCGATGTTGCGCACCACGATGACGGCGGCTATCACTGTTATGCCATGCCGATGTTGCGCACCGTGATGACGGCGGCTATCACTGTCATGCCATGCCGATGTTACGCACCGTGATGACGGCGGCTATCACTGTCATGCCATGCCGATGTTGCGCACCACGATGACGGCGGCTATCGTTGCCGTGCCGTAATGTCTGCTGCAATGCCTGCATCCGACGCCAGTCGACATGCCATGAGCGTTCTCTTCGAGCTCGAGCTGCACTCCCTCTCCTCCTCCCTCTCCCTCTCCCCACCCCACTCTGCTCCACCCTGCCTGCATGAACGCTGTCCGCCGAAGCCTGGGCGGTGGCTGCACAGGCCTGCTCGACCTGCTCGCCACGCCGCTGGCCGGTCCTTCCACTCCGCTCCGCGAGTGGCTGCTCCAGGCGCCCGACCACGGCGCGTCGGTCACCTACCTCCGCCATGGCACCACTCCAGCAGAGACAGACTCGTCATCGAAGCCATCATCGGCGGGTATTGTTGTCCTCGGTTCGCGGCACTACTCGCGTGGTTCGATCGCAGATGTGGGCGCAGTGGCGGCGGCCATCAACTCGCTGGCGGGCGTGGCGGTCGAGCTGGATCCTGAAGGCGCAGAGCCGTTTGCAGACTCGGTGGCCGACGAGGCGTATGACTCGCTGCCGTCCGAGATGCACGTGGCTGCATGGGTCGCTGCCTCGCGCCGCATTCCGCTGCTTGGCATCGATCGTGATCGCTCGCGGACCTATGCCGGCATGCGGTCGTCGCGGTCGGTGGTCTCGATGATCCGCGGTTATCTGGTGCTCGCGGTGCGGGCGATGCCGTACTACGCGGCGCGATGGGTCGGCCAGGTGCTGCAGCGGCCGCCGCGCGAGCTTGCTGTCAAAGAGGATGCGCTCCGGGTGGTGATTGCCGAAAGGCAGGCAGCCGGCAAGGTCGAGCTGACGCCGGCCGAGGTCGACGCGGTTGTCGCCGCCGGTCACGCCCGCGAGCACCACATCCACATGCGGGCCATGGCGCGTGCAGCCTTTGCCGAGCACGCGTCGTTCCTCTCAATCTTGCTCGACCAGCGCGACTTTGCGATGGCCACGGCTCTGTGGTCCGCGCCGCGGCCGACCGTGCTCGCTGTTGTCGGAAAGGGCCACCTCGTCGGCCTCGAAGCCTGGTGGGACGCGCTGTCATCGCCGCGTCAGGCGTCGTGACGGAGCAAGGCTGCGCTCACGACAGAGTTCATTCGAGGAATCGAGGACCATGTTGCGGCAACTACGCTGCACTACCCATACGGCGAGCACTGGACGTGGAAGCCCGAGCCAGTCTCAAAGAAGACGTGGCGGGCGACGGTTGAGCGAAGCGTTGGGCCGCTGCCATCGGCGTGGCTGTCGCCGTCGCCGTTGCCGGGCGCGAGGCCGCCGTTCATGGCAAGGGTGTTGGGTGCGGTCCGCAGTGCGGCCTCATAGTCTGCACCCTGAGTGTGGGCAAAGAGGTGCAAGATGGCGGTGAGAGCAGTGGGAAGGATGGGCCCACCGATGTCGAGACAATACAGAGCCTCGACGCCCGACTCGTGGGCCTTGGCCCGCTTGATCACCCCGTTGTTCGCCACGTGCAGCGACTTCATCGACGCATTGAGGAAAGGGCCCGGAGCGAGGAGGACCGGGACGGTCAGCGGGCGGCGACGCCTCTTGTAGTTGAGCAGAAAGTTAAAGAGGGCATGGACGCCGGCCTTGGACTCGACGACTAGCGCCGACGTCGGCGTCTCGTCCTCGACAAGAGGGTGGACGCTCTCCGCGCCCGCCGCGACGGGCAGCGGAGAATGGAACGGCACATCGGCCTGGGTGAGGAGAGCCCGGAAGCCAGTCGTCGACGACGAGACCACCGCGCCGCCCGGGCGAAACAGGATGGTCCGCTCTGCCGTCTCAAAGTAAAAGTACGGCACGGCGCCGCGCTTGAAGAGCGCGTAGAGCGAGAGCAGTGCGCTGCGCCATGCCTCGCGCCGGAGCGCGAAAAAGTCGGCCAGCGCCTTCTCGTCGCCAGATCGCAGCGCCGGTGCCTTGTCCGACGCAAACGTGCCAAGCGTCACAAGATCGCTGGGCACGTCCGACTCGGGATACCGCCAGTACAGCAGCGCAGCCGCAAGGTTGGCCTCGACTCCGGCCGCGGGCTCCTCGCCTGGCGTAACGGCGGGCAGCTCGCTCCGCGCAAAGCCGATCGTTCCGGCGGCGAGTGCGTCAGCAGAGAGCGGCTCGGCCCAGTCAAAGCTCGATGTCGAGGTGAACCGGAGTGATGACTTGATCGACCAATCGCGCGGCATGACCGGCGCCGCCACCGCCGTCTCTGCGCTGCGGTCCGACGGTGCCGCCAGCTGCTGCAGCAGCTCGGCCTCGTCCTCCTCAAACATCGACATGGTCACCCGAGGCGTCTCCAAACTAACTGCGTCGAACGAGGGCATGCTCGCCACAAGCTCCTCGCTCAGCGTCGAGCCCGAACCCAAGTCCGAGATCGACCGCGAGCCAAGCCGAAGGAGCGAGAACTCGTCGCGCATCCCGCAAGTCGGCGTCGCTCGCGCAGATCGGCTGACCGGGTCACCTGACTCGCCGGCTCCATCGGCATACGGAAGGCCAAGCGAGGAGACCGGCCGCGTAAACTTGGACGCAAACTCGGTGGTGTTGGACCGGGGCGCCGCCGCAGCGGCAGCGGCAGCGGCAGCCGACGACGCCGATGACGCCTCGGCAGCCATTGCCGCAACCTTGTTCTGGCGCTTGCGTTCCTTGGCTCGCCGCCGTCCTCCGCGCGAGTACGGTGCAAACCGCGAGCTCGGTGAGAAGAGCGGCGTGGTCGTCGGCATCGTCGCCGACCGCACCACTTGTGGGGCCACAGCCTCGCCATCGATCTCGTGCGGAAGAAGGACCGAGAGCCCGCAGGGGTGTCGCAACGCCAGCGACGTTGCATCCTCGCCGGCAGCGGTAGCAGCAGCAGCCCTGCCGCTGCCACTGCCGTTGCTGTACGAGATCTGGAAAATCTGCGTCGGCTGCATGCTCGTCTCGTCACCGGCCGTGACTGGCGAGATCGAAGACCGCGACCGCGACCGGCGCATCCGCGCGGTGCTGAGCGGACGGGCGCGCGAGCCACCCTGCGGCGACGACGGCGGGCCTGACGATGCCGACCTCATCGGCACAGGCTCGTTCGGCGTCCGTGGCGTCACGTTGGCCTGCACCTCCATCGCCCGCGGTGTCGATGCGGCCGGCGTCCGCGGCGTCGACGCCACCGAGTTGCTCGGGGACGAGCCGCACGAGCCGGGAGTAGTCTTGAGAAAGTCGAGCATGCCAAACGAGGTCAGCTCAGAGTCGCGAGCCACGCCCATGTGGCTCGATGGCACGATGGCCTCAAACTGGAAGCGCGGCGGCCGCGATGGAGGCCGCGACGCCGATGACCGCGACGATGACGTCGACATTGCCAGCGGAGGCCGCGACGCCGGACGCGACGGCCGTCCCGTTCGCGACATGCCCGAAGCCCCGTTCGGGTTAGAGCTTCTCGACCGCATCGCTAAGCCAAGCTTCTGGATAAGTCCCGGGAAGTGCGGGTCGATGAGGCGTTTGTCTCAAAAACTGGCCAATGAGCCGATACTGACAGAACCGCCAGTAAAAGCGAAGAAGGAGGGGCCAGGAAAGGCAACGTTTCCGACGGTGTCGCGGGTGAAGCACGTATGTGGATGCGACACAGAGCAGATCAACAGATAGGCAATGTTCTCAACGACAAGCTTGTGTTGTTCTTGTTGAAACCCTCCTTAAAATGCGCTTCTACCGCTGGAAAGAGTCTCCCGCTACCTGGTGTGCGGTGCAGCGGCGAAGGCAGCGGAGCGGGTCGGCGAAGAAAGTCCCAATCGACGATTCTTCACCCTGCCTGGGGGAGGGGGGGGAGGGGGGGAGGTACACGGAACAGGTGCAAGAGGAGAGGAGGACGGGGGGGGGGGGGGGAGGGGGGAGGAAGGAGAGGGGAAGGAGGGAGGAGGGGGGCGGTGGTTAAGTGGCGTTCAGCCAGCTACGCCAGTGGGGTGCGGTGATGTGGGGGAAGGTCCGCAAAGGGTCCGTGACGGCAAGGTGACGACCAAGCGTTTTGTAGCTTTTGGCTTGACACTCATCGATGACGATGCGAACTGGTGGTTTGAAGACGGACACTGCTACGACGAGCTAGCAGCGCCGCTTGCGGTGGCCCGAGCAGAAGATACGGAACTACGGTCAGGCGAATGTGCAGATGAGCTCGGGTCGACTGCAGTAGTGGGGATATCGATGGCAAGGTCAGTGCGGCCCGCGAACTCGCCCGCCGCCTCGCAACGACGGACCGAGAGCGCTACGGTGAGCGAGAGGCGCGAGTTGGAGACGTACTCTGCGCGGCGACGCGGACAGCAGAACCAAGGATCGCGCCACTGCGTACCCGGGGCCATGATGAGATCTGTGGCAGAGGAGCCGAGCTCGAACGGATGGAGAACGAGACGGAGGTGGGCATCGACGTTCACCCAGGGTGACGAGGCTGGACCCTGGGTGAGGCGGGCGAGGGTGAGGCCGAGGTAGCCCGGAGCCACGCTCTGATCCTCGACGACACCGACAGCCCACCGATCGCCGCAGGCATCAAAGCACCGCTGCGCCGGAAGTTGGGCAAAGTCGCGCGGGCCAAAGACAAAGTCGCGCTCGACCGTGGTGGGCTCGCCGGTGGGAGCCAGATGTGACGGCGGGAGGCGCGGTTTGCGGCTCGAGGCGTACTGCGCCATCTCGTACTGCTGCAGCTTGCGGAGCTCGTCGAGTGAAAAGTCTGCAGCACAGTCGGCAGCCACAAACTCGCGGAGCAGGGCATCCGAAGTGTCTGTCGGCAGCAGCGATCGCGGGACTGGCTCGACACACTGCGACGAGAGCGGGCAACGTGCGGAGTCTCGTAAAAGACAACCGTCGGCTGGAGCCGGCCAGACTTGCACATAGCGACAACATCGGCCCACGAGTCGCCGACTTTGCGGACCCGCTCATCGTCAAAGTACATCCAGGCCTGCGGCTCGGCCGAGTCAGACGACTTGTGGAAGCACACGTAATGGCGCCCGTAGAAGCAGATCATGCCGCCCAGCTCGTAGCGCGACGACCGCGGCACGCCGTAGAACACATTGCGCAGGTTAAGCTTCTCGTCGATCGAGTCAAGTGCGCGAGAGATGTCGTTCTTGCTCGGCTCTGGATGCCAGTCGAGGACAAGCGAAAAGACCTTCGGCTCGCGCTGCAGAAAGAGCTGGAGCACCGGCGCCCGGGCGCATGGAACTGCGCCGGGGCATCGGCGCGCCGAACCCTGTTCGTCGTACGCGTGCGCGAGCCGAGCATCCAGCGCAAGCTCCGGATCCGCCGCCAACAACTCGGGCACAAACACCCGGTGCGCAAAGGCCGAGTACGGCAGCGGCTCGGACGTGGCGCCGCACCCGCACTCGACCCGCTCGCACAGCTCCATGCCAAAGACTTCGTGGGCGATGCAGGGCGGCAAGCAGACAGCATCGGCACTTGACACGCACGCTTCATGCATCCACCCCAAAATCGAGTCCAACGCCTCAGTGGCGTCAGCCATGTCCAGCATGCCAAAGCGGGCGCTCGGCGCGCCGATCTGAGCCAGCGCCAGTCGGACCGCCACCGGGTCGAGGCTCCCCGCGATCGCCATTGTCTCGTACGCGCCAAACATCTCTTGCAAGGCACAGAGCAGGCAGACTTCCGGCTCGGCCGGGGGAGTAGGCGAGGCCGAGGGAGAGCGACGAACGTTGGCGTTGCTGTCATTGCCGTCGTTGCCGTCGGCGTCGTCGTCCGAGTCGGAGAGACAGGTTCCGATCTGCGGAGCAAATGAGTGGCCATGGGCATCATCTGGCGCAGCGATAACAGCCTCGCGGAAGATGCGCATATGGAAGAGGCTCTGGATGATGACATTGGCAAAGCAGTTGTTCTCGGACTCGTTGAGGAGGCCTTTGCCAAGCCGCGATGGTGGCGGTCGGTCGGCGGCCAGGGTGGCACCAGCAGGGGGGGGCGCGTACGGTGACGAGGCATACCTCCCCCAGTCCCCGTCTCCGTCTTCTTTGCGACCCAGTCGATTGCCCATGGTGGAGTTTGGAGTTGGGTGGGTCTGGGTGTGTGTAGGGGAGGGGGGGGGAGGGGGAGGGGAGGGGAGGGGAGATGCGCATGTGTGGGTGGCATGGCCATGGAGCTCGAATTCGACGGGCGGGAGGCGGCACGCGGCGAGCGGCGGGCGGTGATGAGGCGGGCGATGGCAACAACGTCGGTTTTGCTTTTCAATCGTGGTCTACTGGATTTACAACACGTTCTGCTTGTTCTTGATCTTCTTTGCCTTTCCCTTGCTCTTGCCCTTAGCCTGGCCCTTGATATTGCTCTTCTGCTTCTTGGTGGACGGCTCGATCTTGTTCGCCTGCGGCGGGTTGGCGGGGACGGGGATGGGCTCGGACTGGCGCTTGCGCTTGCGGGCTGCCGATGCGGAGGGATCAGGATCGTCACGCTCAAAGAGGGCGACAAAGAAGCCGATAGTGTGGTCAGCGGCGGGGTCGGTGCGAATGACCCGAGCGGCGATGTCGTCGCAGAGCGAGCAGCCGGTGGAGGCGGGCAAGGGCGCGGCCGAGGTGGGCGCGGCGGGTTTGGAAGCGGGAGCCGACGAGGTTCCCATCAGCTGGGCGAGGAGATCAGCTCCGGAAAGAGATGCCTGCGAGGAGGCAGAGCCAGCTGCGGTGGCGGTGGCGGCGGCAGCGGTGGCAACAGGGCAGGCGCGCCAGGCGTTGGGGTCGCCGCGGCGCGCCCAGGCGGCGAGCTCGCCATCAGGCTCTGCGAGCCGCCAGCCGCGGGACGCGCCCCACTCGAGCAGAGTGTGGACAACGGCCTCGTTCTCTGTCACGTGGATGGAGCAGGTGGAGTAGGTGATGCGGCGTGCAGCCGGGAACGACATGGCATGCTGCATGGCCTCGATCTGAAAGGCGGCGAGGGCCTCGAGGCGGCGCTGGCCCTCGTTGTCGTCTTCGTGCGCGGTAGAGGCGACGACATCGATGTGGCCAGCCTCCTGGACACCCGGGTCTGTGCCCTCCTCCTCGTCACTATCGTCGTCACTATCGTCACCAGCGCCTTTCGGGCCGGGGACTGGCTTGCGGCGCGGCTTGTCGGTGGTGAGCGGGCCGACGAGTGCGTCCTGGCGCGAGACGATGCCCGAGCCGGAGCACGACGGATCGACGAGCAGATGGGTAACAGCGGCAAGGTCCGGGTCTGTGAGTGAGGCCTCTAGAAAGTTGCCCACACGCGAGTCAATGGTATCTGCGGCGTGGGCACGGGCAGTGAGCTTGCGGAGCGTGGCCATGCGGGTACGCGACTTGTCAAAGGCAATGACGCGGCCGTCGCCGCCCATGCGGGCAACGAGATGCGAGGTCTTGTTGCCTGGAGCGGCGCAAGCGTCGATGACCGAGGCGTGCGGCGGCGGCGCTAGCAGAGCCGCCGGGAAGCACGAGGCCTTGTCCTGCAGGATGATGCCACCACCGAGGTAGACCTCGTCGTCGTGAAAGTCTGTCACGGGGCAAACACGAGCATGTCGCTGAGGATGTCATCGCGAGCGACCATGCGCTTGCCCTCGTCGCTCTTGGCCATCCAGGCTGCCATGGCGACGTCGAGGCTCACCTCAACAAAGGGGTCGACAGCAAGAGTGGTGTAGTGCTCGAGAACGAGGTCGACCGAGGCGATTAGGGTGTTGACGCGGGCGTAGCGCGGAATGAGCGGCATGCACCGGATGTGCTCCGGGAGCAGGTCGATGTCGGACTTGGCCTTGGCTTTGATCTTGATGCGGGCCAGCGCGGTCGAGAGGCGAGACTTTGAGCCCATCAGCAGCTTCTTCACCTTGCCCCCGCCCTCGATCTTCTTCTTCCCAAACAGTAAATCGTACAGCGCGACGTACGCCACCCATCGCGAGCGCTCGTTCTTGAACATGCTTGCGCGAGCCACCTCGGGCACAGCAGCCACCACCGAGGCCAGCACCGACTTCCCTGCGAGCGGCGAGTCGTCACCCCCTCGTCATTGCCGCAGCCGATCATTGTCGGATTCCGAACACAGTCGCAGTGCGGCCCAATAGCCCAGCATGGTCGCAGCCACAGATCATCGACACCACACAAGGCAACCGCCAGGCAATCATAGGCCAGCACAGGCAACCGAATCAACAGATCACACACACCATAAGTGACGCCCCTCCCTTGTCTCCCTCTCTTGCCCCCTCTCCTTCTCTATCGTACACTTGAGCGTCTCAAAGACGAGGGCATAGACCTTGCGGAGCGTGGCGGGCTTGTCACCCGTAGTGAGGAGAGCATTCTTGAGAGAGACCTTATGGGCATGGACCATCTGCAGCACCTTTCCCGCCTGGGTATACGCATGCGACATCTCCCCTTTTCCTCCTCTCTTCCAAGAGATGAGTGTGCTTCCTTCCCCTACGTTCTCCCTCATCCCCATCCCCATCCCCATCCCCATCTCCCCTCACCCGTCGTCCCTTGCTGTGGGATCCCTCCTCTCCCTCCCCCCGCCCCCACTGCCCTTGCTCCCATTCCCTCACCCCAGCTCACCGATCTACCTGCGCGCACCCTGCCACACACACACTCTCTCTCTCTCTTTCCCGCTGCCTCTCCCATGGCTACCATCCAACCATCCACATCGTATAACTCTTCCATCTCCATCGCTCCAACTACTTGGTCACCCACTGTGCTCCTGCTGCCGCGTCATGGACGCTCTCTGCTCGCCACCCTTGCCCACTGCCCTACACGCCCACCACCAGTCCATATCCACCCAGATTTATCCCGATCCCATCTGCACACTGCCTCCTCCTCCGATCTATCCTTCTCATCTCCATCTTCCCCGCCCATCCCGCCCCTTCAGCCCATATTGCCCTCACCCCCCCCCTCCCCTATGACTCGACTCATGCCACAGCCACTGCCGCTCACACACGCACACACCACTCGGTCACCGATCATGTTCCGCATGCTCGCCCCGCTGCAGCTAGGTATGTACACACTCGAGCAGTGTTCATGTGATGCTTGCCGTGCATACCGCCTTGCACATGCAGTCTCTTCCCCTCACTAGCGAGTGGGTCGGGGGGGGGAGAGGGGGAGGAGAGGGGGGGGGACGGGGTGGAGGGGGGAGATGGTGATCGATGGCAGACGTCCATCCAACACCACCGGCAGAGGACGACCAGGGGATCCGTTGCGGGAAGGGGGTGGGGAGGGGGGGGGGGGGAAGGAACTCATTGGAAGAGGTTTGGAGGGAGAGTAGCAGCACGGGTGGCGCAACGAGGTGGGGTTTACGCAGCTGCGCAGGGGGCTATGACTCGGCATTGGGCAAGTCAGACGGGGCAAGTCGGAGGGGAGCGGGCGAGTGGCGGGGCGGTGTCTGCGGCGGTGGGCGCGGTGCTGCGGGCACAATCGACGGGTGATGTGGAGGCGGCGGTAGATGCGCGGTCAGAGATTCTGTCGGGACCGTCATCAGATAGCTTGACGAGCTCACAGTGCGCCAAGCTCATTCTCAAGCTCACCAAGTTTGGCGTGTGCGAGCCTGTGCGGCACCTCTTTGCCCGCTACCATTCGCTGGTGATGGAGGAGGCAGAGCGCAAGGCGAGCGGGGCCGATGGCGGGAGCGGCGAGACGCTGGCCAAGGCCGGGCGGGTGTACGATGCCATGCTCACCATGCACTGCAAGCAGAACGATGTGGTGGGGACGGAGAGCGTGCTGGCGCAGCGGGCGGCGGCGGCGGTCCCGCTCTCGACGCAGACGTACAACACGCTGCTGTACTTTTACGGGGTGCGGAAGGAGTTTGACAAGGTGGAGGCGACGCTGGCCGAGATGCGCGCCAAGGGCCTGCCCGAGTCGCTGACGACGTACTCGATCCGCATCAAGGGCCTGCTCTCGGTGGGCATGGCTGACGAGGCCGCCGACGTCTTTGACGCCATGGTCGCCGCCGGCCTCGAGCCGAACCGGTACATCTACCAGACGCTCATCTCGTACTTTCTCAAGCAGCACGAGTTTGACAAGGTCGACCAGCTGATGAGCGCCATGGCCGACGCCAACATCCTCCCCAACGTTGTCCTCTACACCAACATCATCGATACCTACCTCAAGGCCGACGACTTTGACGAGGCCAAGCGGGTGTACTCGACCATGCTCGCCGAGCGGGTCAAGCCCAACGTGGCCACCTTTACTTCGTTCATCCAGGCCTACCTCAAGGCCGGCGACATCGACTCGGCCCGGCTCATGTTCCAGAACATGCTCGACCTCGGCATTGCGCCTACGGTCCGGACCCACACCGCGTTCCTGGTGTACTACACCCGCGCCGGTGACGACGCTGCCGCCAAGGACACCCTCGACACCATTCTGGCCCTCCGCCCGTCCAAGCTCGACCGCATCGTCTACACCGCCATCATGCAGCCGCTGTACAAGGCCGGCGAGACGAGCCAGGCCTGCGCCGTCTTTGACTCAATGTTTGCCAACCGCGTCTTCCCGGATGCCCGGCCGTACAACATGATGATGGCGCTGTACCTAAAGGACGGCGACATGGCTGCTGCCGCCGACATCCTTGACCTCATGGCCACCCACAAGCACCCGTTCAAGCTCTGGTCGCTGCTCTTTGCCGAGAAGCGCCTCGTCGCCGCCATCGACCCGGCTGTTCTCGACGCCTTTGTCCTCTCGGCGCTCTCCCGCGAGCGCGCCTACAAGCTCTCCAACCGCGACATGCGCTTCCTCGTCCGCCAGTTTGTCTTTGCCGGCATGGCCGACGCCGCAGTCCGCACCTTTGCCCAGGGCCCGGCCCTCATGGGCGCCTCGTACTCGCGCTCGACCTACAACTACCTCGCCGGCGAGCTGAACAAGGCCGGCATCCCGCTCCCGGACAAGGCCGCCATGGCGGCCGTCAACGACGACCCGCGGAGCTTTGCTACCGCCGAGTAGCGAGCCTAGCTCACCGCACCACCGAGCTCGAGTTGATCCGCTCAAAGACCCCGCGCGGCGTGCGTGGCATCGACAGCCGCGACCGCCGCGAGCCGTTGGACTGCACAGAGAGCGGGCCGCCCGATGAGACTGCGCCCGGGCGCACCGCCGCCTCGCGGATCTGCGCCATCTGCTTGAGCCGCGCCAGCGAGACTCGGTCCGTCACCGCCGCCGCATCCGCCGACCACACCACCAAGCACGGCGTCGCCAGCCCGTCCTGGAGACATCGCGTTCCGAGCCGCAGCCGCGTCTCGGCCGCGTCGTACGGCACCGCCAACCACGGCATGCCCTCCAGCACCGAGAGGTACGCGTCCCCCGTCTCATCGAGCCCGACCATCACAAACTCGAGCTCCTTCTCACCGGCTTTCAGCTCGGCGTACACCCGCCGCAGCTCCCGAATGAACCACGCGCCGTCTGGCCCGTCGTCGATAGAGACAAACACTAGCCCGACGTTGCTCTGCACGCCGTCGGTCGCCACCCGCTCCATTGACTCAAACTCGCGTGCGAGCTCCAGTGATGACCGCGTCACCTCGCGGAACGACGCCTGCGGCCGCAACAGCGTCCGCCGCGAGGGCGTGTCAGACGACCCGCCCAGCACCGTCGCCGGCACCGTGCCCATCGTCCGCGAGCTGACAAACGAGACACGCGAGCCGGCAGACACGTCGCGGGTGAGCAGCGGCGGGAGCACCGGTCGCCGCGGCGCCAGCGAGTGTGCCGACGGCGACCCGAGCTTGGTCAGCGTCGCGCCAGAGCCACCGGATCTAAACCCGCCTCGCGGTGACGGCATTGCTGTGCCGGCACATTCCATCTGTGAGCCGAGCCAGCGCTCGCTCCCGCCAGACGAGTCCTGCGCCAACAAGCTGTCAACGCGTACTTTGCGCGGCCGCCGTTCACCGGCCGCCAGTACCTTGGACTCGGCCGCCGCCAACGCCACCCCAGCCGGATAGCGCCAGAGCTCGGGCCCAAGCAGCCGCACGTGCGAGGCCAGCGGTGGTGGCTTGGCCTCGCTCCGCAGCGCCGCCAGCGCCCGACGGACCTTGGTAAACTGGCTGGTCTGGCTCCCCCCGCGCGCCGCAGTGCCGTCGCCGTCGGCCGCGGCATCCTCGCCCTGTGTACCGCTTCCGACTGCGGCTGAGCTCACACCAGCGCCCGCCAACACCGCCTTACCCGGCGCCGCCTTGCGCACTCCTTGTGGACGGACCTTTCTCCTTGTCCGCGAGCTCCCCGACGCCACTCTCAGCGACTCGGGAGGCCGCGGGTGATTCGGTTGGCGCAAGTGCAGCGATCCAGCGACAGACTCTACGCTGCCACCTCCAGTCCGGCCCAGACCACTCGCTACCGACCGTGGCATCGAGGCCGTCGAATGGCGGCCCAGGCCCAGGGAGCCCGAGTGCTTTGCCAGCGACGCACTGCCGCGCATCGATCCGGAGGCGCTCCTGGTGTTCCATGCTGCGGGAGCCAGTCCATGACGTATATGATGATGACCATGTTCTCCCCAATGACCATGCCCGTGGCCATGACCATGACCATGACCATGACCATGACCATGACTCGTCCCTCCGCCAGGCGCCACCGACCGACCTACGCTCTCAGGCACGGGTGTGCCAGCCGACGACGCCCGGGTGCTCCACCGCGACCGGCCTCCACGTAACGACGCATGCGCCCCTGTCCGCAGATGAGCCACTCCTTCCATGAGAAGGGAGGGGGGGGGGGGGGGAGGAGAGAGAGAGAGAGAGGTGGGCCCGGCTGGCGGGTGGTGGCTGTGGTGCAGCGGTGGTGGGGTGGTGGTGGTGGGGGGGCGGGGCGCGGCTTTGGAGGCGATGGGGGTTTGGCTACTGGCTGTGATCATTGGCTTGGGTTGATGACGAAGTGTCGATGGCGTGCGGTGTGGGGGTTTGGTATGGGTATGGGGAGGGCAGGGGGCAGGGGAGACCGCGGGCCACTCCCTACGGGCTCATCGATCCTCCATTCTCCGACTCGATGCCGGTGTCGTCGTTGGACTGAGCTTGTTGGTCGGCGAGGGTAGCAAGAAGGGCATCGATGGCAGCGGCGTCGAGTTCAACGCCGAGGTTGTCGAGCTGGGCTCGGACGGTGTCGGGGCCCGCCGTGTGCAATGAGTCTTCAGTGGCAGCCGGGACGCACTCGATGGTCTCGACGGCAGCTGGCTGCGGTGCGATGCCGGCAACGTCGGCATAGGTGCGGCAGACTGCTGGCGCGTACAGCCGCGCTACAAACCTCGCCCGTGCCACCAAATCGACCGCCTCGAGCCGCTCAGCCTGAGCCGTTCGGTCCCAGAAGTCCAGCGACCACGGACAGGCGACAACCACAGTGGCTGCTTCGCGTCCATCCGGACCAGATAGCTCCAAGACGAGATCAAACAGTGCCGCGTCCGAAGGAGATGGCTTCCGCCGCCAACGAGCAGCATCGGCCGATGCGCTTGCGACCTCGGTGCTCGCCACCACCTTGTCATACTTGACCACACGCAGCTCCAGCGCAACCGCGCCACCACTGTCGACACGCAGAACCCACTCGGCAGCAGCAGCGGCGGGATGGGCGTCAAGCGCGTCGGCGACAACTGCAATGTCCGCCACGTCGTAGGCCGGCGCAACCAGCGCCGCAGGCAGCATCCCGCTCCACGAGCCTTGACCAGAATCCAAGCTGACGACGTCCGCCATCATGACCGGCCCGGCATCGCCAATACCTCCGTCGCCACTGACCACGTCATGCTGTCCCCCATCGCTACGGGAGGCACCCGGCAACGAGCACAGGTGGGCCACGCCATGGTCGTCAACCATGGACACCCGTCGAGTCGGATCCCGCACCTCGCGCAGCACCTCGCCATGTCTCCGCACCATCACGTTGTAGCTCATCTGCCTGCCGTTGCCGCCACTATCGCTCCGATGAGCCAGCGGAATGGTTCTGGCCTCGGCCGAGTCGGCCGTCACCGCCACCACCGCCACCACTGCCATCACCACCACCGCCATCACAGACAGAGAGAGCCTTGCCACATTGCTCCCTACACCTCGTCGTAGTCTATTGTGTCCAGGTGACTGCATCTCGCGGCTTGGCACTCGCACTGAGAGCGGTGTCGTGGACGTGTGTTGCGGCGGGCTGGTTGGGGCGCTGTGGCTGGTCGTCCGCCGACTTGCTCCCCGATTGGGTCGTGGCCCACCACCACCACCACCACCACCACCACCATACCATACATCATGATCATATATCATGTTCGTGTAAAGTAAGGAAACGATGAGATCGACTCGATTTCTCTCACGCGCTAAAGCCGGGCGGGCCGACGAGTGACGGGCCGACGAGTGGCGGGCGGACGAGTGGCGGGCGGACCGAGTGACCGAGTGGCGGGTGACAGAGTGGCGGGCCGACGGGCGGACGGCTTGCATCCACCCAGTTTGGCGGGAAGGGACGATGACGGAAGAGGGGAGAGGGGAAGAGGGAAGGTCGGGTACACTTCACCCGTACTCGGAAGAGGAGGGGGACACGGGCTTTGGAGGAAAGCTATGTCTACTCATGAGAACGAGGAGGTGGGTATGTCCACCGAGGGTGGCGCTGGTGGTGCCGGTCGGCAGGCCGGGGACGAGAGCCAGGAAAGGGGCCAAAAGACGGGCGAGAGCCCTGCGGCTCTTCCGAAGCTTCCCTCTGCTGCTGGTGCGCTAGGCGCTGTCAAGACTTCGTTCGCTGCCAGTAAGAAGCGTAAGGTCATCTCAGAGTCGGACTCGGATGACGACGACGACGATGACGCTGTGGCTGCTGGCCAGGTCGGCCAGGACGACGAGTTGGCAAATTTTTCGTCGCTAGCCACGGGAGCAGCGGGTGCGTCCGGGAGCAACGGTGGGCGTGCTGAAGCTGCCAGCGACGACGGGAGTGACGACGGGAGCTCGGGTAGTGGTGGTGCTGTCTCGCAGCGGCGTCCTCAAGCGCCGCAAGCTTCTGGGTGAGGGTGCAGGCGACGACGGCGCCGAGAGCGGGCGCGACTCGGCGGTCGACGCCGAGGCCGAGGCCCGGGAAATTGAGGAGCGGTTCGGCCTGTCGTCGTCGGACGACTCGTCGTATGACGAGGAAGATGAGGAGCAGCGGCGCGACGACGAGTTTGTGGTTCCGTCTGGGTTTGTGGTGGAGACTGCCGCTCAGGCGCGGGCGCTGGATCGCGAGCGCAAGCGCAAGCGGAAGGAGGCCCGCCGGCGGCGGAGAGAGCAGCGCAAGCGGTACGGGCTTCAGGCCGACCTCATGCGCGACCGTGACGAGCTGTTTGCGGCCGTGGGCGAGGATGCCGAGGAGTTTATCATCGACCCGTCGCAGTTTGGCGACGCGTTTAGCAGCCAGGCTTCGGGTGCAGCGGGCAAGCCGCTGACGGGCGCTGCCGGCGACGCAGACGAGCTTGCGGGTGTGGATCCGGAGGACCCAGAGGCAATGGCGCTGAAGGAGGCGATTGCTGCCGAACGGGCGGCACTTGAGCAGCAGAAGCTCCTTGAGTCGATGTACGAGCCCGAGGAGCTCAAGGCGCGGTACTTTACGGCGCGCGACAACGAGATCCGGCGGGAGGATCTCCCGGAACGGTTCCAGATCAAGTTTCCGGACCGGTCGATCCCGTCCGAGGAAGAGCTGCAGGACGAGACGCGGTGGATCTTCTCGTTTGTGTTTGAGCAGGAGATGATGCGACGGGCGGGGACGCGCGAGAGCCTTGTGGAGGTCATCTCGACAGTGCTCCGGCTGCTGGTTGTCGACCGGGTTGAGGTCCCGTTCATTATGATGTACCGCAAGGAGAACTGGCTGGGCATCATCTCGTCGTACGACCTGTGGCGCATCGCCGAGGCCGACGAGCGGTACTACAAGATTGCGCGGCGGAAGGCCAAGCTCCTCGAGCTGTACGAGTCGCATGGCGAGGACGTGCCCGAGGTGTGGGTGGACGACCTTCCCGGTGTGGCCGAAGAGGTCGAGATCGCGGACCGGTTTGACCAGTTTGCGCTCACCTTTGGCTACCGGTTCCAGGACGAGTCGGCGAGCGGCGGCGAGCAGCGGGCGGTCGACGCTGGCGCGGCCATCGACACGTACCAGACCTCTGCCGAGTTTGACCTTGTTGGCTCTGAGGCGCTTGCCGGGAACGGTGGCGACGAAGACGACGATGGCGACGAGGACTACCGCGAGGGCGACGAGGACCTGCTGGAGGCTGAGCTGTTTGGAAGGCCGGGAGACGATGACGAGTTTGGGCTTGGCGGGGTGGGCGACGACGGCGTCGAGGCGCCGGCGCCGGCGCCAATGCGGATGCTGCGGCGGGCCGGACGGCGCGACCGGTACGCGCGCTACCTGCAGGCCGGTGTCGGCGAAATGGCTGCGCTGTTTGGGCTCGAGCCTGCACTGCTCGGCGAGAACGTGACGTCCGAGGCGCAGATCCACTTTGCGCAGGCACCGCTGCTTTCGCCGTACGAGGCTGCGGAAGCGTTCCTGAGCAACAACACTGCTGCGCTGTTCAAGCGGCTCGAGTCGAACCAAGCTGCGGACGCGGTGCTTGACGCAGCGCGGTTTGTGTACGCCAAGCAGATTGCGGCGGAACCGTCTGTGCGGTCCGGGCTCCGTGACCTGCTCCGGAGCGATGTGGTGGTGGACGTGGCGCCGACGGCCAAGGGCGAGCGCGAGATTGTGGGCGTCCACGAGTACGCGTCGTTCAAGCGGCTGCTCGCCAAGCCGCTGTCGTCGTTTGGCCTCGACGTGCCGGTCGACTATGACTGGGGTGCCAAGATGGCCGACGCCGAGTCGTTTGTGCCAGAGTGGGAGGGCCAGGCGGTGGCGGCCACGCCCAAGCCAACAGACGAGTTTGTGGACCAGCTGTTCGGGTGGCTCAAGCTTCTCCGCGCCGAGCGCGAGGGCTTTGTGACGGTGACATACAAGTCGCGAAACGGTGAGGCGATCAAGGAGCGGCTGCTCTCGTTTATGCGGTTCGAAGAGGAGACGTCTGCGTCGTCGCTGTGGGCAGCGCAGAAGGAGCGCGTGGTGGGCCTTGTGGTCGACAAGTTTGTCTTTCCGTCGGTCGTGGACGAGTTTAAGCGGCGGCTGACGCGGTCAGCGGAGCGGCTGGTGCTTGCGGGCGCGCAGGAGGCGCTTGCGGAACGGGCGTTTATGCAGCCGTTCCCGCTCCTGCCGGACGCCGAGGCGTTTGAAAACCCGCACCCGTACGGCGACGAGCGCGACGACGCACGGGCGTCGCTCCCGCGCGGCATCCGGGTCATTGCTGTTGTGGCGCGGCGCGACCAACCGACGGTGGCGGCGCTTGTGGACGGGTCGGGGACGATGGTCGACTTTGTGCGCGCGTTCCGCGGCGAGAACGACAAGCTGACGCGGTTTGTGGACGCGTGCCTCCCCACGGTGGTTGTGGTGGCGACGACCGGCATGGGCGCCATTCACACCTTCCGCGATCTCTCGGGCCACGTGCAGATGCGAATTGGCGAGGGCCGTCTCTCGCCGTTGACCCAGGTGGGCATGGTGGCGAACGACGTGGGCGCGATCTTTGCGGCATCGCCGCGGTCGAACAAGGAGTTTTCGGAGCACTCGCTGTCGGTGCGCGAGGCGGTTAGCCTGGGCCGGTTTGTTGTTTCGCCGCTTGCGGAGCTCGCAGGCTTGTTTACGCGGCCGGAGCCGTCGTCGGAGGCTCTGCTCCTCAAGCTGCACCCGATGCAGTGGGCGCTCAAGCGGGAGGTGCTCCTTGCGGGACTGGAGGACGTGATGGTGCGGACGGTGGCGCTTGTGGGTGCCGACGTCAACGACATGATGTATCACCCGCACTTTGCAGGCGCGCTCAAGTTTGTGGCCGGACTCGGGCACCGCAAGGCGAATGCGCTGTATGAGACGATTGTGCGGTCGGGCGGGATCAAGGCGCGCGAGCAGCTGCTGCGCGACTTTGGCGTCGAGCCTGTGGTCTACCGCAACATGGCCGGCTTCCTCAAGATGTCCAAGCTGAGGGTGGAGACGCAGTACCTGGAGTACGAGGTCGAGGCGCTGTCTGTAGAGACGACGCGGATCCATCCCGAGTGGTACCCGCTTGCGGAGCTGCTTGCGCGCGGCGCGCTCAACATGCCGATGACGGAAACGGACGACTTTTACGACTACTGCGCAGACGTCATCAAGGATCCGGCGAGCCTGGACGTGGTGGACTACGAGGCGCTGGCGACGCAGCTGCGTGAGAAGCGTGGCGAGGAGCTGCTGCAGCGGCTGCTTGTCATCCGCGCGGAGCTCAAGATGCCGTTCCGCGACTTGCGCGACGTGGTCAACGCCATGGGCCAGCGCATTGCGGCATGGGCGTGGCCATCGCCGGTGCAGCTCTTTGAACTCCTCACCGGGTACTCGGCGTACAACCTGCCTGCGGGCTCGGTCATGCATGGCCGGGTGGTCCGCGTCCTGGACTCTGGACGGGCCAAGGTGGTGCTCGACAACGGGGTAGTTGGGTGGCTCTCGGTGGACGAGGGCATGTACTCTGGCGGCGCGCCCGCGGTCAACGAGGGCGCAGTTGTCAAGGCATACGTGCGCGACCTGCGGTACGAGACGTACGAGATTGAGCTCGGGCTGCAGGAGCCTGGCGAGGGCTTTATTCCGCGCGACATGTACTTTGACGCAGCCGGCGAGGCGGCGGCGGAGGCCAAGTCGCACGAGGCCGAGTCTGCGGCGCGGCGGTATGTTTCGCGGGTCATCACGCACGCTCTGTACAAGAACGTGACGTACAGCGGCGCGGTGCGGGCGATGGAGTCGGCGCATCCCGGCGACGTCATGTTCCGGCCGTCGTCCAAGGGCGTGGACAAGCTGACGCTGACGTGGAAGGTCTCGCGTGAGCTGCTGGCACACATCGAGGTGACTGAGCTCGACAAGGACCACCAAACGGCGCTGGGCAAGCGCTTGTTTATGCGCGGCGAGGAGTTTGAGGACCTCGACGAGATCGTGGCGACGTACGTGAACCGTGTGAGCGGGAACCTCTCGCGTTTGGTGGCCAACCAGTACTTTAAGTCAAGCCTCAAGACGCCGGCCGACGCTGCGGCGTACCTGACGACGCAGAAGGAGCGCAAGCCGCGCAAAATCCCGTACGTGTTTTATCACCACCCCAAGTACCCGGGCGAGGTCGTGTCGCTTGCGTACATGCCGAACAAGCGGGCGCGTGTCGAGCGCGTCTTTATCACGCCCGACGGCTTCCGGTACCGCAACCAGGTGTTTGAGTCGCCAAACAAGCTGCTCTACCACTTTAAGAAGCACTTTAACGAGCCGCCGCCGCAGGACGACCCGCTGCCGTCATCGGTTCCGCCCGAGCTCGCTGCCGCCGCAGCGACTGGTCCGGCGCCCATGGCGGTCGAGTCGGCTCCGCCCGCGCCCAAGCAGGATGCCCGCCTCTTCCCCACCGCCACCGCCGGCTCGTCGATGTACGCGTACTCGCAGGTCGCCGCCACTCGCGACGTGGCTCCGGCCGCCGCCGCCGCACAGGCAGCTCCGGCTGCGCCGTACGGCGACTATGGCTCGCAGCAGCAGCCGGCTTACGCCTACTCGCAGACTTCATCGGCGGCAACAACCGCCTACAGTGGCATGCAGCAGGGCTACGGTGACCAGCAGCAGGGCTACGGTGGCCAGCAGCAGGGCTACGGTGGCCAGCAGCAGGGCTACGGTGGCCAGCAGCAGGGCTACGGTGGCATGCAGCAGGGCTACGGTGGTCAGCAGGAGGGCTACGGTGGTCAGCAGGAGGGCTACGGTGGCATGCAGCAGGGCTACGGTGGTCAGCAGCAGGGCTACGGTGGTCAGCAGCAGGGCTACGGTGGTCAGCAGGGCTACGGTGGCATGCAGCAGGGCTACGGTGATCAGCAGCAGGGCTACGGTGGTCAGCAGCAGCAGGGCTACGGTGGTCAGCAGCAGGGTTACGGTGACCCACAGCAGGGCTATGGTGGCCAGCAGCAGCAGCAGCAGCAGCAGCAGCAGCAGCCGTATGGCCATGTCCAGTGATGAAAAATTGCTCATGGGATCATTGGGGAGGGAGGGGGTAGGGGTAGTGGCGGCGGGCAGCGAGTGCGGCGAGAGCAAGACGTATCTCGCAACAAGACAGACCTGACTGGCATGCCTTGGATCGAGGTGGTGGTGCGGGCTCCTGGTCTCCCTCCAGGTGTAGCAGACTCTGCGCAGGTGTTTGTAGCCAACACCAAGACGGTATGAGTGGCAGAGGAGGGGTGGGGTGGGGGGGGGGGAGGGGGGGCGACATGGGGCGACATGGAGCGACATGGGGCGACATGGGGCGACATGGGGCGACATGGCTGACACAGGGCGTACATGGGGGGGGATGGCCGCTTGGTGTCCAGGTCAACGAGCAGCTTGGGGATATCGCATGTGGACTGGTGGCGGGCGGGACGGGAGGTGGCGAGGCTGCGACGGCAAGGGGAAGGAAGAGCAAGGCAACGCCGGAGGAACTGGTGGCGGCAGTGCTGGAGAGCTGCGAGTTATGGCATGGCATGGAGGAGGATGGTGCGGCGGTGCCAGCTTGGATCAAGGGCTCAAAGTTGGTGACAAGGCAGATCAATGGCAATCGTTGTCCGTATCAGATCCCGCTCCGCCCGGGCGCACGGCTGGTCTTTGCAGAGCCAGCAGGCGCAGCAGCTAGCGCCGGCAAGGGCAAGGCTAGCATGAGGGAGGATGACAAGCTCTCCGAGCCGCTGTCGGATGATGACTTGGAGGAGGCGCCGCGGCAATCGATGGACGAGGGCGCCGGGCAAAGTGAAGCGGCGCGGCGGACAAATCCCTACAAGCGGCGGCGACAGCGACGGTGCGTCGGATGCGCACGGACGGTGCACGGCTTTGACAAACGAGTCGAGGTGGCCGGTGCCCGCGGCGAGCAGTGGCTCTTCCATCCGCAGTGCTTCACCTGCTCGGTCTGCTTTGTGGTCCTCGACGCCGGCTCGCCCGCGACGTGGGTGCTCGATGCCGAGACCGGCAAGATTGTGTGCATCGGGCGCGAGGCGGCACACGTGGAGCTGCCGCGCAAGGTTGCGGCGCGGAGCACTGAAGCAGCGGTTGCGACGTGCACCAAGTGCAAGGCGCCGGTCTTTCGTTTTGAGCAGGCAGTGGTTGGCGCCGACGACGAGTGCGGCTTGTGCCAGGCTGTGGGAGTGGCGAGCAAGCTGGAGCTCGCGGATGGGGCAGCAGTGGCGCATGCGCGGTGCTGCGTGTGTCGGCTTTGCGCGCGGCCGCTGGAGTTTGGCGCCGACGGGCAAATGGCGTGCGGAGTCGAGTGCGATGTGGCGGCTGCGGCCGGCGAGGAGGCGCGAGCGGCAGCGGCCGCGCACAACTCGGCCGCGAGCAAGTGTCCCGAGTGCCGGCGGCCGGTCTTTGGCTTTGACGCGGCCGTAGAGCTCCGCGGAGCGTGCAAGGTGTGGAACCGGCAGACACAGCGTGAGAGCGGACTGCAGGCTGTGGCGATCCACGTGGCGTGCTTTACCTGCCGCGAGTGCTTCAAGCCGCTTCCTGTGGGCAGCAACGGTGTGGTGGAGGCGGCGCATCGCGACGACGTAACGTGCGCGGGGTGTGTGGAGCGGCGGGAGACAAAGACCAGATGAAGGCGGTTTATGTGTGGGGCCGGACAATTACGAGAGGGTGCCAAACTTGTTCGAAGTGCGGAGGCGGAGGTGAGCCGGGCGGGTGTCGACCCAGCCGCCGGCGGAGCGAGCGGGCATAGCGGCACCGCCGCGGCGGCGGCGGCCACTGCCGACGACAGAAAAGCCGTCGTTAATGTCGGCTTGGATGTCGACGTCCTTGGCGGCGGCGAGGGTGGGGAAGGCGGCGGTGGAGAGCTCGGTCTCCGACTCTGCAGGAGCGGCCGGGGTGGCCCAGCCAGTCTTGCGGACCGGGGCGGCAGCCTCTTCCACCTCGTCAGTGTCAGCCTCGGGAGCATCGATGGGGGCATCCATAGGATGGAGAGTGATGTCGTCGTCGACGACATCCTCCTCGACCTCCTCTGCAGCCTCTGCGGCGAGGGTGGAGAAACCGACGACGGAACGCGAGCTGGCGTGGACGACCGGCCCGGTGTTCTCATCAGGCTCCTCAACCCAGCCAGCAGAGGAGATGAGCTCCTCAGCACGAGCGTTGGCTTCCAGAGCCACAGCAGCCTGTGCGTCCATCTCCACCTCCTCCTCCATGGCAATGGCCGAGGCGGCAGCAAGGTTGATCTTCACGGGCTTGAACTTCTTCCCGGTCGCCTTCTTGGCAAAGAACGAGCTGAGCTTGGTCTTGTTGTCGGACATGGTATCCAGTCTGGTCAGTCTTGAGTAACAAAGGTAGTAGACGGTGCCGTTACGGCGGGGTAGCGGTACGAGGGGGGGACGGGGGGAGAGGGGGTGGGGGGGGGTGGGCGAGAAAAGGGTCGCAAAGAGCCTTTGAATAATCTCACCAAAAGTGTGAGAAGAGCGAGCAGGGGTTCGGCTTGGGTATGGGCAAGATAATAGCCGAAGGAGGAGGGGGGATGAGGTGGGTGACGGGGAGGGTGGCAGAAACGCCCGGACGGTCCGACTGGTGCTAAGCTTGGTCTTGAAGCTGCCTTTGGTGGGGTGTTGTCGCCTCTCGACGTGTCTGCCTCGGCCACATGGGATCACCGTCACGATCAACATCGGTGGCAATCGTGATCGTGATCGTGATCGTGATCTTGTTATCGGTGCTGGCAACCGGGTGCTGAGAAGGGAGGAGAGGGGGGGGGGCATATATATATTTATATATATGTATACTAGCCGGTACTACGTCATGTCTCCGACCATTGCTGCCACCTTGAGCCCGCACAAGCCCGCACAATGCCTTTGACAGCTTGTACGTGTTGTTTTGGAGTTGTGGTGGGTGTGCCTGAGATGTGCTCTGGTGGCCGACGCTCACCGCTGCTGAGCACACATCATCAACATGTGGCACAGGTAAACGTGGCACAGGTACACGTGGCCCAGGTACGCCTGCTGTCCTCGTCATACCATTTCAAGACCGACATCGAGAAGGAGTCATCCGGCCAGTCGACCGATGATCTCCCGGAAGGAACCACACCCCGTCTCGCCACACTCGATGGCATCGGTATGGTCCGCATCAAGTCATTCGACGGAGAGATTCGTTGAGAAGGCGCGCCAACTCGTCTCCGGTCGCCCCGCGCCAGGCACAGCCATTACCCCACATCCGAACGATATATAGAGCGAGAGCACCAGAGATAGAGAGAGAGAGGAAGAGAGTGTGTGTGTGTCACACCAAGACCAAGTCTACGTACTCGCCACCACCGCCACCAACCACCCCTGCTGCACCAGCCCACCCCGGCCTCTCCCCCCCCCCCCCTCCCGTATCCCAGGGGGAACAGACATCGGCTGGCAGGGACGACATCATCCACCCACACAGCCAGCAACTGGAAGAAGTCGAGACGGTGCTGGAAATTGCGCAGATCGCACAGTCATCGGCTTTGTACTTGCGTCGTCTTTCGCTTCTCCGTGGCGTGGTCAGACCCGTGGCGCCAGGTGGTGCTGCTCTGGTACTCGGCGTTGGCTGGTGACACAGCTGCTGACAGATACCGCACGGCGCAGCAAGAGGTGCAACGACAAGCACAAGGCTCATACTCGCTGACAGAAGGGGACATCGGCTCGCTGAGAGGAGAAGACAGTTGCTGAGCTGAAATCGTTCGGCCATGTCGTCTTTCTCATCGCTCTCGCCGCTCTCGGCCTACCCGCCGAGTCAGACAGAGAGTCCGTACGCGAGGGATGGAGGGCGTGGATTCCATCGGGGCTCTGGCGAGGAAGCGCGGCACTGGCAGCGTGACGAGTATGGGTACGACGGCGGCCACCGTTGCGGCGCGTCGGTGGCAAGCGCAGCATCGGGCACAAGCTACGGCGACTCGTTCCGCCGCCGCCAGATCCACTCGCGCGCCAACTCGATCGAGTCCAATCGTTCGGTCATGTCCGCCAGAACAGAGTCCGGTCGGACCTCGCGAGAGATGTACCGCGAGGCAGCCGAGCGTCGCCGCCGAGCCGCGCGCCGGAAGCAGGCCGCGCGCCGCAAGGCTATGGCCGAGGAGCGGGCGCTGCTCGAGGAGCGTCGCGCGCGTAAGGAGGCGTACTACGTCGGCAACGTGTCGATGGCATCCGCAGCGTCGCGGCACGATGCGTCGATGCGGTCCCAGGCTTCCCAGGCGTCGACAGCGTCGCGGCCGCACTCGCGCGTCCTCTCACGGCGAGCGTCGTCGCGGACGTGGTCACGAGCACCGTCGCGCGCCCGCTCCCGCGACGGCTCCATCCCGGCCTGGAACGCCCGGCAAGGCTCCCAGCTTGCTGACGCCTACGCCGACGACGCCATGATTAGCCAGCTGCTGGCCATGCCGTCGTCGTCGCGCCCGTCGTCGCGCGCCTCGTCATTGGCGTCGGCGCCGTCGGTCGCCATCCCATCCCGCCGTGGCCCACTGAGGGCCCCGCGCCGGGCCAACGCGCTGTCAGCGCTCATCGGCGACGGCCACGCATCGCCCAAGGCCTCGCCCAAGCGGTACGCTGGCTACCGATCCGACTCGTCGTCGGATGAGAGCGGCGACAACGGGTCTGCTGGCATGCCGTCGGTCTGCGCACCCAGCCCGCGCCTCGCGCCGCGATACTCGCAACCACGCGAGACCGCGGCCGAGCCGCAGCTCCACCGCGAGCACGACAGCGGTGGTTACGCCAGCAGAGGGCAGGCGCATCGCGGCGGGGCTGGGCGTCCAAGTTCCGCCACCGCGCGTGCTGCCGCGCTCGACCGGCTGCGAGAGAAGGAGCGCCGGCGGTCGCTGGCCAAGGTCTCGGCCGACCAGTTCAAGGTGCCAGAGCGGCGGCCGGCACCGGCCGCACCACCGCGAGTCGTCTCCGAGTTCAAGGCTTCGCAACTCGCCGAGCAGTACTTTACCCGCCACGAGCCGATGGTGCCCGAGCTTCAGGACAAGGTCGGCCTTGCAGCCCGGCCTTCGACCGCCGAGCTCGCCGCCAAGATGCAGGGCTACGACAGAAGCGAGGTGCAGAAGCTCGCTCGCCGCGCCAGTGCGCAGCCGCGGTCCATCGTCCGTGCCGCAGGCACCCTCCGCGGCATCGTGCCCGAGACCGAGCTCTCACACGAGGAGGAGCGCATCCTCAAGTCGATTGCGCGTCTCAATCTTGAGCTCGAGAAGGCCCGCGCCGAGGGCAGCCGCACCGAGAGCGCTCGCGGCTCCGAGGCCCCGGTCGACTCGCGCCAGCACCCGCGCCAGCGCCCGCGCCAGCTGCGACGCCCTCGCGCCACCGCCCGCCGCCCACGTAACTCGCCGCTGCCCGGCCCGCTTCCGCCGACCCGTGCTGACTCTGCGACCAGCTCGCAGCGATTCGAGTCGCCGCGGCTGGCGTCGCCGGCGCTGTCGTCGGCTAGGTCGTCGGGTGCGCCATCGCGGGCCTCGTCGCACCGCCCCTCGCGCGCGCGTTCTGCGCGATCCCTGACATCCGCCGCGTCGTCGCGGTCGACAGCATCGTCAACATCGTCGTACGCAGCGCGGATGATGCGCCGCAAAAAGGTCGGCGTCGCTGCGGCGTCGGGCCTCCCGCAGCGCGGCATTCGCCGCGGCGGTTCACGCTGGCGGGTGCCGTCGGTCTCGGACGCTCGCGTCTCGGCCGCTCGAGCGTCGGGCGCTCCGGCCCGCACGCTCCCGCCAATGCCGACCGCCGCAGCCGAGCTCTCGCGGGCCTCGCCGCGGCACAAGCCCATCATCAAGCCGCGCCACCGCCCTCCACGCCGCATGCCGCCAGCTATGGCCTCTCCCGAGCCGGCGGTGCCATCGCCGGCCCGCCCACTCCTGTCGTCGTCCGACGACGACTCGCCGCTTCCGCCGCCGGCAGACAAGCCAGCCGTTGTCCACGTCCGCGAGTCAAAGCGTTCGTTGGTGGCTCGGCTGTTCGGCAACGCCGGCTAGGCCTTGTCCTCAGCCTGAGCTTCGGCCTTGGCCTTGGCCTGCCGCTCGATGCGGGCTTTGAGCGCCTCGAGCGTCGACTCGAGCTCGTTGGCGTGGTCGGCCACATACTCCAGCGCATCGGCTCCGTCCAGCTTTCGCAGCTCCTTGCCCTTGGCCTTCAGAATGGCCTCGAGCGTGCCAGGCGGGGCGCCGGACCCGCCGGCGTCGGTCCAGCCGAGGTTGTCGGCGACGAGATGGTGCGACTGGCAGCCATCGCAGCGGACGAGCACCACACCATGGTGGTAGGCATGCCTGGAAAAGGTCTTGGCCGACCGTGTCTCACACACATCGCAGGTAAAGACCATCATCAGCGTCCCGTCAGGGTCATCCACCGCCCCGCCGTCGCCGCTCCCGCCAGCCAGCGACGAGCTGAGCCGAGCCGCCCGCCGCCAAGTCGCCGCAGCCCCGCCGGCCGCCACCACACCCACATTCGCCTGCCGCAGCATCCTCTGCATCCCGCTCACCACCCGAGCGCCAAGAATACGCAGCATGACTCGCTCGACCCAAGTGTGTACGCGTCAACTGTTGACGCTGGCAGGCCAATCTCCTGGTCGCTGGCGGTCGAGTCGGGCCGACGAGACACGAGCGAGGGATCCAATTTGTCGCGCCGGCAGGGAGGACTGGAAGTAGCCTAGTGTGAGCATGTAGATAGCAAGGCAAACGGATTTTTGTGATCACGTTAAAGGTAGTGGGTTGAGGCTGTTGGCGGGAGAAGAAAGAGATCAAAGGTCCTGGGCAGGTTTTGCAGGTGGGAAAGTGCGTGACGGAGGGTGGCGGAAAGAGAGGAGCGAAAATCGGAGATCACGCTGCGTTGGCATAGTAAACATGGCCAGACATGCTGGTGGGGGGCAGAAGCAACCAGGTCAGACGAGAGGCGGCGGCTTTATCGAGCTCATAACGTGCAGGCTACGGATCGCGAGGAGTAAGCGAAGGAGTGCGGGCGCCACCGCGGATGTTGAGAGCGATGGAGCCAGAGATTGAGCCGGTGACCAGACCGCCCTTGAGCAGGCGGAGCGAGAACGGGGCATCGGGCGCGGTTTCGTCGTCGTCAGGGAGGCGGATGTGCGGGCCGAGCGGGAGTTTGGCCTCACCGCGGGAGGTGCCGGATTTTGCGTCGATGACGGCGAGGATGATGGACTGCTTGGCGATAAAGTCGGGCTCTGAGAGCGAGGGCCGGAGGAGCGGCAGCGAGTCGCCGTCCCAGTGCGGCTCCCATGACTTTTTGACGACCGACGAGCGAAGGCCGAGCGAGTGCGAGCCCGGGAGGAAGGGAGCCCAGACGGCGAGGAACGAGTCACCCGGCTTGGCCTTTGAGGCCGGCTGGACGAGGGAGACCGAGATGTCTGAGAGGAGGAGGGCGCAAGGGAGGGCGACGCGGTCCCAGTGCTCGGGACGGTAGGGGACCTGGACCGAGACGGTGAAGAGGGCAGAGACCGGGGCGTGGTCCGAGGTCATGATGGACTTGCAGTCGGTAAAGTAGACGAGGTCGGGCTGGTACGTCGGAGACTCGCACTTCCACATGATGCGGTCGCACCAGGCTGGGATGCGCGGGTGTTTGCCGGCGGCGTACGTCCTTGTGTTGCGAGCGTACTTGTAGGTGCAGGGAAAGTCAAGCGTGGCTTCAGTAAAGCCGACAAAGGCGGCGTCTGCGGCGATCTGGGCCTGGAGCTGGTCGTTGGCAAAGAGGACGTCCCACGAGCGGAGGAGGTTGAACTCGATGACAGCATCGCGTGGGAGTTCGATGCGGTAGTTGAGGTCGCCGCACCAAAAGACGTAGTCAGCGACGTTTGTGATGTCAAACTCCTTGTTGGTACCAAGGCGGAGGCCTGCGACGATGTTGGCGTAGTCTGCGTTGCGCTCGGCAATCTTGGACTGGTGCGCGGCAAGGTGGGCGCCGATGAAGCAGAACGAGGTCTCGAAAAAGTTGAACGAGACAGCAACGCCGCCCTTGTTGCCTGCCACGTTGGCAATGCCTGTGGCGACCTTGGAGAACTCGACGTCCATGATCTTGTTGTAGTGGCAGGAGCGGACGGCGACGACAAGGCGAATCTCCCACAGCGAGTGCTTGCAAAGGACGACATATCCGGGGCCCAGCGCCTCTTGGACGTAGTCGTACCAGTGGTCGCGCGTCTCGCAGGGGATTTTCTTGCCGTGGGCGTCGAGTGGGACGTACTTGCACTCTTGGACGCAAAAGGCGTACATGTCGTGCTCGCCGGTCGGTAGGTAGTCGCCGAGCGAGTCGGGTGGTGGCGCATTGCCCATGTTCCACGAGCCGACCCAGACCGAGAGCGGGAACGAGAGCTGGCCAATCTTATTGCCAGCGTCAATGTGGGTGGCCCAAAGGGTCTCGTACACAAGGTCGCGCCACGACGGTGAGAGGCAGAGGACGGTGTACGTCGGCGTCTTGCCCTCAAACACAATGTAGAGCTTGTTGGCGTCGGACTTGCACTTTTCGAACCGCCACACGTCGGCGGCGCGGAGCTCCTTTCGCTTCTCGCCCTTGCGGCGGGTCTGGATGATGGCAAACGATTGCCGCTTGATGTTGACCTCGAGGACCCGCGGCTTAAAGCCCTTGAAAAAGCCCGAGCCCTTGAGGACGTACACGTCAAAACGCTGGATCGACTTGGCCTCGGTCCGCCGGACTCGGGTCTCGGCGAGCGGCACGACCGGCGAGGCGTCGGCGGCAGCGGCGGCGGCCTCGGCGGCGGCCTTGCTCTCGGCGGCAGCGACTGAGCCGGCCCGCGACGCCCGCCGTTTTGGCCGCAGCGTCATTGACTTGTTGTCCATGGTGGCAAAGGTCATGAGTTCGACCGACTGCAACGACTCCCAATCGGCGTACGACGGCATGGCCACCTCCTTGGGCGGCGACGAGGTGCTGGTTGACGGTGCGAGTCCGGACGAGCCGGCCGAGACAAGCGTCGGCTTAGGCGGCCCGTTGTCCGACTCGCTCCCGTTGTCCGGCCGGCTGGCGGCTGCGGAAGGCGAGCTGGGCTCCGAGACCGAGACCTCGCCCGAGTACGAGCTGATGGAGCCGTCATCACCAGCGGTGCACCCGTCCGACTTTGAGTCCGAGTCCGAGTCCGAGCTTGAACTGCCGCTCACCCGCTCATTCTGCGAGCGGGAGCGAGAGCGCGAGTGCATCTCATCCGAAGTCGAGCCCATCGACTCGGGGTCGCCGGTTGGGTAGCGGATGCGGTCGATCTTTTTCTTGTGCTTCTTCCGGCCGCTGCTGCTCCGGGTGGCGCCACTGCCACCAACCTGACGCGGCGAGACAATCCGCCCAGTTGTGGGCCTTTCGGACGAACGGGTGTTTGTCGCTAGATGCAGATAGTACACCGATCCGTCAGCATCCTGCAGCGAGACCCACTCATCGCGATTCGACGACACATCCGCAGCCTCTGGTGAGAGAATGCCCTCAGTCCCGTAGTCTGGCGAGACCGATCCACGTCGAATGCGGGAGTTTGCCTGAGGCGGCTCGACTGCGTGCGGAAGAGGATGTGAGTTGGTGGAGGGGGGAGGGGGGGGACGGGGGGGGGGGGGTGTGGTGGTTGATCAGCGGGCGATCGATCAGCGGGCGATCGATCAGCGGGCGATCGATCAGAGGCAGGCAAGGCGGACGTACGGTAGGCGAGGTCGGAGAGGGTATCCTCCGAGTCTGTGGCGTGTGGGGTGGCGTATGCAGAGGAGGTTGGAGTTGTGGCCAGCGGGGTGAGGCAGTCGGTGGTGGTGGTTGTGGTGGTGGGGTTGGCGGCGTTTGCGGCGTTGGCGAGGTCGGCGGTGGGAGTGGTGCGAGTGGTGGGAGAGCCAGGCGGAGTGACAGCCGAGACAGAGACCAAAGGGTTGGAAGCGAGGGAAGCGAGTTGGGAAGGAGAGGAAGTGGAAGAGGCTGCAGAAGTAGTGGAAGTGGTGGTGGATGAGGAAGAACCGGATGTCTCTCCATCAGTCGAAGTACTGCTTCCGGAACTGGTGCTGCTCTCAGAGTCGGAGAAATCAACAGACGCAAGCCGCTGCATGGCTGGCACCACACGCTTTCCGGCGACGAGTGCTTGTTGCTCAGGACACGGGTCTCATCAGGCGGTGACGATGAGGCGAGGATGGCCGGCTGTGTTTGCCCCCATCCCACATGCCTCGGCCTGATCGTTCCGCTTCTCGCCCTCTACACCGCTTTCTGTGCCGATGGCGGGCGTGTGCGAGCTGTACTGTCTTTGCTATGCTACACTGCTCCAGTGAAGAGTGTCCTGATAGAGAGTGGTGGCCATGTGGCGAAGCCTGCGCTTGGCAATGTTGGAGCGGACAAGGCGGGTGGTCTGATCGTCGAGGACGGTGGTCAGCCGCGGAGTGGCCGGGAACGGGCCGATACCCCATGTGGTGCGGGCTTCAACTCGTGCACGAGCCCGATCAAAGGCAACATTGTTGACGGCAACACGCTCTTCGCGGGCAAGGATCTTGAGCTCGACGGCGCGCTTCTTGTTGACCACCCGGCGTCGGGAATCCAGACGTGAACGTGCGGCCCGGGCCTCCTTGGCCAGCCTTGCGCGGTCGCGGCGGAAGACGGCCCGGGCCTGCGCAAGTGCAGCCTGGCGGAGCCGCATCTTGCGGGCAACCTGGGTGTCTGCCACCCGGCGGACCGGCGAGCGCATCAGTGCGACGTCCGGCGGCAGCGGGATCATGGGCAGCGGCGAGGTTGCTGGGCGTGGAGCCGACGGGGCGTGCGGGGACTGTGGGCCCTGTGGGCCCTGTGGCGGATGCACAGCGAGCGAGCCTGTCTTCGACGCCATCCGCAGCGACGCCGATGCAGCTCGCAGTCGCCGCCGTCTCAACCGCTGCGCCACGGCCGCCAGGCGCTGCTCCTCTGCAGCGGCCTCGGCCTTGACCCGGGCCCGCTCAGCCTCGACCTCCTTCTCCACCTTGCGCCGCTTGGCATCAAAAGCTCTCCGAGTCTCCAGCGCCTTGATCCGCAGCTCCTCTTGTGCCGCTCGCGCCGCCTTGAGCTCATCCCTCGGCGGGGCATGGACCATCTCCAGCACACACTCGGAGCCAACCGCACGGGCATGGATCTCTTCCGGATGGGCATCCTTTGCATGGCTCTCGTCGGCATCGGTCATAAAGGTAGCCCGAGTAGCAGAGCCACTCTCGCCAGCGCCTTCCGGTGTCCTGCCAGGGCCAGTTTCGGCCATGGCCATCATGGTTCGGTTGGTTCTTGTCCGTGCTCTCGCGGCAGCTGCGGCCGTCATGGTCTCTGCCAGACGAGCCGCCCGTGGCGAAGGGAAAGCAAAGCGGCTGTCATGCGCCCTTGTTCGCCTTCCTCCCATCCTTCCTCGCTCCTTCTTTCCGCTGTTCCTGCTCTCCGCCGCCCACTCCCGGCCGTGGTCTGCGTCAAGTGCTCTCCCTGCTGCTTCAAACTGCCTGCCGCAGCGGAGTCGGTTGTGGCTGCTGCTGCTGCGGGCATGGTGATGGAGCGATAGGGCGATGGGGCGATGGGGCGATGGGGCGATGGGGCGATGGGGCGATGGGGCGATGGGGCGATGGGGCGATGGGGCGATGGGCGATGGGGCGATGGGGTGATACAGCTCCGGTCAGTTGCGGCCATCAACTCGGCTGTCGTCTGGGCATGGCACTGTTCGCCAGTGGCGTGGTGGCCGGGACAGGAGGAAGTGGCTGGGAGAGGGACAGCGACACGGCACACACCTCTTTGTCGAGGGTACACAACCAAGCCCAGGGAGGTGGACAGGTGGACAGGTGGACAGGTGGACAGGTGGACAGGCTGGCTGGCAGGGTTGGGAGCAGGTGGGCCATGGCGCAACTGGTAGAGGTGATGGAGCATGGCTCCGGCATGGGTATGGGCATGGTCGAAAAGCAGGTACAACGGGACGAGGGGACAAAGCGGAAGGTGCCTACGGCAGTCTCTCATCCGGACATTGGCCGGGATGGTGGCCTTGGCTCGGTTGCCCACCGCGGGGGCGTGGCGGGCGATCAGCACGGCGCGCTCGCCGCTGGCGACTCTCTGGGTGCCGTGAGCGCAAACCCGTCCCGGGCTCAATCTGCTTGCACGCCGCACTCCCGGCCGCTGGCTGTTGCCGGCGCCGCTACAGTGTCGACAACATTGGCACGCGCGCTGGGTGATGAGGCCGTTGGCAAGAGTGATGCGGGAGCGAGTGTGAAGCGTGATCGTCCGACGTCGGCGCCTGTCCACCGACGCGGTGCCGAGGGCGAGTTGGTGGCGGCAGCAGCTGCTGCTGGGCTTGCGGGCCTGGTGTTTGAGTATGATCTCGGCCCCGAGTTTGAGCCGCGGGAAAAGGTGCCGTCGCGGTTTGCGGTGACTCGCGATCGGGTGGAGGCTGAGCTTCGCGCACGCGCCCCCGAAGCCCACATGCCGGTCCTTCCCGACGGCCGACGGCGGCGACTGGCGTCGGCGGCATCGCGCCGGATGCTGGCCCGCTCGTCGCGCGCGCGCGCCCGCAAGCCGTTTCTCGCCCGAATGATGGACGACGTCGCACGTGCAAGAGCCGCGGCAAGCTTGCCCAGGCCGCCGCCGCCGGCCGCGGCGCCTGCCACGCTCCTTCACCAGCAGCTGGCTGCGGCGCGCGAGGCGGCGGCCCTGCCGACACAAAGCATCGAGTCTGAGACCTCGCGCCGAGTTCGCAAGCGACTTGAGCAGGCCGAGCGGCAGCAAAGGCGGCGGGAGGCTCGGGTCCGCACGCAGCTCAAGAACATCGCCCGGCAGCACGAGCTCATCCGCCGCGAGCTAGAGGAGGAGCGAGCTGCCGCGCGGATTCAGCGCCAAGACGAAGAGACTGCTCGCGCCACACGGCGGGCAAAACGGCGCGAGTCGGCCGGTGAGCGCAAGCAGCGACTTGCCCGGCAGCGTGCGCGCGATATGGCGGCTCGCTCGCGGCGGCTGGCCCGGATCCGCGAGGAAAAGGCCCGTGCGCGCGAGCTAGCCCGACGCGACGCCGAGGAGCAGCAGGCCAAGAGAAGAGCGCGCGTGGCAGAGGCTGACGCGCAGCGAGCAGCACGATCGATCACGCTTGCCAGGGAGCAGGAGGCAGTGGTCCGCAGGCGCGAGGAGGCCCAGCTCCGCCGGATGCAGGCCATTGCAGCGTCACGCGCCCGCGAGGAGGCCCGGTCGAGAGCCGCCGCCGACAGGCGCGCTCGCAAACATGCCGCGACCGAGACCCGCATCCGGCAAGCCGAGCTCGCGCGGCTCCACATTCAAGAGCAAGTGGACCAGCGTCGGTCTGAGTTTGGCCTCGGCGTCGGCTCGCGGTTCTTCGACTATCTCGTCGAGGAGTCGCTTCGCGAGAGCCTGGCCGGGCCCGGGCCCGCGAAGGGCGGTGGCGAGGGTGGCGGAGACGGCGAGAGCGGCAGCAGCGAGCAGGCCGATGGCGATGCAGGCGTCACTGCGGCGCTGTCGCCGCGGCCGCATTCGACGCCACGGCCGCCAAGCAGGCCACGGCCGAAAAGTTCGGGCGGGCGGCGACCGAGGCGGCGGCGAGCATTGAGCGGTGCGGGCAGGGCATGAGAAGTGGTTCATTTCTCGGACGAAGGAAGGTAGGTGCGAGTGGTATGGGCGAGTGGCTGGATGTGAGTGGCTGTGTGAGTGGCTGTGCACTGTACACTAGCGGAGCGCCGAGTCGGCCTGATAGGTAAAGCCCTCAAAGGCGCCCTTGGCGGCGTCGGCGAGCGCGCCAGACGGCTCAACATACGAATCGACGACGGGCATGTCAGTAAAGGTGGGATCAAAGAGCGACGAGTCATCCTCACCCTTGACGTCGGGGGTCCAGGGCGGAGTGATGTTCTTTGCGACGAGCTTGGTCCAGTTGATGTTGGCAAAGTATGGGTGCGACTTGATGGCCTCGCCGCCGCCGTCGCCAGCGCCGAGGCGGTTGGCAGGCGTGCGGTCGAGGAGCTTGCGGATAAAGTCCTGCGTGACGTCCGGGATGTCGTCAGGGAAGACCAGGTCCGAGTACAGGATCTTGCGGTACATCGTGTTGGTGTCGTTGGAGTAGAACGGCGGGAGGCCGGTGAGCATTTCAAAGAGGAGGACGCCAAGCGACCACCAGTCGACTTCCTTCCCGTAGCCCTCGCCCTTGAGGATCTCGGGCGCGAGGTACTCTGCGGTGCCGCAGAACGTCGAGGTGGTGTCGCCCTCGGCCATGTTCTCCTTGACCAGGCCAAAGTCGGTGATGCACAGGTGGCCGTCATTGGCGATGAGGATGTTCTCGGGCTTGAGGTCGCGGTAGACGACGTCGAGGGCGTGCAGGTAGTCGAGGGCGAGCGTGAGCTCGGCAGCGTAGAACTGGCAGCGAGCAGGCGCAAACTTGACTTCGTTCTGCAGATGGAAAAAGAGCTCGCCGCCGTTGACGTAGTCGAGGATGAGGTAGAGCTTAGTGTCGGTCTGGAACGAGAACTTGAGGCCGACAATAAATGGATGGTTGACCTGGCCGAGGACCCGCTGCTCGGCTCGGGTGTGCTCGACCTCGTCGCGCGCGATGATGACCTCCTTGTTGAGTGTCTTCATCGCGTACAGGTTGCCAGTATCCTTCTTGCGCACCAGCATGACCTTGCCAAACGAGCCTTTGCCCAGGACCTTGAGCAGGTCAAACGCGTCGACCGAGAGTTTGGCGTCGCCCGCCGGCTGGCAGGTGTACTCGACTGCAAGGTGCACAGAGCCCTTGACCTTGTCCTTCCACTGCTGCGGGATGAGCTTGAACCACTGCTTGTGCTCGCGCCCGGCCTCCAGGCTCGACAGCCGGATCTTGACATGACCGAGGAACGTCTTGGTGCTCTTGTCCCACACCGAGACCTGCAGCTCGCCCACCGACGACGTCACGTCAAACTTGAACGACGCGTTCCAGCTCGGGTTGGTTGCATCGTCCGACGCCTTTGTCTTCACCTTTTGCTTGTCGTACGTCAGCTTGCAGTACGGCCGCCAATCTGTGCCCACCTCCCCCAGCGCATTCCCAGCATCGACCGACATCGATCAGCATCAGTAACCCAATGAGTGCATTTCATAGCATGGCGTAACATTCCGCTTACCCCCCCTCAACACACACACTTGCCCTTCCACCCCCCCTCCCCCCCCCCCCTCCCTCCCCCCCTCAGCCCCTCCCTCTCACTCCCTCTCGCTCCACCGCTAGCAAACCTACCTCCGGGCTTGAGTTCCTTTGCACCGAGGACTGCCACCCATCGATTTCTCCAGTGAGTATGTCCATCTATACAGAAACATGTATGATTGTGTACGCGTGTATGTATGCGTGTGTGTGCGTGTGCGTGTGTGTGTGTGGGGGGGGGTAGGGGGGAGGGGAAGGAGTGGGGGGAGACATGGCTATTCCGTGGAACTCATTTCTTGGCGGCCTGGACGAGGGGGGGCAATCAGAGTATATGTGGATGGGGGGGAGGGATAGGTGGAAGAAGAAGATGTGCCTTGTGCTTCTTGTATGTGTGTGTGTGTGTGCATGTGTGCGTGTGTTTGTGTGTGTGGAGGAGGTCCCTGGAGGGAGCTTGGCTGTGGTGGAGGCATGGGCGGGTGCGAGGGGGTCACGGGTGTTGGTGGGTCGATCAGAACCAAAAAAGGGCTTCATTGCCAGGTGTGGTCACCATGGTCATGGGCATGGGTATGGACATGGGATGGAGGATGGAGACGGTGGAGGGTGGATATGGTTTGGTATGGGCTGAGGCTTACTCTTGACAGACAGAATGCCGATGTCGGAAGCTGCCATGGTTGGATGGTACTCGCGATGGCTCGGAGGAGGGCCGAGGTGACGACGAGTGTGGCCGTCTGTCGTGTGCCGTGCAGTGTTTGCAATGAATACCAGCATTCATCGGTCTATTCATCCAGGTATTCAATTCGGTATTCCCTTTCGGGGCTATGAATACCCACATGTGCGACTTTGCCCGGACTTGACGCCAGAATCTACACCGCTCTCAGCACTACCATGACCGGCGATGTGCTGCGCAACTTGCGTGTTCGCAGTCAAAGCAAGTCAAGCGTGTACTGGTCGGTGGTTTACGAAGATGAAGGTGGCGAGGATGGCAAGTTTCGATGCATGCTGTGTGGCGTGCAGGTCACCGCCTCGCATGGTAAGACCTCCAACATCGCCAACCACATGAAGCTTCAGCACCGCAGCCTCATCCAGCGGCTTGCTAAGGCAGTCGGCCCTGAGACCTCGTCCCAGCCATCCATCACGCAGTCACTTGGGACGCTGTCCGGCAAGTCACTAGCGGCTCGCAAGAGGGCAACGGCGCCTGCAGCCGTCAAGTTCGTCCTGAGCTCGCACTCGCCGTTCCGCATCATGGACAACCCCGACATGCACGCCATGGTGGCGGCGGCATCGCGCCTCTCTGTTGAGCAAATCAAGCAAGTACTTCCATCTGCGTACCAGGTAGCCGGACCTGGCCTTGATGCGTTGTTTGAGCGCTGCCGCCAGTCCGTCGTCAACCTGACAAAGTCCGGACCTGTCGTGCTGTATGTCGACGAGTGGACGTCCAAGGCGACACACAAGTCATTTCTCGGCATGTGCGCCTCCTTCTACAATAATGATGGAGAGCGTGTAACCGTTCCGGTTGCTTTTCGTGCCCTCACGCCTGAGACTATGCTCGCGATCCAGGAGACTGGTTTGGATAGCGAGCCATCATCAGGCGCCGTAGCAGCGGAAGCACTGGATCACCTGTCTACCAATGCGGCCACACTGGCCAGTATGGTGAAGGAATGCACGGATCGGATGGGACTGGAGTGGGGCCGTGTTTGCGGCGTGGCGACTGACACTACGTCGGTCATGCCGTGCATGGCGCGTGAGCTTGGTCTGCCTTGGTTTCCCTGCCTATCCCACCGCATCAACCTCATCGCAGGCAAGGTCATCCGCCACCTCGGCTCGGTCGCCGAGCCCTGCCCTGAGCTCATCATGCAGGACAACATGCTCGACCTAGTCGGAGACAAGCTTGTGGACAACTTTTCGGACACGGAGGGGGATGACGTAGGTAGCGACACCGAGCCAATGGAGGCTAACTCGAGCGATCCAACGCCAGGTCCGTTCAGCGGAGCCGACTTGTCGGCGCCCGCACCAGTTGCGCCAGTGGCCAAGCGCAAGAACCCCGGTGCTACCAACGATGACGTCCCCCTCGACGATTTGTTGCTCTCAGACCTGCCCAATGCCCCTCTCGATGGTCGCCCGGATCCTCTGTCGAAGGCTCGTCGCATTGTGGCCCTCGTTCAGCGCTCGTCTAAGGTCAAGCGCTACCTCGACCATATCATTGACAAGAAGGAGCACTTGGAACAGGAGGAGTACAACATCGAGGTCTCCAAGTACAAAGGGCTAGTGCAGGGCGGATTGGCGCACAAGGTCGCCCCTCCTATCATGCCACGTCGTCGTCCGCGGTCGCTGCGCCCATCTGTCGTCACCCGCTGGGGGTCGACTGTTGCCATGCTCAATCGCATGCTCGACATGCGCGAGGACATTGACGAGCTCTGCTCCATGCCGGAGGTCTCGGTCGAGAAGCTTTCGGACGACGACTGGGCGCAGCTCAAGCTCGCGTACCCAGTCCTCAGCATGATCGACATGGCCTCCACCAGATCGCAGAGGGAGGATAATCGGCCCTCGGATGCGATTGTGACGATGCTGCATATGCGCTCCGGCATGCAAGAGATTATCTCAGTCCAGGCGTCTGGCGCGGGCACAGCCGCTTTGAAGGCAATCGGAAGCGAGCTCAAGTACTTTGCCGAGCAAGACACATCGCTATTCGCTTTCCTCATTGACCCCGAGGTCACCCATGAGCAACTGCGAGAGTTTTATGGCTGCTACGCCAAGGCATTGTACGGCGACAGAACGACAGATACCTTGATCCAGCGCGTTCGCCGCGACGTGTGGGGCCGCTTTGCGAGCAAGATTGCGGTTGCATTCCATGACCAGCTTGCGCGCACCGAGAACGAACCTGTCCCGGAAGTGGTGGACATCGCGTTTGCCCCAGATGATGCTCCTCGGCGCGCCTCTGCATCTGCGAACAACATCAGTGCCGGTTCATCAGGTGTGTCCGAGTGCGGGACTGAGTCGTCACGATGTGATGAAGTTGTGGACCTTATTCTGCAAAAGTACAAGCGCCAGCTTGAGGCTACCACCGGTAGTCGCGTTGGGTCCAAGAAGCCGCGCACGGCCTTTGCCCAGCAGGCGAGCAACCGCCCTTCCGCGACTCTGCTAATCGAGAGTTACTCCAAGGCACTTACTCAGGCCATCTTCGACTACAAGAACATCGGTGTAACGATGTCGCCAGACGCGCGCATCCAGCTGATCCCCGCCTTGGCCCGCACTAAGTGCCGCTTCGGTGACGATCAGCGCATCTTCGATCTTATGGAGGCAGCAACGGCGCTCCTTCGTCCGCTGCTGCTCCCCTCTGCTGCAGCTGCGAGCGTGGAACGGCTCAACTCGGTGGGCACAGACATGCTCACTCGTAAGCGCAACCGTCTTGACTCCGAAAGGATCGAGAAGATGGTGCTCACGCGCTGCTGGATCGCTGCCTCCACGAAGCTCGGTATCGACCTGTAGAGGAATATTCATTCCAAAGGTCCAGGTATTCATTCCTGACCAATATTTCGCGAAATTTCAAACACTGGTGCCGTGTGCAAGTGCGTGCGGCGAGCGGCGCGGGGCGCTCGATCGGGCAGAAAAGGTGATGAGGGCGGGGTGGGTCAGGGGAGTAAGGGGGTTTAACGCCAGATCTGGCGGATGCTCATGTTCTCGTTCTCGTTGCGGTGCATGACCTTTGCGACGGCCATGGTAAAGTCCTCCTGGGAGATGTGGATGCGGCGCTCGCGGAGGGCAAACATGCCGGCCTCTGTGACGACGGCCTTTGTCTCTGCGCCCGAAGCGCCGCCGAGAAGCGAAGCGATCTTCTTGAGGTCGATGCCGCGGGTGAGATTCATCTTGCGCGAGTGGATCTTGAGGATGTCGAGGCGTGCGGTCTCGGACGGGTTGGGGAACTCGATCTTGCGGTCGATGCGGCCCGGGCGGAGGAGGGCCGGGTCGAGGATGTCGATGCGGTTTGTGGCCATCAGAACCTTGATGTTCTGCGAGGCCTCAAAGCCGTCAAGCTGGTTGAGTAGCTCGAGCATGGTCCGCTGGACCTCCGAGTCGCCGCGCGAGCCTTCGATGCGCGACGAGCCGATCGAGTCGATCTCATCCATAAAGATGATGGACGGCGCGTGCTCGCGCGCCATGATGAACAGCTCACGGACCATGCGCGAGCCCTCACCGATGTACTTTTGCACCAGCTCCGAGCCCGAGACCCGGATAAAGGTGCACTCGGTGTGGTGGGCGACGGCGCGGGCGAGGAGGGTCTTGCCGGTCCCCGGCGGGCCGAACAACAGCACGCCCTTGGGCTGCGCGATGCCAAGCGCATCAAACAGTTCCGGGTGCTTGATGGGGAGCTCGATGACTTCGCGGATCTGCTTGATCTGCTCGTCGAGCCCGCCGATCATGTCGTACGTTGCGTCGGGCACCTTCTCGACACGCATCAGCGACACAATCGGGTCGACCTTGTTGGGCAGGATCTTGTGGAGCTTGTACGACTCGGACCGGAGCGCAACTCGCGTGTTCGGCTTAATGTCCTTGATGTCCACTCCCTTGTCGAGCTTGACCACGTACTTGCCCTCCGGGTTGACCTTGACCAGCACCCGGTCCTTGCCCATGGCCTTGACCACCTCGCCCACGTACGAACCAGACGTCGAAAGCACCTTCAGCTCCTCGCGCAGCTCACGGACCTGCACTCCCCCACCCTCGTGCAGTAAGTGCTAGCTGTAGCTGCTGAGGAGCCTTGGCCCTGCACAACTGGCATGCCAGGCAAGGCAGTGGCAGCCTTCGATCGGGCGCAAAAAATGGACGGGTCGCCCTGCTGCTTGCTGCTTGGCGCGCCACCTTCCATAGCAGGCAGGGGGCGAACAGGTACAGAGCAGGGGGGAGGGGGGGGGGGGGGGGAGTAGGGGAATAATGGGCTGGAGACTGGGAGTATGGGGAGTAGGGAGGGTGCAGGGGAAGGAGGCGGCACGGTACCTTTGAGTTGAGGTCGTTGCGCTGGGCCTCGAGCCGGCGCAGGTTCTCGGTCTTGTTCCGGACGGTGGCCTCCAGCTTGAGGATGCGGTCAGCGTAGTAGGAACGGAGGCCCTCGTGGCTGCCTGGGGCGGCCGCAGACGACTTTGTCATGCTCTTTGTGTGAGCGGTGACGAGTGTGGGTGGTTGGGTGGTGGTCGAGGTAGGACGTGCGCTGCGGGAGGGCGAGGTCGCTGAGCGGCGGGCGACGGGCGACGGGCGACGGGCGGAGGGTGACGGGCAATGGGTGGCGGGCGGGAATGGAAGGAGGGGCATATCATTCTAATGGTCAGAGTCTGTCAAAAGAAAAGCTCACCATCCGAGTCGGCATCCGCGTCGGGTGGATCGCTGGGCGATGGTGCGGGGTTGGGGTTGGGGTTGGGGGTAGCGGGTGCGGGCGCGGGTGAGGCCGAGCCGGACGACGACCAGTCCGAGTCGGAGAGGGCATCTGCGGGCGCAGCGCGTCGGGTGCCATGCGGGTCCAGCTCGGGCCTAGACTTGGACTTGGACTTGGACTTGGACTTGAGGCTGAACTTGGACTTGGACTTGGACTTGGCCTTGGCCTTGGACTTGGACTTGGACTTGGCCTTGGCTTGAGACTTGGACCTGGCCTTGGACTTGGACTTGGCCTTTGTCTTGGATGCTGATCTGCGTGACGGTGTTGCGCGCGAGGAGCGCGACTTGGACATGTCGGAGCGCGACGAGCGGTGGTGATGGTGGCGAGATGAGCGCGAGCGGGAGTGGCGATGGGCCGACGACGAGGCCGAGGCAGATGCGGAATCCGGGGCAGATGCGGATGCCGAAGCGGATGGCGAGGCGTGGCCTGAGCCTTCGGCCGAAGCCGGGCCAGAGGCATGACCGGCGTGGTCAGCATTGTCGGCGTCTGCGTCGGCGGCAAGGTCGAGGCTCGACGCCGGGCGCGGCGAGGAGACCGGGGTGTGGTCCTCGGCAGCGTTGCCGGCAGTGCCTGCGTCCGAGTTGCACGACGAGAGGAGAGTGGCATCGGAGCCTGCCGGCGAGATGTGTGCGGCAGTGGCGTGAGCGATGCGGGCCTTGCGGGCCTCTTGCTTGGCAGAGAGGCGCGACTGGACGGAGAGCTCGGCGAGCTGCTCAAACATGGCCTCCTGCTTGACGCGGGCGAGGTCAAGCTCGACACGCGCGGTAGAGAGCTCGTTGGCGAGGCGGGCGTTGTTGGCCTGTGTGGCGGAGAGCTCTTCCTCGAGGGCAGCGGCCTTGGCCTCTGCGGCGGCGCGGGCGGTCTCGGAGGCGTCGAGGTCCTCGGTGACCTGCTTGGCGTAGGCCTCGAGTGACTCGAAGCGCGGATCCGGGCCGCGGCGCTTGACGTTGGAGACAAACTCGTACTTGCGCTGCAGCTCGGCGTAGGCTTCGTTCGAGCGGGCGAGCTTTTTCTTGAGCACATGCAGCGTCATCGACATGTTGCGCAGCTTGTTGGGCGAGACTGGGACGGTGGCCGGCCCGTGGTGCTCGTCAAGGAGCTGCTCGGGCGTCGGGGTGCCCGGCGCGTAGCTGACCGACTTGGAGTGGCTCGCCTTGGCAGGCGGAGCCGGGGCCGGGATCGACGCAGCCACCGCCTGCGCCTCCTGTAGCAGCGACTGTAGCTTGCTGACCAGGGCAGCGTGCGCGGCCGAGTCGGTGGCGGAGACCCGCGGCGAGCGGCCCGACGGGCGCGGCATGTCGTCGATCGACAGCAGGCCGGGCGGGGCACCCGAGCCCGTGCCGATGCTGCCTAGCGGCGAGCGCGGCGGGCCGGCGGAGCTTGCACTCTCCTCGCTCTCGCGGCGGGAGCGGGGGAGTTGACTCTCCGAGTTTGTCGAGGCCAGGCTCGCACCGGAGCGCGAGACCGCAACCGAAACCGAGCGCTGACGGCCGTTTGCAGCACGCTCGTTGTGGGCAAGCTTGCGATGGGCAAGATTCCTCGGGTGGGCCTCCGAGTCGAGCTCGGGCACCGAGCCAGAGAGGTCGACGCGGACGAGCGGAGGCTCGCGGCTCGACGTCGAGCCTGTGCTGGCGTTAAAGCGGACGTTGTTTTCGGGAGGGGCGGGAGCAGTTTCAGCAGCAGGCTGCGGCATGGTTGCAACTGCCGGGTCGTACTCGTGGGCGTGGGCGTCGGCGTAGGCAGCCAGAGCTGCCAGGTCGGTGGCGTACGTTGAGGCCAGGTCCTCAAAGGCCACGTGAGGCTGCAACACCTCGCCCGAGCCAAAGGCAAAGCCAGGTGCGCCAATAAAGCCAGAGCCTGTTCTCGGGTCAAAGGGCTCAAAGGCACTGGTGCTCATACCAGGCGTGACCGTTGTTTGGGTGAGTATGAGCGAGAGAGGAGAGCGGTGGTTGGCGGTTGGCTGGCGGTGACTTTGTTGGGGGAGGAGGGGGGGGGTGGGGTGGTCATGATTCCATAAGAGTTTGTTGTTGGTGGGAATGGTGGGTGGCCCAGGCACATTCGTCTCGCTCTCGCCGGAATGAAGTCGCAGCCGTTGGCCGGTCCATTTGCTCCCGGCATGGGAATGGGTCCTGGCATGGGCATGGGTATGGGTATGGGTATGGGTGTTCCGCAGCGAGTGCCTGTCGGCCCAGCAATGGCTATGCCGCAGGGTAGAGCCATGCCTATGGCTGGCGGCCCGGTCGCCCACGGCCGTCCGTTGCCTCTCGGCCAAGCCGCCGCCGGCATGCCGCACCCGCATCTCGGCCCGCAGCAGGGCCACCCGGGCTTCGCCCCACACATGCCGCACGTTCCGCACCACCACCCGCAGTCGCCGGTCGGAAAGTACTACAACCATGGTCTGCACGCCAGCGGACAGGCCGGCGGGCAGGCGGCGGCAGCGGCGGCGGCGGCGGGGCAGTCCAGTGTCGCGCCCGAGGCGTACGCCGTTCGTGCGGCGCTCAAGGCGTCGATTGCCGAGGCCGAGGCGCGCCAGCTGCGCAAGGCCAACTCGGTCCTTGTCCGGCAGCATGTGTCGTCCAAGCTGCATCGGCTGCCGCCGGCGCCGCGCGACTCGACTGGCGCCCGCGAGTACCGGCTGGAGGAGGCGCTGGTGACGGAGCGCGCCGAGTTTACCCGCATCCTCGCCGACCTGGAGCGCGAGCTGGAGGAGGTCAAGGCGGCGGCGGCTCGGTATGCCGGACAGGACGGCTCGGCGGCACTCATCAACCGCGTGGCCGAGCTCGAGGCCGCGCAGAGCCAGGCCGAACAGGCCATGGCCGTCCTCCGCCGCGAGCGCAACGTCGCACTGCAGCAGACCGATCTTTGGGCAACGTCGGCAAAGCGGCTGGGGTATGTGGCGCAGTCCGGCCGGCGGGCCAAGGACGCCGCGGCGGCGCTCGGCCCGGTCGTGCGTGGGCCAGCGTCAGCCGCTTCAGGCGCGCTCGCCCTCGAGAACGAGGCACTGCGGACCAAGCTTGCCCAGGCCCGCGCCGCCGCCGACGCCCGCGAGTACGAGGCTGCTAAGGAGCGCGAGGTCCGGGTCATGACCCACGGCCAGTACGCAGACCGCGACGTCGACATCCTCCGCATCAAGAACGCCAATCTCCTCCGCGACCTCAAGACTCTCGCCCACGAGAACCTCCGTACCAAGCGCCGCTACAAGCTCGCCAAGCGGACACTCGAAGAGACCGAGCGCGCCTTGATCGACGCCCAGGGCGACGACGTCACTCTCGCAGGCACCAACGCGTTTGGCGCACAAGGCTCGCAGCACTCGCTCGCCTCGACCGCCTTTGCCTCCCGTCGCCCGGCAGGCATTCCGGGCGTCGTCCCGGCCGTTGGCCCGGCCGCCGCGCCCTACACTCTTCCGGCTTCGCTCCCGCCGCAGGCTGCGCCCTACGGCCGTGGTCCCATTCATGGCCTCGCCGGTGGCCCCGCCCGTGGCCCGCGCACCAACATCCCCGGCGTTGTCCGCAAGTAGTTGCATCGCGCATGCAAGCGATCTTGAGTGAAAGACATGATCTGTGCAGCGAGGTGGATGGATGAGAGTGGGGACGGAGGTAAGTGGGACTGTGGGGTGGCGCGAGGTCCGGGTCGGAGTAGCAGTCCGAGCTGGGCTCTGCCTCGGTTCGAGCCACCTGACTCTGCTCTAGCGTACGAGCGTCGGGAAGCGACCGATCTGGCCGCCACTTCACGCCGGCGACTACACAGACTTATTTCTATCTCTCTAGCACTGTGAGCGCAACCATGATGGACACGTACCTGCTGGGGTGGTCGTTGTGGATTCTTGCCTCGTTCTGCTGCGTGGTGGCTGCACCCGTCCTCGCTGCCGTCGCAGACAACCGACGCCAGCGCTCTGGCCGCGCACTCTGACAACCTTCACCTTGCATACTCTAGCGGTGGTGGCGGTGGTGGCTGTGGGGCCAGACATGTCGCCCTGCTGGCGACGCGGGGGCCCGGCGGCGAGGCGGGGCCAATGATTTGGGTCAGGTTGGGCCCAACCGCGCGCAGCGATTGGTGCTGCGGGCGAGGTAGATGTGTAAAGCGGCGCTGTGACAGGTGTGCTTTATGTGAGAGCGGCGGCGATGGTGTCGAGTGAAGCGACAAACTTGGGCAGCGAGTCGAGGTTGAGGAGGCGGAGATGGTTGAGGGCAGCGGCGGCGGCGGAGCCGATGGCCGGCGCGCAGTCGTCGAGCGGCTCGTCCATGGCGGCAGCGGCAGCAGCGTCATCGACAGCAGCGTACAGCGCCTTGCTCAGGTCTAGCAAGTCGTCCATCCACACGACCTGCCAGCCGCGGCCGTTGATGACGGCGTCCCACTCGGTCGGGCGGAGGGTGTCGAGCGACTCGGCATCGCGTGAGGCGAGGTACTTGACCGCCGACGCCGACGCCATCAGAAGCTGGTGCGCCGACGCGGCCGTGGCCGCCAGCGCTAAGAGCGCCGCAGCATGCGGATCGTCACTGGCCGCGCTCGACCCGGCGCCGTCGGGTCCGACGCCGGCGTCCTCGTTGAGCTCGTTGATGGCGTCGGTGAGGACAGCGGCCCAGCCGCGGATCCGACCAATCACCGCCTTACCCGAGTCAACGGGTGTGGTAGCCAGCGCCTCGCAGGCACTTGTCAGCATGCCGACCTTGGTTGCCGGCACCGAGTCTGGATCGTTGGCCAGGGCGGTGAGGACCGCCACCGCCGCGCTGAGCACAGCATCCACGCGGGCAGCCACGCCGAGAGCCACCTCTCGACAGGCATGTGCGTCGGTGGTGGGAATCAGCGCGGCGATCTTTGACAGAGCCTCGCCGATGTGCCCCCGCAGTGAGGCCACCGCTTGGGCTTCCGAGTCGGCTGTGAGGCCGAGCACAACTGCCATCTCCTCGATCACCCCCGATGTAAGTCCACAACCAGTGATCTTCCTCTCCTCTCACTCGCACACTCCCACTACCTCACGTACACTCGATAAACTGCTTGCGAGCAGTGAGCGCAAGCGGCGAGACGTTTGCCAGCAACTCGCCAGCCTCTTCGACCGAGAGCGCTGGAGCCGAAGCGACGCTCGAGTCACCACCGGAAGCATAGGCAGCTGCAGCGACCCGTGTCCGCACCACATCAGCAAGCACCTCCCGAGCAAGTACACGGCGTTCGTCGTCCACAGCTGTCCCGCTCATGACTCTGTCTATGTGTGTGCGTATGTGGTGTGTGTGTGGGGGGGGGTGTTGAGTGAGGTGTGGCCAGTCGAGTTGGCTGAGATGGGGGACGGGAAGGGAGAGAGGGGGGGACATTCGCTCGCTGTGGGCTTCCCTGCCGCCTTGCGGGGAAGTACGGCCTGTATCGCCCGTCTTGACACGATGATGGGGGTGGTTTGTGGCTAAGTATGATCGATGGTTGTAGTTGGAGTGATGGTGGGAGGAGGAGGAGGAGGCGGTGTCAGTCGTGGGTGCTGCTGATGCCGATGTCGATGGCCGTGCCAACGCCACTCCACTCGCTGGGAGACAAGGCGGAGGGGAGCGAAAGGAGCGAGGCGAGGCATGCGTGTGCTGGGACTTGGGACGGACATTGTGAGCGTGGCGAGAGTGGCGGCGACGGTGGGGCGGACAGGCGGACGGTTTGTGCAGCGAGTGCTGACGAGCAACGAGCTGCAGGAGTACTCGGCGAGGCTGTCCGAGGTTGGCGAACACGGCGCGCATCAGTACCTCGCTGCCCAGTGGGCGGCCAAGGAGGCGGTCTACAAGGCACTGGGCGGCGAGTCGGTGGTGGTGTGGAGGGATGTCGAGGTCCTGCGGGCGCCATCGGGCGCGCCTACTGTCACCATCCCCGACGACGTTGTTACCGATCGCGGCATCGACTCTGTCCTCATCTCGCTCTCGCACGAGGAGAGCCACGCCGTGGCCACAGCCATTGTCCAGGGCCGCCGCACTGCGTGACAGCGTGCCATCGGGCGTCGCTGAGGTGGCTAGGCGGAGCAAGACTGGGCTTGTTCAGCTGAGATTGCACTGCTCCTCGGCCTCGGCTGATATTGGGCGCGTCTCGCCACCGACGTGACGAACGGGCTGGGTCCGACTCAGCTTTGTCCGACTCGTCCGGCCCGGCCCGGCCCGGCTCGTCCGGCCCGGCCCGGCTCGTCCGGCCCGGCCCGGCTCGTCCGGCACGGGCTCGGCTATTCCGGCCCGGCTCGTCCGGCCCGGCCGGGCTCGTCCGGCACGGGCTCTGCTATTATCGGGCTTTGTCCGACTCGTCCGGCCCGGCTCGACTCGTCCGGCCCGGCCTGGCCCGGGCCGACTCGTCCGGCACGGGCTCGGCTATTATCTGCCGCGTCTTGCCACCGACGTGGCGATCGGGCTGTGCTTGGCTGGGCCCGATTCAGCTGGGCTCAACTCGTCCGAACTCGGCCGGTCGAACTCGGCTCATCTCACTCGTCTCTGGCCGTCTGTTCAACGTATCCATGACGACCCTCGACGACTACCGCGTGCTCGATGCCAACCTCGGCAAGGGCTCCTTTGGCCAGGTGGCCCGCATTGAACGCAAGCGTGACGGCAAGGTACGTATACAATTTCCCCATCCCCATGCCCGTCGCTCTCCTTGTTGCCTCTCCCTATGGCCATGCCCTCCTTGGCTAGTGCGTTGCCGGAGCCTCGCCTGCGCGCGCGCAACATGAGCGAGCCAGGCACCGCCCGGGTGCAAGACAGCAGGCTCCCTCCCGACCACCAACCATACCACCAGCTACACCACTACCATGAACATCACTCTAGCTTGTCGCGATTTGTGTGGTATGTGGCGGTGTCGCGGTAGGCGGGCTGGTGAGGCGGGCGAGCGGGTGGGGTCGGGTTTAAGCGCCAACAAAATCTGCAAAATTTCAAACGGAATTTGCTTCGGGCACGGCAGCAGAGATAGTGGCCCATGACGTGGGAGAACTCACTCACGAGAGCGCGTGGGCTGGGCGGTGTACAATGGACAGACGCTTGTGTGGAAGGAGATGGAATACGGGAAGATGTCCGAGAAGGAGAAGAAGCAGCTCGTGTCCGAGGTCAACATTCTGCGCGACCTCCGGCACCCGAACATTGTGCGGTATGTGGACCGGATCATTGACAAGGACTCGTACAAGATCTACGTGATCATGGAGTTCTGCGAAGGCGGCGACCTGGCGCAGTTTATTGCCAAGTGCCGGCAGCAGCGGCGGTACATCGAGGAGGATCTCATCTGGCGGGTGCTGACGCAGCTCCTGCTCGCGCTCCACGACTGCCACTCGCGGCAGATCCTGCACCGCGACATCAAGCCGGGCAACATTCTCCTCGACGCCAACAAGAACGTCAAGCTCGGCGACTTTGGGCTGGCGCGTGTCCTCGGTTCAAAGTCGCTCTTTGCGCACACGTACGTCGGCACGCCGTTCTACATGTCGCCGGAGCAGGTCCGTGGTGTGGCGTACAACTCCAAGTCGGACGTGTGGTCGCTCGGGTGCCTCATCTACGAGATGGCGGCGCTCTCGCCGCCGTTTGTGGCCTCGACCCACACCAAGCTCATCGAGAAGATCAAGGAGGGCCGCTACCGCCGGCTGCCGTCGGTCTACTCGGAGGACCTGACCAAGGTTATTAAGGCCATGCTCGAGATGTCGACGACCCGCCGGGCCTCGGTCCGTTCGCTTATGGACTTTCCGCCCATCGCCCTTCGCCTCCGCGAGCGCAAGGTCTCGCAGCACTACGCAGCGGTGAAGAAGCGTGAGGAGGAGGCCGAGAGCCGCGCTGACGAGCTCACCGCGCTCAAACGCTCGCTCAAGGCGCGCGAGGCCAAGCTCGCCGAGCGCGAGCGTGTCGTCTCCTCGGTCTTTGCCACCCTCAAGGCCAAGCTCGAGGCCCTCGGCGAGCCCGTCCCGGCCCTCGAGTCGCTCTTCGCCGAGGCCCGTGCAGGCGCCTCCCGCGAGGCCACTCCCGAGCTCGAGGACGCGTTTACCATCTCGCATACCTCGCCGCCGACTTCGGCCGACCTCGCCACCGCCGCGCCCTCGTCGTCGTACCTGACCTCCGACGCTTCGCAGCTGCGCTACGGCGCCAAGCTCCGCTCGCGCGCCGTGCCCTCGACCACCGCTACCTATGGCATCCGCTCGTAGTACCTTTCCTCCACTCTATCTCTCTGCTAGAGCCAATAACATCTAGCGTGTACCCTCTTCACCTCTTGCCGCCAGCATGCTCGTCCCACGAGGCGATCTTGGCCAGCCAGTGGGCAGCGAAGTTGTCGTCGTCACATTCGGCGTCGCTGTCGGCGTCGCTGTCAGCGAAGCTGTCGTCGTCGCATTCGGCGAGCCACAGCTGATCTGCACCTTCCGCAAAGTCATCGCCACTGCTAGCATCATCACCAGCACCATCGTCATCACCAGCACACACACTGTCTCTCCTCCCAACCACCCGCCTGTGCCACGGGTGTAGCCGCGGGCCAGCACTCCGTCGTGCCTCACGGTCGAGTGCCCACAGCCGCCCGAGCCATCCGCCGAGCCGTAGCACCAGCACCACACCAAGCGCCACATAAACCGCATCCAGCACAGGGTCCATCCATGTTTCCAGCAGTATGTCCATCGTCTGCCAGCAGCTCAGTGCCACCTAGCGTCGAGTGGCCGCGTCTTGGCCAACCCTGGCGAACACGGTCGCGATCGCGATCGCGAACCCGGTCTCGATCGCGGCCTCGATTTCGAGGCTCTTCCCCCCCCCCCCCCCCCTCCTCCCCTCCTCCCACTTCCTCCCTTCCTCCTCCTCCCCCCTCCCCCCCCTCTCCACCACCCTCCACCATCCAACAACGTCCCGCTTTCTCTCTCTCTCTCTCTCTCTCTCTCCCATCCTCACTTATCCACCCTCTCCGTCGTCCAACACCTGTACGATCAGGACACTCTGCCACGCCCCCTGCTCGCACGACCTTTTTCGGTGCCATTCGCCAGAACACAGCGACAGCGACAGCGACGGCGAGTAGTGACGACGACGGCGACGGGCACACCTCACGCACGACGACAGATACAGGATGTCGGACGACTGGGATGACATTCTCAACGACTTTGCAGAGACGACGGACATGAGCTCGGTGACAGCTGCGTTGGAGGAAGGCGGCAAGACGGTGGCGGCCGAGGCCGAGGCTCTTGCTGCTGCCCAGGCACGCATTGCCGCCGCCACCGAGGAGGCCAAGAAGGCCCGCCCGCCTCCGCCATCCGGCCCGCCGCCATCCGGCCCGCGCCAGCCACCGCCTCCGGCCCATCGTCCGCCGGACGGCGGTGACGGTGGTGATACTGACGCGGTGGCTGCTGACGATGCCGACGCTGTCCGCGCCAAGCGGCTGGCCGAGGCCAAGGCTCGCCTCGCCAAGCAGGACGCCGAGCGGCGAAAGGCAGCACAGGCGGCGGTTGCTGAAAAGATCAAGGCCGAGGAGGCGGCCAAGCCCAAGCTCAATCTCGCAAGCAAGGGAGCGGTCAAGCAGAGCAAGATGCCCAAGGCCGAGTCACCAGCGGAGGCGGCTGATACGTCGGGAGATCCTGCTGCGCCTGAGCCTGCGCCGCTGCCGAGGGCGAGCCTGACCGGCGGGCCAGCTGGTGGCGACGCGTCGTTTGCGACGTCGACGGCCAATCCCGCGCCCAAGCTCACTCCTGCGCCGCTGGGGCTGGACGCGGCGGTGACGCCCGGGGGCTCGTCGGTGGCGCTCGATGGGGGCGACGGAGCGAGCAGCTCCACCGATCCGGAGCTGGCAGGCGTTGATCCGGCGCAGTACGCGCACGTGGTCGAGCTGAGCAGCGCATGGGACGCGCACACCGCCGGCGGCTCGTTCAACTACCCACAGACGGTGGGCAACAACCCGCAGTTCTTCCTGACGGTGCCCGAGGAGAGCGGCGGCGTCGAGGTGGTGTTGGTCTTGACGCAGCTCGAGCGGCCGACGCCGCAGCAGAACCACTCGATGCAGATCCTAGTGACGCAGTCGGGCGGAAAGCGGATCTCGGGTGGCGTGTACCAGAACGAGGTGGTGGCCAACTCGGGCGGATACGTCAACACGACGTCGGTCAAGCTCGCGGTGCGGCTTGAGGGTGCGGCGACGCCGTACACGGTCCTTGTCTCGACGTTTATGCCCGGCAATGAGGCACCGCTCAAGGTGACTCTGTGCACCGACGAGAGCGAAGTGAGCCTCGAGCCGGCGGCAACGGTGGCCGAGGCCGGCAAGTACGTCCACAAGCGGTCGCTCGACTCGGCGTGGCATGCCGACAACTCGGGCGGCTGCATGAACTATCCGACGATGAAGGACAACCCGCAGTTCTTCATCACGACGCCCAAGCCCGGCCCGCCGTCGGCGCCCAAGCCGCCGGTGGCGGTCCACATCTCACTCACGCAGAACCTGCCTCCGGGCTCGGCCCTGCATCCGATCGGGTTTGTGGTGGCGTACCGCAACGGCTCGCGCATCACGTCGGCCCTCCGCAAGAGCGAGCACATTGGCTCGTCGGGCCAATTTGTCAACCTTGCGACGGTTGATGCGAGCTTTGAGCTCGAGTGCCGACCGCGGCCGTACACGCTCGTGGTCTCGACGTTTGAACCCGGGTGCGAGGCGCCGTTCACGGTCAGTGTCGAGTCTGCCACGCCGCTCAAGGTGGTGCAGGCGGCGCCAGCGTCTGCGCCGCGGGTGGAGATCCACAACACCAACACCGAAGCCAAGATTGTGGAGCACCACTCGGGCAAGTCGTTCCTCAAGCGGACGCTGCACCACCCGCCGAGCGAGCCGTCACCCGAGTTCCTCTCGGCCGAAGTGTCGTCGGCCGGGCGGGTGTACGTCGACCCGACGTTTGGCGAGCCGAGCTGGCGGCGGTTGGTCGAGCAGGAGGTCGACTCGCTGCCGGACGGACGGCTCCCGGCGTGCTGTCTCTTTGATTCGATCGATCCGGACGACATTGTGCAGGGCGCGCTCGGAGACTGTTGGCTGCTCTCGGCCATTTCTGCCATTGCCGGCCGCGACGAAGCCGTGCTTGACCTCTTTGTCAAGGACGAGACCTCGGACGCCGGGGTCTACGGCGTGTGGTTCTGGTCGGCGGCGGGCGGGTGGACTGAGGTTGTGGTCGACGACCGGGTCCCGTTCCTCGGCGAGCGACCGCTGTATGCGTGCTCGGATGAGAAGCACGAGATGTGGCCGTCGATTGTGGAGAAGGCGTACGCCAAGTTCCAGGGCTCGTACGCAGCGCTCGACGGTGGGCTGTGCAACGACGCGTTTGTCAACCTCACCGGCGGCGTCGGCGAGTTTATCCAGTTCAAGAACGAGGTTGGCGCCGCCGAGGCCCTATGGGAGAAGCTCGTGCTGTACCACTCGGAGCGGTTTCTCCTTGCGTCAGGTTCGCACGGCAGCGACGATGCTGAGGAGAACGAGGACGGCATTGTCGACGGCCACGCGTACACGATCCTCGACGTGCGTGAGATCGATGGGTACCGCCTGCTCAACATCCGCAATCCACACGGGACGAATGAGTGGAGCGGCGACTGGTCTGACCACGACACGCGACACTGGACGGCTGCGCGCCGCGAGGCGCTTGGGCACACCGCCGAGGACGACGGCGAGTTTTGGATTTCGATCAACGACTTTATGGCCAACTACCGGGTCATGTACGTGTGCAAAGTGTTCCCGTCGGACGAGTGGACGGAGACGTCTGCGTCGGGCGTGTTTACTGGCGCCGAGCGCGGGCCGGCCGACTGCCCGCAGTACCTGCTGACGAACCCTAGCTCTGAGCCGATGCACGTGGTTATTTCTGTGCGGCAGGCCGAGGTCCGCCCGCGCAACGCCTCGCCGCTGTACATTGGGTTCGAGGTGGTTGATCATGGCGGGCGTCCTCTGCCGCACCTCTCGGCGACGTTGAACTTTGTGGTGCCGCCCTCGCAGTTTGTCAACTTTCTGGAGGTCTCGTGGGAGGGCGAGCTCCCGCCGTCGGAGACGCCTTACACGCTCATTGTGCGGACGTACCAGTACACCGGCGCCAACCGGTTCCTCCTCCGCGTATTCTCCAAGGTGGCCGGCGGCGCGGATGCCGGCGGGGAGGGCATCCAGCTCAAGGACATCACCGGCGATGCGCACACGGCGTCATGGGTCGCAGCTTCGGCGTCGGGTGCTGCCAGCACAGGCGGCGCGCCGAGCAGCGGGCCCAAGCCGTGGATCCCGCTCGCGGCAGCGGTCAAGTCCGAAGTCGCCGGTCTCCGGCAGTATGAGGGCGGGACGGCCGAGGCGATTCCGCTGGCGCTCCGAATCGGGCAAGCGATCAAGGCGTTTTCAGCGGCGCTGCCGACGTCGGAGACGACGCGGCCCGAGTACGCAGACGGCCCGCCGGCGGTGGCCATCTTTTCACAGCTTGTCACCTTTTGCAAGGTAGCCTCCAGCCATCCGGACCCGGACGTGCTCGCGGTGTGCGACTCGCTCGAGGCGCTGCTGGACAAGATCTGCCGACGGGCTCGGGGTTGAGGTCGCGGAGCGCCCATGACGGTGCGGTGGGACGGGCGCATTGTCGCGCGCATCCAAGTGAACAACACAGTGCTATGGCTTGGGAGGTTTAGCTTGTCGGCTGCTGCGAGGTCTCGCCGTCGTACTGGTACTGGTACTCGTAGGTGGAGTGGTACTCGTACTCGACCGAGGCCGAGGTCTGGCGTGCGGGCGAGGAGAGGCCAACGTCTTCCTCGCGGTCGGCCGGGGTCGAGTCGCCGCCGGCAGGCATGGCAATGGAGGAGCCTGCACCGGAGTGACCGTAGGTGGCAAGGACCTTGCGGCGAGTGCGCTTGCCTTTGTGGCCTGTGCGGCGCGGGTGGTGTGCGGGCGCGGGCGAGAACGACGAGGCCGACGAGAGGCGAGCCGGGGCGGCGTCGGGCGACGAAGAGGACGAGGCGCGGGGCGGGTGGAGGTGCGGGTTGTGAAGGACACGCTCGGCCGAGGCGGAGGACGGGCGGTGGGGGGCGGTGCCTGCGGCCGGGTCCGGGCGGTGGTGGTGGCGGGCATCGCAGCTGTTGTTGCCGTCTTGGTCGTCGTCGTCAGCGTTGGTAGCCGAGGCCGAGTCGGACGACGAGAGAGCAAATCGCTGTGGGTCCGAGAGCGGGAGCGGGTTGTGGGGCGAGACGGTGGCGTCGGGCGGCGGCGGGCAGAGGGCCGGGTCGTCGGGCGGGGGGGCGGTGGCGGTGTCGATGGAGCGGAGCATGGCGTCGTCTTCGGGCGAGCGGACGGCGTCAAAGTACGGATGGAGGAGCGCATCGCGAGCAGTGATGCGGAGCTCCGGGTCGTAGACAAAGATACGGTTGAGGAGGTCGATGGCTGCGTCCGAGACGGCGGGGCGGCCGCCGCGCGGGGCAAGCGCGGCGAGGTCGAGGCGCGAGCGCGAGCAGCCTGCGCGCTGGAAGAGGCGCAGCGGAAAGATATGGGTGTAGGACATGTACTTGGAGTACTTTTTGAGGAAGCGGACATAGTCGTCGACGCCGAGAATGGAGACGATGGAGACCATCTGGTTCTTGTTCCACTCGATCTTGTCGTCGTCCTTGGGGCAGGGAAAGAACGGGTAGCGGTTGAAGAGCAGAGCGCCCATGATGCAGCCAAAGGACCAGACGTCGGTAGCGTAGTCGTAGTACTTGTAGTGGAGGAAGAGCTCGGGCGACTTTGTGTAGCGGGTGCCCGGCCAGCGGGCGAGCTTAACGCCGGCCCAGTAAAAGGCGGCAAAGCCCCAGTCGATGAGCTTGAGCTCGCGGGTCTTGGGATTGTACAGGGTGTTGGTCGGCTTGACGTCGAGGTGCATGATGCCGAGGGCGTGGGTAAAGTGCAGGGCGCGGAGGAGGGCGTAGAGGTACCACACGCTCTCATCCGGTTTCATGCGGGCGTACAGCTTGGCACACGGCAGCGGCTGCTTGATGTACTCAAAGACAATCATGGCGAGGTCGCGCTTCTTGTCGCGGACAAGGTCGAGGAAGCGGATGATGTTCGGCCCGTCGCTGACCAGCTTGAGGTTCATGATCTCCATCTTGAGGCGCTTGGTGTTGGCCTTTTCCGGCTTCATGGTCTTGACCACCACCTTTTCGCCCGACGGCATGTGAGTAGCCATGTACACGGCGCCATACGAGCCCTCGCCGACCTTCTTGGACCAGTGGACCTTGTACGCCGACCGCTTCCCCCACCGAATGTTGTACGTCCGCGACTTGAATCGCTCCTCGGGATACCGCGCATTGACATAAGTGTAGATCGAGGCCTTGTACTGCGGCGGGATCTACGCAGAGAGCGAGAGGGTGACGGAGAGCAAGAGCGAGAGTGAGTCTGTTGCGCCCAGGCCCCACCCTGGTGGGTAGGGTGTGGTGTGTGTGTGGGGAGGGGGGGGAGGGGGGGCATGTATATGTATGCATGTATGCATGCGTGTGTGTGTGTGTATCTGTGTGTATGGTGTGCGGGTGTCCCCCCCCCCCCTCCCTTCCTCTCTCTCCCCCCTCCCTCCCCTTTGTTCGTGTCTCCCCTACCCCCCTTTGTTCGTACCGTCGGCGGGTCATCCTCGCCCTCCTCCCATGACGAGTCGTACGAGGACGAGCCCAGCCATTTTGACGAAGGAGGCTTGGCACCCAAACAGCACCATAACGAAGAGAACATTCCCCTTGTGCTCTCCTTCCCACGCCTGCCGTAGTGGAGAGGTGCTCTCACCCTCACCCTCACCTGCTGCTGCTGCGTGTTGTCGCTGCCACTGCTGGCTGGCTGGCCACGGCCGGGCTCGAAGCTGCTTATCAACCACTCGTCGGCCAAGCCCACCACCCTGCTCATCATCGCGTGTGCTGGGGACGATTTCAGATGCGATCGGATAGTTTTGTGGCAGGTGTGGTGGTGGTTGTGGCCGCGGTGGGATTGGATGGAGGCTGTGTGTGTGTGTGTGTATGTGTGTGTATGTGTGTGTGTGGGTGTGTGGGTGTGTGTGAGCGCATGGCGGGGTGTGGCAGCGTTTCTGTCGAGCGAATGTTCGAAGCTCCCATTGATTCTCGGATTGATGGACAAGAAGTCGATCACGGACGTCAGCCCCACCCCCGCCCCCCCTCCCCCGGACCGGTCACCGCACTCCTCTCTCTCTCTCTCTGCTGCTACTCACACACCATGGCGGCCAAGGAGCAGATTGTGGTGATGGGCATGGAGGGCTCTGCCAATAAGATCGGTGTGGGCCTTGTGACAGCCGACGGAGTCATTCTCTCCAATGTCCGCAAGACCTACGTGACACCCGCCGGCGAGGGCTTCCTCCCGCGACACACGGCTGCGCATCATCGGTCGGTGGTGGTGGGCCTGGTGGAGGATGCGCTCGCCGAGGCCGGGCTGACGCCTGACAGGGTTACGGCCATTGCCTTTACCAAGGGTCCGGGCATGGGCGCGCCGCTGACGGCTGTGGCTGTGGTGGCGAGGGTCCTTTCGCAGCTGTGGGGCAAGCCGCTGGTGGGGGTCAACCACTGCGTGGGCCACATTGAGATGGGCCGGCTCATCACCAAGGCAGCGAACCCGACGGTGTTGTATGTCTCTGGTGGAAACACCCAGATTATCGCCTACTCGATGAGCCGCTACCGCATCTTTGGCGAGACCATCGACATTGCGGTCGGCAACTGCCTCGATCGCTTCGCCCGTATCGTCGGCTTGCCGAACGACCCGTCGCCGGGCTACAACATCGAGCTGGCTGCTCGCGACGGCTCGACCTTTATCGAGCTGCCATACGTGGTCAAGGGTATGGACGTCTCGTTCTCCGGCCTGCTCTCCTACCTCAAGGCCGCCACTCCCCAGCTGCTGGAGAGCGGCAAGGCGACCGTGGCCGACCTCTGCTTCTCGCTGCAGGAGACCGTCTTTGCCATGCTCATCGAGGTTACCGAGCGTGCCATGGCCCACACCGGATCGGACGAGGTGCTCATTGTGGGCGGCGTCGGCTGCAACAAGCGACTGCAGGACATGATGGGCGTTATGGTGGCCGAGCGGGGCGGCACCCTCTATGCCACCGACATGCGCTACTGCATCGACAACGGCGCCATGATTGCCCAGGCCGGCCTGCTCATGTACCAGCACGGCCTCACCACTTCGCTCGACGAGTCGACGGTCACGCAGAGGTTCCGCACCGACGCCGTCGACGTGGTGTGGCGGAGTGACTGACGAGATGAGTCTGCTTCATTCGCTGCGGTGGGAGAGCGCCGGCCCAACCAGCCGCGCAAAGTCGTCAAAGGCGACCACGCCCTGGCGCGCCTCGTCCATCTCGCGGAAGAGTGCCCGCGCCACGGCTGGCGCAATCCGGAGGCCGAGCCGACTCAGCCCGGCCTCGAACGCTCCCAGAGTCAGCGAGCCGGCGGCGTCAGCGTCGAGCGCGGTAAAGGCGTCGAGGAGGTACCAGTTGCGGGCGTGAATGGCCCAGGCCAGCCGCGCGAGCGCAGCCGCCACATGCAGGACACTGACCTCGGTCACAATCCCGAGGACCGTCTCTAGCGAAGGCGGTGAAGCGGTCTGCCGGCGGCGGCGGACTGCGCGCGTGGCTGCGAAAAAGTCGCGCCGGGCTCCGACCTCGCTCCGCTGCAATGCGCGGAGCGCCGAGTTGCGGGCGAGGAGGCCAAACTCGACGTCACCGTCAAAGAACCGCAGCGCGCCCGACGCAAGGTCTGCCTGTGACGGCGGCGGTGGCGCGTAGCCTGCGGTGGCGTCGAGAACAAGCTCGCTCTCGGCGCCGATCCGGAGCGCAAAGTACCCGCCGCCGCCCATGGCCGCGGTTCCGGCTGTCCGCGCCGAGTGAACCAGCGCCCGCAGCGCCGCGGCCTCGTCGAGAGTCACAAGCACAAAGTACCGCCCACCTTGCTCGCGGTAGTACGCATGCGCCGCTAGCACTTGTGCAACCTCAGCCTCGCTCCTCCCCACGCTCGCCTTGATCCACTCGAGCATGCCGGCAGAAGCCTCGGCCTCTACGTGGACGTCGAGTGCGTCGAGGAGCGCGTTGACGCCGGCTGGGCCGAGCTCGCGCCGCCGCGGCTCGCCGTCCATCTCAACAAGGAGGCCGAATGCGTTCTCAAACTCGGCGCGGACCTCGGTCCCGCGCTCCAGGTGAGGAACTCGGCGGACCCCGCCCGACGCGCTCGATGTGCCAGACCCGTCGAGCTCGCTCGCCCGCGGGACTACCTCGAGCACCACGATCTTGTTCTTGAGCCGCCGCGCCGAGCCGGTCCAGCTCGGCTTGTAAAAGTTCCGCGAATGCAACAGGTAGCCCGGAAAGGCAAGTTGCGGACAGCGGGCGTCGAGGCGGAACGTCTCCAGTGGAATGAACGGGTGCGAGGCCGACGAGTTGGGCGGCTGCGAGAGCGACGCGCGCGGCCACGGCGCCGGGCCCTCGTCTGCACGCGAGTACCGGAGCGATGCAAACCGTGCCGTCTCCTGCTCGCGCTCCTTCTCGACCTGCATCTCCTGCTCTTGCTCTTGCTCTTGCTCTTGCTCTTGCTCTTGCTCCTGCTCCTGCTCTTGCTCCTGCACCGCGTCGAGCATCCGTAAGTCCGGCCCGCCGCTGGGCGAGCCGTCGCTGCTCACGGCGCGCGACCGGATGAGTGCACCGAGCGTCTCGCGCTCGTCAGCCGAGGTGAGGAGCGGGCCAAAGCGAGAGGCGAGTGACTTGACAAAGGCGACAAAGCCGGTCTCGCCTGGCGGGGCGCCACCCGGTGCGGCGCTCAGATCGTGGCTCACGCTCTCGCGGAAGACCTCGATAGCCAGCCGAGTCTCTTCCTCGGACGCGCCTGGGGTGGCAAGCACTTTTGCCGCGGCCTTGCGGTAGACGTTGGCGATGCACTGCTCAGCGAGAAGCGCAGCCTGCAGGCCCTGCGAGGCAATCGAGTTGGCGAGGAGCCATGCGACGATGCAGGCAAGGTCTAGCCGCGGCTGGATGGCGACGATGCGGGCCTCGAGCTGCGGGACAACCAGGACGTGGAGCCGCTGGCCTGCGCCGATGCCGCGCATGCGGAAGGCAGCCTGTGCGTAGTCGCGGAACGTCATATCCTTACCAAGCGTGAGGAGCGCGACGGCGGTCGGAGCCTGGGCAATGTCCATGCCTGTGGTGTGGACCTGGTCGTAAAAGGTGAACAGCCGCCGTGGCTCGACGCCGCAGTGGGCGAGGTCGACAACGGTGTACTTGGCGCCTCCAGAGACGGGCTCGTCCGGAGCCGGCCCACGCGCGACGGCGTCCTCGTCGACCGAGTGGACACGGAGCACCACTTTCTTGGCGTCGGCCTCGTCGAGGAAGACCACGCCAGCGCAGTGGGCGAGGCCAGCGTCGAGGAGGTAGACCGCCACCTCGAGGTTGGACATGCCGGTGATGAGGGCGCCGGCGTCGATGAGCGCGTTGTACCGCGACTGCGCTGCGAGGCTGTCAAGGAGCGAGGCAGGCGTCCAGTCTGTCGGAGCGGCGACGAGCGACATGACGTTTCCCGACGTGAGGAGGTTGATCATCTTGCCGTCGTCACCAGCTTCGTAGCGACACGAGCCGAACTCGCGCGGGAGCAGGTCCGATGGCGTGCCCGAGAACCCGAGGCGCGTGCCAAACAGCATCTCGCCGCCGAGCTCCTGGCCTGACGCCGAGAGCTTGAGCGGCTGGAAGGTCATGGTTCGTGGGAAAACAAAGGTGTCGAGGTAGTAAGCGATGGCGGCCGGTGACTTGGCCAAGAGTGCGTACATGGTCTCCATTTGCCCTGCATCGCGCGGGTTGAGCAGATGCAGCGGCCAGAGCTCGTCGTCCCACTCGGCAAGCTCTGCGGCGGCAGCACCGGCTACAGCAGCATCAGCAAAGGCGGCAGCAGATGCGGCGTCCGAGCTGGAGGCACCTGTAGGCGACGCCAGCCGCGCAAATCGGTCGGCATCTGACACACCGGCACGGAGCGAGCCAGCGAGTTTGCGAAGGTGGGCATAGCCGCGGACAGTCTTGCCGGCGGCGGCCACCCACTTGGCGTACATGATGGACGTGCGGCGGGTGAGGTAGGGGCCCGACTCGGCAGCCATCGACTCGCGGAGGACCGAGATGAGGGTGGCAAAGTCTGAGGAGCGGAGGCCTTCGTAGGTGTAGGCGAGGATGGTGAGGCCGATGGCGACTTCGGCGTGGGAGAACTCGTTGGTGCGAGAGGCCACGTCCTTGCCCACAAACGGCACCGCGAGGTACTTGCGCGTCTTGGGCATGGCGGCGAGGTAGGCGGCCGGAGCAGCGGCCTCTGCCGACGCCACCAACCGGCGCAGGTCGTGCGAGCGGAGGAGGCCGAACGAGACCCGATCAACCTTGCTCAGAATGTGCGGCAAGAAGTAATTGAGCCAGTCATGTGCCAGGTTGAGGACCTTGATGGCGTCCGGCTCACACGCTGTGGCAAGCGCAGCAACGACCCGGTTGGTGTCAACAGCACAGTCGTCGCGGAACAAGAGGTAGTGGGTCAGCTCGCTCGCTGAGAGCGGCGCGCCCGAGCCGCAGAGTCCGCAGCCGTCTGCGAGCCAGACCCCGGCCCACTCGACGAGAATCGGCTTGAGGCTGGCGTGGTAGTAGGACTTGGCGAGCAGGACCACATGCGGGTTCGTCTGCAGCGCCATCTGCGACTCGCCGGAGAGCAGCGCGGCGGTGAGGTTGTGCAGGATGTCGACAGCACGGCGCGAGTCGCGATAGCGCGGCGGTACGTCGAGGGCTGCCGCGGCAGCCACGCCCTCCAGCAGGTGCATCGGCAGCGCCCAGCGGGTACCGTCGTGAGCAAACTCGACCGGCTCTTGCTTGCCCATTGGCCAGTTGAGCTCTGACCTGAGCGGGTGCAAGATGAGATCAACTTCGTCAAGCATGAGCACGCTCTCGCGGAAGATGGCGTTGACAGCCCGGGCGGTAGCGTGCTGCTCACGGAGCGCGACCGAGATGCCTGCCAGCGACGCAGGCGTCCCATCCCACTCGCGGGCAAACGACGAGAGCAGAGCGCAGCCGGCGTCGAGAAACTCGGCCTCGGAGCCGATGACCAGTCGGCCGCGAGCGGCATCACCCGGACTCGCAGCGAGGGCATGCGTCGGCTGCGACTGGCTCGACGGCTCGCGGGTGGCAAAGAAGAACGAGTGGACAGCGCGGCGTGCCGAGCGTAGCTTTGACGTGTCGGCAAGGACGCCGCGGGCCATGGCGGCTTCGACTGCCGGGGAAAAGTCGGCCAGGGCCGCGAGGACGTGTGATACCTCAACAAGCTTGAGCTGGTACGACTTGATGGCGGTCGGGGTGGTGATGAGGACGGCGCCGCGGGCGCGCGCCAGGGTGAGCGCCTCGAGCAGCTGCGGCGCAATGATCCGCGAGCGGTCAAACGCAAAGGTGTAGACCGGTTTGGTGACGACGGCGGCAAAGGCGGAGCGGAGGACCGATCGTGAGAACTCGAGGAGCGGCGCCGGCACAACTTGGACAACAAGCTGTGACGGAGAGGAGAGGACCAGCGCAAGCAGCGGCGCAATGACCGTCGTCTTGCCGGCACCCATGATCATCTGGTGACAGAGCGACTGCGAGCACGACGCGGCGGCCACAAAGGTCCTCACAAGTCGGACTTGCGACGACCGGAGCAGAAGCTGGTTGAGGAACTCAAAGACAAGGAAGCGCGGGTCAAAGCAAAGCAGCGCCGACGAAGACTTGTGGCTCTCAAAGTACGTCCGCGGGGCGACGAGTTCGGCCGCGAGCTTAGAGCCTTTGAACACGAGCTCCTGGATGAGCGCCGAGTCGAGCGCGCGGTTTGGCCGGTTCGACGCGTCGAGCATGTGGACAACCGCCGAGCCAAGCTCTGCGATGAGGCCCGAGGTAGCGGCAAGCGCGCGACCGACGTGGGCGACGCGGGAGGCGTGGAGCGCAGCAACGACAGTAAGTGAGAGGACACGGCGGAGGAGCGCGCGCGAGCCTTGGCTCGCCAGCCACGGGTTGAGCCGCTGGAGCGAAGCAGGCGCCTTGGTCGACATCAGCAGCTCAACGAGAGCTGGGAGCCGCGGCGACGGCTCGGTGCGCCCGAGCCTGGCGAACACGGTCGCCATGCCAGCGGCGGAGTCGTGCGGCGCGTAGTTGGCGGCGTCGACGGCGGCAGCGGCCGAGGCGGCAGCAGCAGCAGATGCCGTGGCGTGCGCCGCAAGCAGCTGTGCCTTGAGTGAGTCGAGGGCGGCGATGATGTCGGCTACGCGGGCGGCCTGAATGCTCGGACTCGCGCTTTCGATGCCAGACGACGGCGCGAGCGGCTCGAGCGCGGCGAGGCGGAGCGAAGAGGCGTCGCGGGCAGCGTAGGCAGCAATGTCGCCATTGAGCCGAGCAAGGAGTGCAGCGCCAACAGGTGAGTCTGCGCCTGGGACCGAGGCCGGGTTGAACGGCATGCTGCTCAACCGCGGTTGGCCATCGGCGGTTGACAGAACCATGTCCTCGACCCGCAGCAGCGAGGCGAGCGGAACCTGGGCGAGGGCCTGGAGCTCGGGGCCCGAGATGGCCAGGTCGGACGTGTTTGAGGCCGAAACCGGGCCGACAGTCCCGTTGCGCGAGCCGTAGTTGTCAACGACGTGAGCAAGGAGGCCCAGGGCAGCGGCACGTTCGCGCGCGAGCTGCGGCAGCGGCGCGACCGCGACCGGGTGCGAGGCCGGCAGTGGCCAGAGTGCCCAGCTCGCGACCGAGAGCGGAAGGCGCGGAAGGTTGGGCAGCGGGTACCGGGCTTCGGCAAGTGCTGCCGCCAGCGGCGCCACAAAGGCGTCAAATAAGGCCGCGGCGTCCTGCGCGAGAGCGGCAGCAGCCTCGGCGGATGAGCCCTGGTCGCCCGATGAGAAGATCGAGATAACCGAGGTGAAGACCGACGAGTCGCGCTTGGCCTGTGCGGCGCGGACCTGGCGAGCGGCAGACTGGGCGAGGAGCGGCGGCTCGAGGGCTGGGAGTGCAGCAGTCTGAGCGGATGAGCGGGCGGCGGCAAGCTTGACGAGAACATGGTCAAAGAACGAGAGCGGCTCTGTCGGGTCGAGCGCAGCAGGACACGTCATGTGGACATAGAGCGCAGCAGAAAGGAGAGGATCGTCCGACTCGAGGAGCTGCAGCGAGAGCGAGCAGGTGAGAAGCTCGTAGCAAAGAAGGAAAGCTGCCGGCGGCGATGGGAGATCGGCGGCCAGGAGGCTAGCAGCTGCCGTGCCGGTGATGGTGCGGTCTGCCGACCCGAGCGGGATCGGGCGGGAGTAGGGCGCCGCAACGAGGGCGCGTGCGGTGTCGAGCGTCGGGTCTGCGCTCGGTGCTGCGGCAGAGTATGCAGCGCGCGCGCGCGCGGCGGCTGTGGCGCGAGCGGCGGCGAGCTCGGCATGCTGGACCGCGCGCTGGACATGCGGGTACATGCCCGGGTCGGCAAGGAGCGCCGCGTGCGAAGCATGCGGCGAGAGGGCATGCGCCAGGAGCGAGTAGCGGTTGGCCATGTGGAGCGAGCGGCTCGGTAGCGAGTCGATGCCGAGGCCGCGGGCGTTCAGCCATGCATGGTAGAGCGAGAGCTCGGCGGCCGGCGCCAGCGCGAGATCGGCCGGAACAGCGAGACGGAGCTCGGCGTACCGCTGAAGCTCGGTACCGAGATCCCACGGGAGGATCGGGAGCGAGGCGGCCATGGCCGGGCCCTGCAACGCCGCAAGCGAGGCGTTGAGGAAAACAGCCGAGAGTGCGAGGCGAAAAGCGGTGGCGTCCGGAGAAGGCGGCGCCGAGGCAAGGACGGAGGTGAGGAGGGCAAACATCTTGGCTTCGAGCGGGGCAAAAACACCATCCGAGACCGCTGACTCGAGCGAGGCACGTGCAACAATGTACTCGCAATGGGCGAGGCGAAGGGCGAGGAGGAAGAGGCCCGAGGCGAGCGAGGGCGGGACGAGGAAGGCGTTGGAGGCGTGGACACGGTAGAGGAACGACTTGGTGTCGAGGCCGTCGATCCAGGCGGGCGGCGCCGATCGCCACAGAGTGTGGCTCGCCAGCGGCGCGTCTGGCGCTGCGGCGATGGCGGGAACGTGAAGCGCGGAAACAAGGACAAACCACGAGGCTGCAGCGTCGCGAAGGACGAGGGCGTGCGGAAGGGCGGCAAGGAGGCCAGCGAGCGCAAGCGGCAGGCGGGCGGCCGGCGACCAGTATAACCCAGCGTGGTCGCGTGAGACCAAGATCTTGGCGCCTGGTGCTGCATCGAGCTCGTCTTCCACCCGGAAGCGCAGGCCGAGGCGCGGGAGATCAACCGCGAGCGGCGCAAGGTCGAGGGGGCGGCCCAGACGAGGGTGTGGGAAGCGTCCTCAAGGCGGAGGAGGGCGGCAGCGAGCGAGGCAGCAAACGGCGTGGCCGATCCGGCGGCGCGGGCGTGATGGATGTTGAGCAGTACGACATGGTCTGGCAGGCTACGGAGGTCAGGCGGCGAGGGCATGAACGCCTCACGGACTGCCGAGAGCGAAGCAGAAGAGATCGAGTCAAAACGGCGAACAACCGTGACAACGTGCGGGGCGAGGCCGAGGCCAAGGTCGAGGCTGTCGGCGGCGGCAGGGGCGAGAGGCTCGGCCCAGAGCTCGACGTGGACGAACGAGCGGGTGAGAGCCGGGCGGCGCGGGTGGCCGACAAGATGCCGGTTGCCGACTTGTTGCCAGAACTGGTAGTCGGCAAGGAGAGCGTCCGGAAGCGCGCCGTAGAGGCAGTCGTCCGGGATGAGGGTCTCGTAGGAGCCGCCGAGGTGGAGCATGTCAAAGCGACGGGTGATGACCAAGTCGGGCTCGCGAAGAGGCGGCGGGAGGCTTGGATCGCCGCCGGCAGTGGAAGTCGGGCCGGATGCGGTTGTGAGGAGCCGCGGGAGAGCGTGGAGGGCGAGCGGTGCGGACGAGGCAAAGCAAGCGAGCGATGGAAGACGCGGCCGACCGAGAAGACGTTGTAGACCGAGACAAGGCGAGTGATGGGTGAGGCCGTGATGAGCTTGAGGGAGCTGTTGGGCCCAGAGGCGTAGGCCGCGAGAGGAAGCGGCGTGCCTGTGGGAGCGGTGTCTGCGAGCGGGAGGGCCCATGTTGTGCCCGGGAACCAGCGGGCGAGAATGGGTTCAAGCGCCGACCAGGCCCAGACGTATCGCGGCGGCAAGTGGTGGCTTGCGGCGAAGGAGATGGTGGTCTCCTGAGCGAGGAGGGCTGCGAGGAGCTTGGGGCCGCGGTCGTCCGGGGTGAGCCAGTGGGCGATGTCAAGCGGTGCGGCAAGAATGCGGTAGCGCGAGCGGGCGGCCGAGTGGTCGAGGGCGAGGCACTGGACGCGGGCACCGCCGACGGCCGGTTCACCGTATGCGGCGACAAAGTCTGGGGCGCCGCCGAGAGCTTCGGCAAGCATGGCCATCTCGCGGTTCTTCATGGTGAAGAGGCCGAGCTGGACGTTGACCTCGGTGCCGAGGTCGGGTGAGCAGGTGCGCGCGAGCCACGAGGCGTAGTCTTCACCGGGCTGGGCGCAGAGGTCAAGCGAGTCGGCGACGAGGGCAAGCTCGGCCTGTGGCACGAGGCGACCGTGGCATCCAGGCAAGCCGATGTGGGTCCAGACCCGCGACGGCGGCGGAAGCGGATCAAGCGACGAGAGCGGCGGGCCGAGTGGGGCTGACTTGGCCAGGACGTTGGAGACGGCGTCCATGACGGACGAGGTGACGCTCTCGCCGGCAGCATCGAGAAAGGCAAGAATGGCGTTGCGCGACGAGTCAAAGAGGGTGTAGAGGGTGATGAGAGGGAGGCCACCGAGGGTGAGGCAAGCGTCATCGGCTAGGGCGGCGGCGGCGCGAGTCCGCTCCAGCGGGGCGTCAAGGTAGGGTGAGCCCTGGGTCGACGGCGGATCGAGGTTGAAGGTCAGGTTGGAGTTGATGAACAGCTGGGTGCGAGGAGGGTGACGACATGGGGCGCCGTGAGTGCGTAGGCCTCCAGATTGGAGATCGAGAGCGCGATGTGACCCATGACGGCGCATGCAACGTCGAGGTTGTGCTCAGCAAGCGCGCGGAGGCGCCATCGCTCGAGAATGCGGTAGATCTTGTCAAAGAGGAGCGAGCGAAGCTTGGCAGCACCCTGGGCGAGCAGGTGGAGACTCGAGTGGGCAAGAGCCGGCGGGGCAGCAAGGTCTCGGCGCGGAGCGCGGTAGGAGGCACTGGCAACGCGCGGGGCATCGTCGATCCAGGCATGATGGCGGAGGAGGGCGAGGACATGGGCCTCGACCTTGACGGCCAGCCTGATGAGGTAAAGAAGGACGGGTGAAGTGGTGGGGAGTAGCGGCCGGGATCGAGGTCGGCGGCGAGGACCAGAAGCTTGAGAACGGCCTCGAGGCAGAGGCGTGGCGAGTGGATGAGCTCGTTGAAGAGGAGGCCGTTGGAGGTGGCAAAGACCTCGGGCTGTTCGAGAGCCGGGATGGAGGCCGGGAGAGTGCGGGCACCCGGGGCGAGCCAGGCACCGGGCTCAAAGAGGGCGGCGTCGAGAACGGCCTGCAGCTCCGGGGCGGCGAGAGCGTAGACACGGGTCTCGTCGGCAAAGAACTGCATGAGGAGCGGAATGCGAAGATACGGCGCGGTGAGGGTCTGCAGCATCAGCTCCGAGTCGCGGGCGGAGAGGACGTCGCCGAAGGTGGGCATGTCAACGATGTGGAGGACGTCGTCTTCGTTGACAATGAGGGGACGACGGCGATCAGCCGAATCGGGCAGGGTCGACGCCTTTGCGTCGGACGGGAGCAGAGCGTTAGGGTCTGCGGCCGAGGGCGCGATGCGCGGGGCGCGGCCGGACGGGTTTGTAAAGGTGCGAAAGTAGGCCGAGATGACCGAGGGGGTGTACTTGGACATGCCCTTGGCGATTTTCTGGCCGAGCGAGACGCACGACAGCTCCTTGCCACCAAATGCGGAGACCTCAAAGCCGACGGTGGGATCGAACGACCACTCGAGCGCCGCGTCGATGGGCCGCCAGGCAGCGACAGGTGGCAGGGTCTCGGACGACGGGACCATGAGGAGGCGAAAGGTAAAGACAACGTCGCGGAGGATGCGGAACTCGGGAAAGTGGTCTACGAGCGAGCGGTCGATGCCGACAACGTATCGCTCGAGAGTGATCGAGTTTGGTGGACCGGTAGAAAAGCCAAGGGCGAGGCAGAGTTGCGAGACAAAGGCGGTGTCGCCCGGCGAGAGAAAGTTGGAGCCATCAAACGAGAACAGGTTGTGGTCTTCGGGCACAGCACGAGCGGTCGAGGCAAAGTAGTCGAGGAGGGCGGCGCGGGCGAGGAGAAGGTCGGGCGAGGCAAAGAGCATGGTCTCGGACTCAAGGGCGTAAAAGCCAATGGAAAAGCCAAACGGCGCGACAGGGCCGAGTGCGGCGCCGGCGTAGTGAAGCGAGACCGGCGACGGGCGGTCGCAGGCGACGATGCGGATGATACGGTCAGTGAGGGCGGCCATGCAACCAAGGGTGGTGATGCGGGTGGCATCAAGGAAGCGGTCGATGGGAAGCGCCAGCGCAGCCGACGCAAAGTGGCGCGAGAGCAGGTCGATGAGATGGAGGAGGCGGGCCTGGGTCTCGGCCCGCATGGGCGAGGCGAGCCAAAAGCACGATGGCGTTTGTGGAGCGTCGAGAGGAAGCGGGAGCGGAAGAACTGAGACAAAGAGGCGAGCAATGAGGGTGACCCGGATGAGGTACCCGTTCTTGACCTGTGCACCTTGGTTGGCGAGGAGAATCGAGGCATCGAGGGTATGCCGGAGCGCGTCGAGCGCATCATCGAGGCTTTCCACGGTAAGCGGAACGTCCGAGAGCTGGACTGGGCGGAAAATGGGAGGCAGCGGCGCACCGCCAGCGAGAGAGGCCGTGTCAAACGGATCGATCAGATGGGCGAGGTTCGGGAAGTCGGTGAGCGAGGCCGAGGCAGGCATGCCAGACACTGGGCTCGGGAGCACCGTGTGAGCGGCAGTGTGGAGGCTCGCGAGATGAGCTGCAATATTGGTGAGCGAGGTGAGTGTGGCGAGCTGGATTTCGGCGGTGCGGGGAGACGGCGGAGTGTGTGCGAGGGAGCGCGCCAGCGACCGGGCGTAGACGTCGAGCCGCGTGGCGTCGGCGGCGTCGGTGGCGGCAAGAAGGTCGGAGTCGTCGAGTGGAAGAAGCGCCGAGTGGACGGCGTCGAGGAGGGCGTAGCCGAGAGACGATCGAAAAGCAGGCGGGTCGGGCGAAGCAAGAGCCAGGGCGGCGACAACCAGCTCGACATAGTGGGAGTCGGCCGGGACGGAGCCGGCGTCAAGCCAGAGCGGCGGCGGAGGCGGCGGACACGATCGGCAGGGGAGGCTCTGTGTGAAGCTCAGCAGCCTGGAGTACAGCAGATCGAGGCCAGCAGCAAACGAGTCCTGCTCTGTGACCATCGGGGTGTAGACGTAGTGCCAAAAGGCGCCCAGCAAGAGGCAGGATGCTGGGAGCGGGACCGAGAGCAGCGGCGAGAGCCGGAGTCGGCCGGTGGCGTCGTCGATGTCGTAGGCGTGGTAAGGGAGGGCAAGGCCGTCGCGGCGCATTGTCGAGACGAGGGTGAGCCGAGCGTCGTGGGCCGAGGTTGTGACCAGAAGCAAGAGGCAGACGGTGTCGTCGGGCGTGGTGACGCCAGTAGGGACGATGATCGACGCACCCGGCGGCATGGCGGCACAGAGGGCGACGGTGTCGGCGACGAGAGTGACAGTATGCGCCTGAGCGCGGAGGCCTGATGCGCCAGCCAAGGCAGATATGAGCGCGAGAGCCGTGGCGGCGGCCGGCGGTGGAGCCGCGAGGTGCTCGACAAGCGTGGCGAGGGTGTGGCGGAGACGGGCAAGGGCGAGGGAGCGGGTCTGCGGCTCGCGGGGAGCGGGACATACATGCGTCGGCGCAAAGAGGGCAGCGGTGATAGGAGAAGCAAGCAGCACAATCGGCGGCGGAATGGCAGGGCCCGGGTCCGGAGGCTGGAAGTGCAGCAGGAGAGGCGGCTCGATGCCAGCGAGTGTCGCATCTGGTGGCGCATTGGGTGTCGCGTCGGGCTGCGAAGGCTCGGACGAGACGGCGGAGGTGTCTGGCGCGGATGCGGGTGCATGCAAGGCAAGAACGGCACCAAGAGCTGGTGATGACGATGTTGCGTCGGCGGCAAGGAGATCGGTACCCCACTTTGGGCCCGAGGTCGACGGGTCGGCGGCGGCGGCGGCGGCAGCGGCGGCAGCTGAGGCGGCGGCCGAGGCAGCGGCGGCGGCCGAGGTGGATGTTCTTCCGGACGAGCCCGGTGTGTATTTGTTGACGGCCTTCTTGACGTTCTTTACCGTCCGTGTGAGAAAGTTGTCGGCGAGGAAGGACATGACGTTGTGTGTGAGTGAGGTGGTGTGTGTGGGAACAATGGTTCTGCGGCGGCAGTGGCATGTGGGTGTCACGGCAGAGGATTGTTTACGAGGGTGCGGCGGAGGCCGAGTATGTGGCATGGAGGCCAAAGTGGTCAGAGATGAAGATGGGGTGGTTGGTGGAGGCATGGTGGGCAAAGGGGATGGTGCCAAGCCGGTCAATGGAGGCTGGCGCGAAGCGCGAGGGCTGGAATAGGAGGATGCGATCGAGGCGTGCGTGCTTGGCAGTGGGCCGAAAGAGGGCGCGCATGATGTTGATGTCGGTGTCCTCGGTCCAGCCCGGGTCACCGGAGTGGAGCGTCGACCACGTGTCGAGTGAGACGTCGCGGAAGGCGGCATTAAGGGCCGAGTCGGCCGGGTCGAGCTCGGCGCACTCGTTGGTGTCGCCCATGAGCCACACGTCGTCGCCAGCGGCGACAAAGGTGGAGAGGCGGTCGATGAGGGCACGGCCCTGTAAGAGCCGCTTGTGATCCGAGCCGGCATTGACGGCAGACTCCATGTGGACGTTGCCGACAACCAGGCCGTGGCCATCGGGCGGGCCGAGGCGGACATAGAGCAGATCGCGGCCCTGCTCAGTATCGGCAGGCGGGTAAGCCATGCGGACTACGTCGACGGGGAGGTCGACGCCCGGCCCGTCGAGCTCGGGCACCGCGAGACGGACAAAGGTGACAGTAAAGTACCAGGCAAAGTGATCGTTTGGCGGCCACGAGCCGAGGTAGCGCGCGGAGAGCTCCGGATGAGCGAGCCACTGGGCCTTGAACCAGAGGGTGGCTTCCTGGATGCAGACAAAGTCCGGGTCGGCAGCAAGGATGGCGTCGGCGAGAGCAGCAAAGCGAGCTTTGCGCTCGTACATCTCAAACCAGATGTTATACGAGATGAACGATAGAGCTGAGGACGAGGACGACGAGGACGAGGCCGGCGTTGACAAGCGCGGCTCGTCACTTGTGTGCGACAGGGCGACAGCGGCAGCCAGCCGCGCAGGAACACACACTGTCTGCTTCAGACCAGCACCGTCCATACTCTGGCTTTCACTCTCTGTCTTTGATTGGTTCTTGCCCATACAACGGGGAAGGAGAGGGGAGGGGGGGGGGGAGGAAGGGTGAGAGAGGTAGTCTTCCATTCGAGAGTTCGAATGGCGTGTGGCCTGGCCGCCGTGTCGCAGACTTGGTGGTGGCGTGGCATGTTCGGTGGTGGTGGCGTGGCCCATCAGACGGCGAGTGCGGGAGGAGGGAGGAGGGAGGGAGGGAGGGAGGGAGGGAGAGGGTAGTGGTAATGGTACTTGACGTGCACGGGAGTGGAGGTCGAGAGTACTTGCTACAGACAGAGTAGCAGGTGGTTATTGTGCTGGATTGGTTGTGGAGGTCTCGGCTGGTGAACGGGGTATGTGGACAGTGGGCAAGCACCTCCTGCGGTTTGGCCGCAATGTCTCAGTCATTGTCTTTGCCGTCGTGGCTGCGCTCACCTATCTGAGCTGGTCCTGGACATGGCGCCGGGTTGTGGTTCCAGCTTGGGCGTTCTGTGTCTCGTTTGTGGTGTATGTGAACCCGGACGATGCATCTGAGGAGGAGGAGGACGACGAGGAGGAGGAGGAGGACGACGATGATGACGGCGGTGGCGCGGAAGAGGTGGAAGTGGCCAGCGGCGGCGTGGCCGGCGATGGTGGGGCGAGTGCGGGAGGATCGAGCGGGGTGCGGCGGTCGCCGATGCTGAAGCGGCGGGTGCCGCGGCGGGTGTACCGGCAGAATCTGGGGGTACAAAGTGGGAGCGGTGGCGAGTCGCCGCTGGCGTCGCCGGGGGCGGCCTGTTCTACAGTCTGTTCAGCGGGGGATCGAACGAGGCGAGCGCGAGCGTGGCAAGCCTGCACGATCTTGTAGATGCCGAGTGCATGCCCGAGGCTAGTGACGGATTCGTGGCGGCATGGGGCAAGGCGCTGATGCCGGACGTGTGGTGGGTGTGCGCGCGGGCGGAGCTGCGGCGCTCGGAGCGCGAGTGCGGCGAGTTTGCGAATATGGCGGAGGATGTGGCGGGCGACGAGGCGGTGCTTGCGCAGGCCGGGACGCTAGCGCGCGACGAGTACAAGGCGCGTGTCCGCGACATCCTGGGACAGCTGACAGCGGAGCAGGCGCCGTGGCTCCAGCGCGTTGTCCTGCTCTGCACACTCAAGGTGCTACGGCTGCTGTACGCATCGGGCATTTTTGTGGACGTGGAGGACGTGCGCCGTGTGGTGCGTGAGATGGAGGCGCGGCCAAAGGCAGCGCTGCTGCTGCTCCCGACGCACCGATCGGCGATTGACTACGTGCTGGTGTGGTACATGTGCGTGGTGTGCCGGCTCCCGCTCCCGTACATGGTGGCCGAGTCGAAGCACCTCGAGCGGTCGTGGCTCAAGGCGTTGCTGGTGTACATTTTCCGGTCGCTGGGCTCTATCTTCCCGGACCATGCAGCGCTCGAGTCTGATCCGCTGTACGGAGCGGTGTACGCGTCGTACATGCGTAACCTCATTGGTCGCGGGGCGACGCTGCAGTGCTTCATCGAGGGCTCGCGATCGCGGACGGGCAAGTCAAAGCGACCGCAGCTCGGGCTGACGTCTTTTCTTGTGGACGCGGTGCAGAGCAACAAGGAGCTCGACGCAGTGGTGACGTGCATCGGGCTCGGGCACGCGCGGGTCATCGAGAACGCGCTCTTTGTCAACGAGCTTGTGGGTGACGAGGCTGGGGCACAGGCTGCGGCGGCGCGCGAGCACCTCGATCTGGAGGGACTTGCGTTTGCGACTACGTTGTTGTCGCGGATTCTGCGACGGCAGTTCTCGCTCGGGTCTGTGGACATGGGCATGGCCGCGCCGTTCTCGCTCCGAGAGTTTGTGCGGCGACAGTGGCAGACGGACGAGGGGGTGTTTGGCTTTTGCGGCGTGCGTGCGTCGGCGATCGACGTGCCGCGGCTGTCGCGGGCGTCATCGCCGACGAGATCACTCGAGTTTGCGCGAGTGGCGCCTGCGCCGGTCGACGCGTCCGAGCCCGGGCGCGAGGCCGGCGACGCCGCGTGGGTGGCGGCGGCGGTCGGGTCGTCGTCGACCGAGTCGAGCGTGTCTGACGACGACAACGGCGCGTTTACGGACATGTCATCGATTGCCGGCGGCGGCAACGGCGACGAGTCGAGGAAGGGCTCGCCTGAAGCGGGCCTGGTTGTCGACGTGGCGCTCTCGCCGACCAAGACGCAGTTCGCCAGTGAGCTTGTCGGGCGGCTGCAGCGACTGGTGCCGGCAGCAGGTGTGCCGATAGCGTCGCGAGTGCCGAGCCTCGGCTCGCCGGTCAAGATCTTACATGAGAGCGGAAGCGCGTGGCAGGCACCGCATGTCGGGCGCGGGGCGCTGATGCTGCCGTCGCGGAGCAGCAGGCAGATCCTCACGCCGCGGTCTGCGGGGGTGGCGGCTGCGGCTGCGCCGCGTGCGCATGCTGTCTCGCTCGCGCTCACGCACAATGTCATGTACCTGTGCAACAGCGCGTCGGTGGTTGTGCCGTCGGCGGTGGTGGGCACTATCCTTCTCACGCACTACAAGCGCGGACTAGCGTTGAAGGACCTCGCGCAGTGCGTGACGTGGCTCCGCAACGAGGTCCGCAAGCGCGGGTTCAGGGTGGCGGCGCGGGCGCGCGGGTCGTTTGAGAGCGACGTGGCGCAGCTGGTCAACCGGGTGCTCTCGTCGCGGGACTCGGGCTCGTCGAACGAGATGGTGAAGAAGTTCCGCGGTGACACGCTCCTGTTTGGACTCTACACGCCTGAGGAGCGGATGCTTCTTGTGTTCTACCGCAACCAACTGATGCACGTGTTTGTGCCCGAGGCGCTGGTGTGCGCAGCGCTGTACGCGCTCGAGCGCAAACGCGGCGAGTTTCCGGCGCGGGTGTCGGGACGCGATCTGCGGCGGTACACACACTTTCTGGTCCAGCTGTTCCGGTTCGAGTTTGCGTTCCCACCGTCGTCGTTCCACCGCGACACGTTTTCGGAGACGGTGGAAAGCCTTGTGCAACGGCGGATCCTGGTGCGGAGCGCAGTTGGCGAGCCGGGTGAGATCGACTCGGACATGTTTAGCGTCGACTCGCGCGACGACGACTCGTTGGTGGAGTCGACGTTTGTCTCGCACGGAACCGGGATGTACCTGTTCCTCTGCTCGCTCCTCTGGCCGTTTCTCGACTCGTACTTTCTGTGCGCGCTCGGCCTGTTTGCGCTACTCGAGCCGGCTGGCGGGCAACGGCCGCCTGTGGAAGTGTCGGCCTTTGTGGCACACGTACAGAAGAACGTGGGTGAGGCGGTGTTCTTTGGCGGTCAGCTTGACTTGTACGAGGCGATCTCGCGCGACACGCTCATCAACGCGGCCAAGTTGTACGCGCGGTGGGGCGTGGTGCGGATTGCGGACGGGCACATCAGCCTTGCGGATGAGTTTGCGAGCGACGGCGAGGTCTCGCGGTTCGCGCGACGGATTGCGGCGTTCAAGAAGCGGTCGCGGTCGTACTCGTCACGGCGGTATCGAACCAGGCGCGGGGTCCGGTCAGCAGTGGCCGATGCCGAGTCTCATGCCCGCAACGTGGCGCCGTTGCTGTGGGGCGGCGAGCCCATGACCTCGCTGTAAAATGACATAGCTACAGAAGGGCCGAGGCAGACGGGACCAGCGGCGAGGTGGGGGTGATGCGGCGGGTCGAGTTGTGCAGAGCGACCGAGGCCGAGCGCGAGAGGAGGGCGAGCTCACCGGAGGTCTGCCTGCGAGAGATAAGGAGCTCCGAGGCCGAGGCTGAGGCCGAGAGGAGGCGGGCGTCACGTGCGGCCGAGGCGGAGCGGCGGGCAGAGCGGCGGGCAGCAGCAGCGGCGCGCTCTTCGGCCTCGGCGCGGTCTATGCGGGCACGGGCCGATGACGCGAGCTTGGCCATAGCTGCCTTTTCAGCAGCGGCGCGGGCGGCGTTGTCGGTCTCGATCTCGGCTAGCATGCGGGCGCGTTTTCGGGCGCGGCGCTTGGCGCGTTCGGTCTTGCGGCGGGCAGCGGCGTCGTGCTCAGCAGCCACCTTTTCGGCACGAGCCTTACGCTCAGCGCGTGCGGAAGCAGCTAGAGCGGCATCGAGGGCGTCGAGCTCGCGTTCGATGCGCGCGTCGGCGTCGTCGGCGTCTGCGGCCATAGCGGCGCGGGCGGCGTTGAGATGAGCGTTGGCAGCGTAGGCCTCCGGCAGCAGGGCTGGATGGGCACGCTCGACGACAAGCTTGAGAGCAGCAGCAACACGGGCAGTATCGGCATAGAAGCGCACGGCATAAGAACCGTGCTGGGCGCGGAGGATGGCGGCGACAATGTGCTTGCACCACTGCGGGCGCGGTTGCGAGGTCTTCTTCCGCATCGTCACTGGTGCGTGGCATGAACACTTGGGGTAGATGCGCGAGGAGTCGGGATCCTGGACAAAGCGGACGACCGAGTCGTCGACAACAGCGAGGACGGTGCGGAGCGAGCCGCGCGGATGGAGGGCGACGAGGGCATTGCCGGCTTGCGCGGCTGTCTCGAGAGCCTTGCCATCCGCGCGAGCACGCGGACAGGCACGGGAGCGGATAAGAGGAGCCAAGTCGGCAATACAGGCGACAACATCGCTGTCGGCCATGTCCGGCAGCGAGTCGTCGAGTGAGGCCGAAGAGAGATTGAGCGAGCGGCGCGAGAGGCGGACGGCGAGCGAGGAGGCGAGCGGCGAGGCGGCACGCGAGGCGGCGACGTTATCGGACGAGCGACCCTTGGCCGACGTGCTCCTTGTCCGCAGCTTGGTATGTGAGAGATGCGGCGAGCGAGCACGAGTCGCGCTTCGGCCGCGCTCCCGGCCACGTCGCTCCCTGTGCCTGTCCGAGCGGGCGCGGCGTGCACGTTGGCCAGCAATGGTCCGTGTGGCGGCAGGCTGTGAGGAGGGAGGAGAAGATGGCGGGGAATGGTAGTCGGACTGTGACTTGGCGAAGGCCGAGAATGGTACGTAGCGCACCATGTGGGTGTCTGTGCGTGAGTATGGAGGGGTGGAGAGTAGTGGAGTGAGCAGGGGAGGGGAGGGGAAATTGGTGGGTGCGAGGACTGGGTTGGGGTGGACGGGATGATTGGCGAGTGTGGGCTACGATCTATGATGATGACGATGAAGATGAGGAGGAGGAGGAAGAGGAGGAGGAGGAGCCGGCCGAATCTGATCCGCGCCAGACGGTGCAGGCCGAGTCTGCCGAGTAGCCGGAATAGGCTGATGAGGTAGAGTAGTCTGCGGTGGCGGCGATAGCGTCTTCGATGGAGGCGCCTGCGGCGATGCGGCGCTGGCGCGCTTGTGCGGCGGCGGCGTGGCGGGCGGTAGCCTTGTCGGCCGACTTGACAGCGAGGGCGGTCCACTTCTTCATGGCGTTCTCAAAGCCCGAGTCCTCGTGCTCGGGCCAGTCGCTCGGGGAGACCGTCGGCTCAAAACCGGCCAGCTTCTTGGCGCGCCTCAGGGCAAGGATGGCCTCGGCCTCATTGGAGACAGACTTGAGGGCGTGGGCTAGGTGAAAGTAGGCGTTCACAAACTTGGGCTCGCGACGGATGGCGCGCTTAAAGTCGTGGATAGCGGAGCGCTTGCGGCCGAGGCGATACTTTGCAATGCCGCGGTGGTCGTAGGCAGTCGAGTAGTCGGGATCGAGCTGAATGGCCCGGGTGTTGTCGGCAATGGCCTTCTCGTAGTGGCCGGACGAGGTGTACGCCCGGCCGCGCATGGTGTACGTCTTGGGATTGTTGCTGTTGCACTCGAGGGCGGTGGTGTAGTCGGCAACAGCCTTGTTGAACCGTGACGACTTTTCGTAAGCCGACGCTCGCAGCAAATACGTCTTCTCGTTCCGCTTGTCACGAGCAATGGCTAGGGTGTACGCCTTGATAGCCTTGGCGAGCTGACCTGCCTTCTCATACGACCGCGCCTTCTTGACCAACCGTCTGGCTTCAGCGACCGCAGTCGAGCGGTTGCCACCAGGGATGCCAACCACCATGAGTATGTCTGTGTGTGTGGGGGGGTGGATGGGGGGGTGGATGGGGGGGGGGGGGGGGGTGGAGGTGGTGGTGGGAGGGGGTGGGGTTGGGGTAGGTGGGGAGTGGCACTGGTGGCCTGTTGCGAACAAAGCACGCGGGTGCAGACTCGGCAGAGACCGAGGTGGAGACGGAGACACGGCTCTAGTGAGAGGAGAGAATGCGAGCGCGACCAAGTGGGCGAGGTGCTTTTGCTGTTGTGTGGACCGTGGTGGTGGCTGTGGCGGCTGTGGTGTACATGTGCGTGATTGTGGAGGGTGCGGCGGCGACGGCAGAGGCGAGGTCTGCGGCGGCCGACAGTGTTCTGACATGCGACGAGCTCATGGCGTCCGGGGGTGTTGTCCATGCCACCACGGACGACGGCTGCGGTGCAGCTCCTCAGTTTGGGCTTGCAGCGTCACTTGGGGATGCGGTGAGCGCAGCTGCGGGGTGTGCAGCAGCACACACGCCGGTGGTGATCAGGCTGGCGCGATGCGGGTATCTCTTGCGGGAGGCGCTGGCCATACCGAGCCACACGGTGCTTGACGGTGGGTACGATGCCTCAGGGGCGGTGTGGATCAAGAAGATGAAGCGGGCATCATCGGCTACGTTTGATCACTCGCCGCAGCCGCTGCTGGACGCCAACGAGACGGTAGTGCTGCGCAGCGGTGAGTCTGGGATCGCGGTCGATGGCGGCGGGCGGGCGCTCATCGCCATCGACGCCGTGAAAGTCGACGGCTGGGGCTTGCGCGACCTGACGGTCGCATTTACGGATGACGCGGTTGATGTGGCTGGCCCGTCGACTTCTTTCTATGCGGTGGCGGCGCACGAAACTGGCGCAGCCGGGTTCGACATTACCCGAGTTGCACTTCTCCTTCCTGGCCGGCTCCCGCAAGGCATGACTGGGCTGGCCGGAACGCAAGGCGCGCCGGGCGAGTCGGCTACACAGGCAGAGCCTGGTGATTCCGACGATGCATCGGCGTGGGGACATGCGTCGCCGGGTGGAGCGGGAGGCGGGCCCGGTGCCGGCGCCGGCGGCGCCATCCACGAGTATGGCTCGGGCTGGTTTGGCCATGATGGCAGCCCCGCGCAGCAGACGTCGCCCTGGGCTGGAGGCGGCGGAGGCGCTGGCGGGAACGGCGGGTCAGGCGGACAGGCTGGAGGGAGAGGCGGAGCTGGCGGCGCGCCGGCGTGGATGGCGGCGGGGGCGGTCGACGGTGGTCCAGGCGGCAGTGCCGGTAAGAGTGGTCGCCCCGGAAGCCCTGGCAAGCCCGGCGTAACGCCATGTCCATCAGCCAACACCGAGTGCTGGGCCGATCCCGGTGCCATTGGTGTGCTCACCACCAACACGCGTGGGCTTGTTGCCGGCGGCACTGGCTCGGCTGGAGATGTGGGGCGGGGCGGTGGTGGTGGAAGCGGCGGTGGCGGCGGTGGCGGCCAGCAGTGTCGGCTCTGTAGAGACGGTGGCGGAGCCGGCGGCGGCGGTGGCGGCGGTGGGGGCGACGGAGGAGCCGGCGGCCGGGGCGGACTCGCCGGTGGCTCGTCAATTGCACTCCTCGTGTCGGCTTCCAAGGGGCCTGATGGCGGCCAGCTCTCGTCGTCGCTACTCCTGCCGGGTCTGGCGGGTACCGGAGGACTCGGGGGCGACGGAGGTGGTGGCGGGCCAGGCGGACGTGGCGGGTACGGCGGGACAGCGAGTAGTGAGGTTGGTGCCGGAGGGCGTGGCGGCGACGGCGGACAGGGAGAAGGCGGAGGAGCTGGTGGGCCTGGCGCGCCTGGCATCTCGGCGTTTGTCCACGAAGTGGCGAACACTGTTGCCCCGGTCAAGGCGCCGATCCCCGACTACATGTTTGACCTCGGCGGCGTGTTGCCGTTTGCGGTTGCTGGCGCCGAGCGCGGCGTGATCTGCTCGTTTGTGCCGCAGGAGATCTCACTGCCACCCGGCCTGGACGACACGGCGTACGAGGTCGACTTTGTAGGCGCCGCCGCCGTCGAGCAGGTTGTGCCCGGCTCGTCTGCAACGGGCGCGCTGTGGCGGGTAACCTACGGAAGCGCCGGCTGGTACGATGTCATGACAGCGGTGGGTGGCGGCAACCATGTGGTGGGGGCATGGTCCACGTCGCCCCGCTCGAGTTCCAGGTCGGCTTTGTCCTGCCGCAAGGTCAGCAGCTTGAAGCCTCCATGTGCCAGACGGAGCACGTCCGCGTTGTTGCGCTCCCGACACGCGGCGACGTGACTAGCAACCTTAGCTGGACCTCAGCTGACGAGTCAGTGGTTCAGATCGTGGTTGCAGCCAACTCGCAGGGCCGAGACGTTACGCTCGAGCCCGGCAAAGCCGGGACCACGCACGTCATTGTCCGCGGCGAGTCGGCTGTGTGCGGAAAGACCGAGTCGCTGCTCAAGGTTGTCGTCCACAACTGCGTCCACCCCTCGCCGCCGCCACCACCGACGCCACCGTCGCCGCCGCCGCCGACGTGGGAAACGCCACCGCCGCCTGCACCCATACGTCCGCCGTCGCCCGCCGCCGGCCATCGTGCACCACCGCCGCCGCCGTCGACATCGAGCGGAGCAAGCAGCACGGGCGCAAGCAGCGGGGCGGTGCCACTCGATGGAGGCAAGAAAGCGCATGGAACGTCCGTCGGGCTGGTCATTGGTGGCATCGGCCTTATTGTCGCAGTGCTGGTGGGTGGAGCAGTGGTCGGACTGAAGTGGCACACCCGCCGCCGCGTCGCGCGACAGGGGACGCGCCTAGACGATGACGCTGTTCTCACTTCGCTCTCGGTCAACCTCGCCAACTACGACTCGGACGTGGGCTCGGACGAGAGCGGCGGTTTGGGTGCGGGCGGGAGCGTGCCGCGCATGCTCACCGCCGACGAGATTTTGGGAGAGTTGGAGGCGCCGCTGGAGCCGTTTGGTCAGTAGTTGTGTTTGTGGCAGCAAGTGAAGTAGAAGGTGGAGAAAAAGGGTGAACACTTGCCGGGCGCGGTTGCGAACTAGAGCGTATGAGAACGGAAGGCACGAGGCGTCAAAAGCGCGGGTGTAGAGACAGTCGTAATGAGCACCGTTCCCGTTGAGCCAGATGGGGTGGAGAAGGAGGTGCGGCGAGGGGGCAGATAGGCGTCGACGGGTGTTGACAGGCATCTGATGCACGTGCTCACTGGCGTGAATAGGTTCTTCTCGGAGCGGTCATTGACGGTGACGGACAGTGGAGGGCGAGGGTGGTGCAAGAGTGAGGATAACGCAAAATGCTGGCGAGGCAGGCTACTCGCATACTTCGCCTCTGATGCTCTTTTCCCTGTTTAGCTTCTTATCGGTGGCGCCGGTGGTCGGTCGGCGGCGGGGGGCGGTCAGCGGCGAGTAGCAGGCGGTCGGCAGCCATGCTGTTGACGGGGTGGCGTCGGCTGATGTGCGTATCGGCGGACGAGGAGTGGGTGGCTATATTTGCCGAGGTGGTGGGCATGTGTGGTGTGGGTGTGGTGGTTGTGGGTGGAGATGGTGGGGAGTGGGGGTCGGAGATGGGCCCGGGGAGGAGGGGTCAACAGCATCGAAGGGACACCAGGCCAACAAGTTGGGCCTCAGGTGGCAGAACTCGGATTCCGGAATACAGCAGCTGTATATTGAAGACTGTGCATGGCGGTAGTGTGTGTATGTAGTAGAGTAGTAGTGAAATCAGATTGGCCATATCTTGCAATGAGTGTGGTGGGGGCGTGTGCGGGGTCGGGCGGTCGAGGACGTGCTCAACCACCTAGGGCAAACAAGTCTACGCGAAAGTGAGCCGAGGAAGATGGGAATCGATGACAGCAATAATGGTACTGGTGATAGTGTGAGGTGAGTGATGACCAGTAGTGTGGTCGCGGATTGTGTAGCTGGTAGTGGGAAGGAGCTAGGTGGTGATAAAGGTGGGCCTGATCGGGCGAGCGGGCGACGGCTGAGGGCTGGTGGTCGGCGAGGCGGGGGCAGCACAGGGGGCTGCGTCGGGGCTGGGTGGCTTGACAATGCTGTTGGGGAGTAGACGGGCAGTATGACTACTGATGGTTGAGGAGTGTGGGTGTCAGGGTCGGGGATGAGGATGGAGGTGACGTAGAGCGGGAAGACGAGGAGGACGAGGAGGAAGAGGAAGCCGAGTGCGCGATGGGATGGTGGTGAGGATGGCCACGGAATGAGGGTGGGGGCTGTGACTGGGATGATAGTGATGGTGGTGGGGTAGGGGTGAGGGTAGTGGTTGGTGGTGATGGGGCGTAATGAGTATGGTAGGGGGGGATGAGGGGGGTCGTGACGTGGGTGACGGGACGGGCGAAGGGGTGGTGGGTATGGCGATTGGGCTTGAGCATTGATGAAAGTGAGTATGATACGGCTGATGCGTGTGTGTGAGGTGTGGGCGATAAGGGCGGCGGGTACTTGGCCGGCAGAGGGAAGGCGGCGGACGTTAATTGAGTTGAACGTTGAATTAATTGAAGAAAAGCCGGAACAAGCATCAAACGAGGCAATGACGTCCACAACAACAACCAAAGATCATACATGGCTTGCACAGCACACGTATGAGTACGCCAACAGGGACTGGACAAAGCTAGCAGGCAATGGGATGGACTCCAATGACGTTGAGGTCGATGAGGCAGGGCGCGGTTGATCGATCAGATCTGCAGATCAACCATGACCACGACACATCAGGGTCAACACAAAATACGTTGCATGCAAAACTATTGACCATGACTGACGACAACAAAAATGAGCATCGATACTGTAGTGAGCAAGACCCGATGGTGGATGTTGAAGTCCCATCAATGAAAACAGGAGAATCAAGAACAAATGAAGCGACCAATAATGATACAAAGCGCACTCCGAGCCGATCGGAGCGTGACGAGGGGTCGTGACGCGCGAAATGGTAGTAGGTATGGCGATTGGGCTTGAGCATTGAAGAACATGGGTATGATGAGACTGATGGATGTGTGTGCAGTGTGGGCGACAGGGGCGGCAGGTACTTGGCCGGCAGAGGGAAGGCGGCGGACGTTAATTGAGTTGAACGTTGAATTAATTGAAGAAAAGCCGGAACAAGCATCAAACGAGGCAATGACGTCCACAACAACAACCAAAGATCATACATGGCTTGCACAGCACACGTATGAGTACGCCAACAGGGACTGGACAAAGCTAGCAGGCAATGGGATGGACTCCAATGACGTTGAGGTCGATGAGGCAGGGCGCGGTTGATCGATCAGATCTGCAGATCAACCATGACCACGACACATCAGGGTCAACACAAAATACGTTGCATGCAAAACTATTGACCATGACTGACGACAACAAAAATGAGCATCGATACTGTAGTGAGCAAGACCCGATGGTGGATGTTGAAGTCAAGGTCAATGAAAACAGGAGAATCAAGAACAAATGAAGCATGACGAATAATGATACAAAGCAACAACAAGAGCAAAGGCAATGATCAATGAAAATGCATGTCGATGGTAATCAACCATCAAAGGCAAGAG